TCCCTATTTAAATAATCTGCCAAAACTGTAAAAGGTTTGATATTTTACTCTGCTTGAAAGCTTTACAGTTAGCTTGCCCCAGTTTCATGGATGCTGGTAGAAGATGCTAAGACTCCTGGGTCAGAGACTAAGGACTTTATTATTCATGGCATGGTTATCTGCATGTCAACATAGTTCTACTTGTTTCCAGATCACATGGAGGTAGTATGTAGGGGTCCAGATGCATGCTGCATACACAGTGGGGTGTGTTAGAGTAGAACTCCGAACTAAGGGGAATCTAATTTTCTATAATGGCAAAGGAGACACAGTATCTTCCAGGGCTGCGAGCAAATCTACTCTTTGCACTGGAGGTAGATATTATCTCTGTTTTTCAAGATTGTCTGCAATACAAATATCCTTGAAATATTTGTAATAAATATTGTGTACAATATTTATTGTCCTGGACAAGGAGCAGTTAGATTTGGAAATGTGGGAGATCGTTGAGAATATCTTCCAACATAATCTGATTTTTTTTGGTTTTTGGGTGTTGAGTTTGTTAAGTTCTCCCATTCCATAGGTTGCCTTTTAGCTTTGTTAGTTTCCTTTCCTGTGTAGAAGCTTTTTATCCTGATGAAGTCCCAATAGTCCATTTTTGCTTTTGTTTCCCTTGCCTCTGGAGACGTGTCTAGTAGAAAGTTGCTGTGGCTGAGATCACAGAAGTTGCTGCCTGTGTTTTCCTCTAGGGTTTTGATGGTTTCCCGTCTCACATTTAGGTCTTTCATCCATTTTGAATTGTGTGTGTGTGGTATAACAAAGTGGTCCAGTTTCATTCTTCTGCATGTGGCTGTCCAATTTCCCCGACACCATTTGTTGAAGAGACTTTTTTCCATTGGATATTTTTTCCCGCTTTGTTGAAGATTAGTTGGCTGTAGAGTTGAGGGTCCATTTCTGGGTTCTCTATTCTGTTCCATTGATTTATGTCTCTGTTTTGTATTGTTTTGTTTTTTTCCAGTAACATATTGTCTTGATTACAGCTTTGTAATGCAGCTTAGTCTGGAATTGTGATACCTCCAGCTTTGGTTTTCTTTTCAGCATTACTTCTTGTTTCATTCAAATTTTAGAATTGTTCTAGCTCTGTGAAGAATGCTGGTGTTATTTTGATAGGAATTGTGTTGAATGTGTAGATTGCTGTGGGGAGTTACAGACATTTTAACAATATTTGTTCTTCCAATCCATGAGCATGGAATGCTTTTCTGTTTCTTTGTGTCTTCAGTTTTACAGTTTTCGGAGTACAGATCTTTTACCTCTTCGGTAAGGATTATTCCTAGGTATCTTATTGTTTTGGGTGCAGTTGTAAGCCAGTTGCCAAGAGAAATCAATTCCTTGATTTTTCTTTCTGCTGCTTCATCCTTGGTGTTTAGAAATGCAACATATTTTTGTGCATTGATTTTATATCCTGTGGCTTTGTTGAATTCTTCTATCAGTTCTAGCAATTTTTTTTTAGTGGAGTTTTTCAAGTTTTATACCTAGCGTATACTGTCATCTGTGAAGAATGAAAGTTTGACTTCTTCCTTGATGATTTGGATGCCTTTTATTCTTTCTGTTGTCTGATTTGCAGAGGCTGGGACTTGTTGAACAGCAGTGGTGAGAATGGACATCTCAGTTTTGTTTTGTTTTTTTGTTTTGTTTTGTTTTGTTTTTTTGATAAGTCTGGCTAGGAGTTTACCAATCTTGTTAATTCTTTCTAAGAGCAGCCAGCTCCTAGGATGCCTGGGTAGCTCAGTGATTGAGCATCTGCCTTTGGCCTAGGGCATGATCCCAGGATCTGGGATCAAGTCCCTTATCAGGCTCCTTGGATGGAGCCTGCTTCTCCCTCTGCCTTTGTCTCTGTCTCTTCTCCTTCTGTTTTAAACAAAACAAAACAAGAACCAGCTCCTAGTTTCATTGATTTGTTCTGTGTTTTTTTTTTTTAATTTTGATATCATTGATTTCTGCTATAATCTTTATTATTACTCTTATCCTGCTGGATTTAGGGTTTATTTGCTTTACTTTTCCCACCTCCTTTAGGTATAAGGTTAGGTTGTCTATTTGAGACTTTTCTTCTTGAGACAGGCCTGTATTACTCCATATTTCCCTCATAGAACTGCCTTTCCTATATCCCAAAGGTTTTGGACTGTCATGTTTTCATTTTTATTTGCTTCCACGTATTTTTTTTTAAGATTTTATTTATTCATGAGAGAGAGAGAGAGAGAGAGAGAAGAGGCGCAGAGACAAAGGCCGAGAGAGAAGCAGGATCCATGCAGGGAGCCCGACGTGGGACTCGATTCTGGGTCTCCAGGATCACGCCCTGGGCTGAAGGCAGATGCTAAACCACTGAGCCACCCGGGCTGCCCCCTTCCGTGTATTTTTTAAGTTCTTTAATTTCCTTGTTGACTCATTCTTTAGTAGGATGTTTTTTAACCTCCATGTATTTGTGGTCCTTCCAAATTTTCTCTTGTGATTGACTTCAAGTTTTATAGCTTTGTGGTCTGAAAATATGCATGGTATGATCTCAATATTTTTTTTTTACCGTTCACTCCTTCTTCCCTTCTTCCCACTCTTCTTCTTCTACACCTCCTATGATATTATTTTTCTTTATGGAATCACTGAGTTTTCTGAGTCTACCTTTGTGATCTTTTTCTTTCCCTCTTCTTATAGCTTCATTATTTTCCATTTTCCATGATTTTACCCTCTATTCTCTAGCCTGCCTCTTCAGTCTTCATTGTAATCTTATTCAGTTTTGCATCTCAATTACAGCATTTTTTAAATTTCAGCCTGACTAGTTTTTAGGTCTTTATCTCTGCAGCAAGAGTTTCTCTGGTTTCTTCTATGCTTCTTTCAAACCAAGCTAGTAGTCTTATGACTGTTGGTCTAAATTCTTGTTCAGATATATTTCTTATATCTGCTTTGAGCAAGTGTCTAGCTGTGATATCTTCTTGACCTTTCTTTCACGGAGAATTCCTCCATTTTGTCATTTTGGCCAAGTTTCTCTCTTTTGCAGCAGGTTATGAAAGTTTATGTTTCCTGTACCTCAGAGTAATACTACATTAAAAAGAGGTCATATACTGTTCAGGGCCTGGCAGTTTAGGAAGTGTTTCTGGTGTAGGCTGTGTGCACTCTGCTCTTGGGTTTTGGCTTCTCTTTCCCACTGGTCAGTCCCCTGCAAGTTCCTCCTTGCCTGCAGTGGGGAGTGTTTGGACCTTTATTTAAAAAAGCATGAAGAAAAAGGAAAAAAAAAATGCCTAATTCAAAGAGAGACAGAAGGAAAAGGAACAACAACAACAAAAAAGCGATAACACACACACAGACTATAAGGTTAATCCCAAAGAAAGAAAAAATAAAGTCAAAAAACAAGCCTGATTTCCCAAAAAAGAGAAATGGAAATGAAAAAACAAAAACTATAAGCCCAATTCCAAAGGAAAAAAAAAAGAGTAAGAAAAAAAAAAAAAACAGCTTGGTCCTATTCCCACCAGAACTGAAGAGGATGCTGTGAGGCACCGTTTGATCAGTAGACTTGGTGCTTGTGTTGTGCTGCCTCTGTGGCTTGGGGGGAGAGGTCTGCTGCAGTGGCTCACAGTCAATCCTGCCTTGGTTAAAAAAAAAAAAAAAAAAAAAAAAAAAAAAAACAACAACAACAACAAAAAAACAAAAACAAAAACAAAAAACACTTGCCGATCACAAGGGGGCAGGGTTTGAGGTAAGCAGCTCTCACCTCTACTGGGAGCTGCTGTGTTACTGAAGTCCAACTGTGTTGGTAGAAAGGGTAATAATGTGCCACCCCACTCTCTCATCCAGGGACAAGGGGCTCTCACATCCCCTGCTGTTCAGGAGCCCTCACAGAAAAGCAAGGGCTTCCAGCATGCCTGGCATCACAGCTCTCCTGCATTTTATGTTTGGCATGGCTGGGATTCAAAATTCCAAATCTAAGAGCCAGCACCACTCAGATCTGCTTCCTCCTCCAGGTGAGTTTTGTGCTGACTAGTGCCCTTGTCTCACAAAAACAGTCCACACCTGCATGGTATGTGGAGTCTATGCTGTGGCACCACGAAAAGCAGTGACTGGGTTATCCACCCTGTGCACACACCTTTGTCCCCTGCCAATGAAGAGCCATTTGTTGGTACCTGCAAGGTCTTCTGTCCTTTGAGAGGCAATATACCCTCTTCCAAATGTACTCCAGGAAAGGGAATGATTTTTCTCCCAGTGCAACTCAAAAGATCCTTGTACCACTTTGTGTGTGCTCTGAACCAGAGCCCTCCTCCCTTGGGGCACAGGCTACAGCTCCACTCTGGTGAAAATTTGAGTTTGAGCTCCACTCGCTGTTTGCAAAAAACCTGCAACACTCAGTTCCCCTGCTCCCCAGTCTGTGGTGAGAGAGGTTTTTTCCTTGTGCAAAACTGGTGCTGCACTCTCTCAGCATTCCCTGCTCTCTCCAGAAAAGGGTTCCCTCCCTCCACAGCTGGACAGTTTTTCTCTCCCACAGTTTACTTCCATGCATCTTGTACCTGCCATGCTGTCTCCCTCCCAACCATGGAGATTCTACTTCCAATCCTCAGAGGGATCTCCTGAATATTCCAAGTGACCTGACTTCAATACAGCTATGTTTGAGGGTAGAGGAAAGCCCAGAGTCCCCCCTTCTCCATCTTAACTCCTCCCCCAAGAATATTATTTATTTATTTCAGGGATAGCTGGGGGGAGGGCGGGGCAGAGGGAGAGGGATGAGTAGATGCTGTCTGTGCTGAGCATAAAGCCAGAGGCAGGGCTTGATTTCATGACCCTGAGATTGTGACCTGAGCTGAAATCAGGTCAAGAGTCCAATGCTTAACTGACTAAGCCACCGAGGCACCATATGATTTAATTTTTTAATATTAATCATCATCTATGAAAACATTCAGTAACAGGATAGGTATCTATTATAAAAATAAGCTACCCAAAGAATAACGACTCAGAGATAACTACAGAGTGAAATCAATTATTGTGACTTTATTACAATAGTTACAAACAATATTTTAGTGGTAATCATATCACATTTACTCAAACTATATACAAATAGGTATTTTACAAGACTATATTTTAAAAAAAGAAAAAGCAATTAATGACCAAAAAAAAAAATCACATTATGAACAAGATTTTTCTAAAAGTTATGGCCAATAACAAAAATTCACAGTTACTCTGAAAATATTTTAAAGATGCAGGAATCATATTGCACATAATATAATCATAAACCTTACGGAGTAGATTTATATATTTTAATCTAGGTTTTCACAAAATTTACATTATCATGCAATACTTCACTGTATACAGAATGCTGGAACTAGAATAAACAACTTACAAACTTTCAATATAATGGCCACAAAATTAGTTATTTTAAGTTATACTGAAAATAATTTTACTATACAAAAAGAAAAAAAAAACACTCCAGTGTAATAAAACTTAACGGACACAATCATAATTTGTTCACAGATCAAGTGATTTTAGTGTTCTTCTTTGTCTTTTCCTTTCTTTTCCTTTTCATCCTGTAGTGCAGTACCCAGTTTTTTAATAAGAACTGATAGAACCTTGTCAAGTGGATCCATGACTCCTCTTTGAAGCCATTTAGGAATAGTAGTCCTGGCATGATGGAAGCCCAGTTTTTGAAGAATATAATCAACACCTACTGGATCAATCTTTCTTCCAGTCCAAGAGATTAATCTAAAATTACAGATAATAAGTATTAAGCAGTAGGTTCAGGAACATCATAAGCCTCTTTCAGATGTCCGAGGCAGACTCCTCTCAGTAGGTGTGACTGAATGATCTCAGCTGCAATTCCTGGGTTTACAGCATTCGAAAAATGTGATTATAAGTATCCCTGAGAGCCTACACAGCAGTGGAATTAAGTGAATTTCATTCTGATTATTTTAGGCCTCTTAAGTTACAGAGTCATCTTGACATTTAAAGAACATTTGGTTCATTCTAAAAGACAATGTAATGGGAGGAATCCTTTTACAACGTGTACATGTATCAAATTATGACACTGTCCACTTAAAATATCTTACATGTTTTGTAAATTATACCTCAATAAAGCTGAGAAAAAAATGAGTTCGGCATATATGTGGCCTAATGGTGGGGGGGAAAAAAGGCCAAAATTTCCTAAGTGTTTGCTATGTGTTAAACATGTTTAAAGAAAGAATCATTTTCTCCCAATTCCTAGTATTTCCTTCTATTTAGAGGAACAGCCATTAGTGAAACACTCCTGGCTCCCTGTTCCTGTATTAAGGATTTATCTGACTGGCAAGTTAACAGAGGAACTGGGTCGTGTAGTTCAGTACTGTCTTCCCTGCCTTCTCTTAAGAGCCACTCATTTTGCTCCATTGCTTGGTCCAAAAGGTTTCTCAAGGACAGGCCTCTAAATAGGTTAGCGGAAGACTGTTAGAGGCTGCTTGTGGCTAGGTGAGTCCATGAGTTCACAGGGTTGCCGACTGCAGAACTCAAGGTGGGGGCGGGCACACAACTCTGGTGTTCTGCATCGTGAAAAGCCAGTAGTTAAGTCCAAACCTGGACTTTGTAGTAGAGGCCACTGTTGCCGGACATCAAACCACATTCACAGTTAAGAGCTTTGTCAGTACTAAAACTGTTACTTTCATTCTAAGCTGCCTCTCTCTCACTGTTTTAATTGCTTCTGAACTTGGGTAAGGAAAAGGGAGTATTAAGCGCTGGTCTACTAAGACTCTATAGTTATAAGCATTTTGTGTTAACTCATTTAACCATTGTAACAACCCTACAAGGTAGTAATACTGTTCACCAATTTTTTCTTAGGAGACAAGTGAAGCAGAAATAGGTCCTTTGGCCAAGATCATTTAGTTTACTATGCTATCTATACAACTGGACTTAGAGCCAGAACTCTTCAACATGCTCTCCACCACACTGTATTAACTAGTCTCTTGGTGGTATGCTTAAAAAAAAAAAAAAAAAAAAAAGGAAGAATGGCAAATTAAACTATTTACACTCATTTTAAATTAAGATAATTTCATCATAGATTTATAAAATCAAAACAAATTTTCTAAGTAGTTTTCTGCATCAGGATCCTTGCAGTATTTTAATTTTCTTCTGAGTATTGACAGTTAATGCTTCTATATACTGTTAATTAATACCAAATTTTATTGTATACAAATTAACACAAAGTCACTACTTTCTGCTTATACAAGACTCCACTGTAAAATGGATATTTTCTTGCTTTAGAATTATTTTGTGGCATAAATGAATAACAATCCGTATTGTTCTGTAGAAATGTTGTGCTGGAGTATGATGGATTTTTTTTGATACTGTTATTCCGTGATTTAGATGATTAAAAGTTGATTAACAAAGCAGAGGAGAGGAAAGGGGAAAATGATAGGAAGGTTATCAGTGGTAACCGTAAACAAGGACATACAAGTACCACTAGTTAGAGCAGCCATTATAAATGTAATTAAAACTAGAAAATGTTTGAAATGTTAATATGAAAATAAGTTGATGTAACTGGGATCATGATTTTAGTAGAACATGTCTCTAAACAAACCTGAATCTGACAGCATTAAATTCAACATTTCAGGGATAGTTCTATATTGCTTAGCATGCAGACAGAAAGTCATTGTGACACTGTAAGTTCTATTACACTGTCATGACATATGTGAGATGTTTGTTAGCATATCTTTCCAAACTAAGAAACAAAAAAATTTACTGCAGGTACCTCAAATACTTGAAAATAACATCCTGGTAAAAAAGATGGTAAAGAAAATAATAACATCAATAGTGGAGGTGGAGTTATTATATTTTAGTGATTAACAGAATGCCACAGAGTGGAGAGTGCTGAGCTAGGTGTGATGTTTGAGCTTCTTTTGTCTTGCAGTAGAAGCACTTAAAAAAGCAGAATGGAGCAGAAACATAGCCAGAAGTCAGAGATGTCATAAGTAGCTAACGTCTAAAACAGGTTTTTGGTAAACTGTATTTAACTTGCTACATTTATAACCTTTTACTCATGATAATCTTGTAGGATACAGATAAATATATACACCCACTACTTACCTAAGAGTGGGTTCTAGATGCCATGTGTTACACATAAAGTCTCTCCAGTCCACAGTAGTATAAGTGATGCTGTCCTCTCTGTCTTTGTCAGAGGAGTTGTCATCATGTATAATAATTGGACTTTTCTGTCCTGGTCGAGTAGATAAAATCCGAGGTGGAAAAATGGCTATAATGAAAATGAAAATGGTAGATTAATATTGCAAATATGTATCTTATAAATGTATCTTAAATCACCATATGAACAGTATAATTGGCTCCATTTTACTTATGAACTGGCAAAGCCTCATTTAATTACATTTCTGAAAAACTAGTATTTTAAAATAAGCCATAAATAACTGCCAATTATTGGTATTTCTTAAAGACAATATAAAAGTTAACATCTCATTATTTTTGAGGAATAGCATATAATTTACACATATTTGTGTGCTTAAAACTAATAGTAAAGAATGCCAAGACTTATTTGACAGCAAGCATAGGGCATTGAAACTGAGGCTTTTTTTTTTTTTTATTTATGATAGAGAGAGAGAGAGAGAGAGAGAGAGAGAGAGAGAGAGAGAGAGAGGCAGAGACATAGGCAGAGGGAGAAGCAGGCTCCATGCACCGGGAGCCTGATGTGGGATTCGATCCTGGGTCTCCAGGATCGCGCCCTGGGCCAAAGTCAGGCGCCAAACCGCTGCGCCACCCAGGGATCCCGAAACTGAGGCTTTTTAAAGAATGGCTACAGGTGGACACTTTTTTAACAGCTTTATTGAGATATCATACAGTTCACTCATTTAAAGTGTACCACTTAATAGTTTTAGGATGTTAATGTCTCTCTATATATTTGAACACTGGTAGTAACTTAGGAGCTTTTTATGCAAGCAGCCTTTCACTCTTTATAGTGAAGACTCCAGTGCTTTATGAAAGACAAGTTCTTTTTACACTGGTGATCAAAATATATACAAAATTAAAATAAAATCTGAGACAAAGGTAGCTTTCATATGGCAAACTCTAATATATGTAGTATTAGAATAAAAGTTCAAGACAAAAATTGGGCATAAAATAACAGATAAACTATGTAATATCCAGGCATTATATAACTCTGGTTTTAACTTTGTTGTGAATTAGTAGTAAGGATGATATATTGATTGGGACTGAGCCTAGGATAAAGCTGTACTTAGGTTCACACTACAGAAGAGTATAGATGTTTTCAGTTATTGCCTGCTCAAAACTGCTCTGCTTTTATTACTGGTAGTGGTTACAGTGCTACAATCTATCTTGATTTTCTAGAAATATGTTGATTCTGGTCTAGCCTTACATGCTGTTAAAAATTAGGCATGTTTATGCCAATTTTGAACAGAACTGCTTTTAGTTTTTAATAACAAAATATAGCTATTAAAATATTTTTACTTATAATTGAAATTCCCATAGATAATATAACACTTGGTCATTGAAGGCTGATAATCAAGTTCCCATTTCCTTTTTTCCTATTGAAAGAATGTTATACAGGTTTGCTTTTCTACTTTTAATTTAAATATAATTTATACATAATATTAAATTAGTTTCAGGTGTACAACATAGTGATATAGCAATTAATATACATTTTGAAATACTTGCCAGAAGTGTATTACAGTATTATTGACGATACCCCTTGTGCTGTACTTTTTATTCCCATGATTTATTTTATAACTACAGGTTTGTATCTCTTGTCCATTTTGCCCATCTTGCCACTCCTCTCCCCTTTAGCAACTGCTAGTTTGTTCTCAGTCTTTTCTCTCTTTTTTGTTGTACAGCAGTTTGTATTTAATAAGTGGGTTTTTTTTTAATGTGCACAGTTCATGGCAGATCAAGACCAACACAGTATTTCATAAAATTACAAAGATTTCACAAATAACTGTGAGAAAGAAATCTGGCAGGTTTTTATATTGACATAGACTAGAAAAGAATTCTGAACTTCGTAGGTTTTCTTAGAGTCTGTTTTTTTTCCACGTGAAGTTTAACTATTAAAACAGAAAAACAAGGGGATTACTAGGGACTGGTGTATGTTGGTGCTATAAGTGAAGACAGGATTTACTTGTATATAATATTTCCTATTATATAGTTTCAGTCATTTAAGTTTCAACTAGTATCGCATAGATTCCTCCAGCCATCATTACTGCTTTTACTCTCAGGATTTTTGGCACATCTAGATGAATATTAATGGAACAGCAATTCAGTCTATGCTATGCTACTTTTGCATTGATTTTTGATAATCTGTTTCTTCACTCAAACATTTATCATGAGGCTATTTTGAAATACCTGCTAGAAAAATTTTATAGTTTTGTTCATTAGGAAAATGAAGAATTATAGGGTGACCTAAACAAATAGCATGTATTCCAAGCAATTAAAAAAAATCACATCTGTCATTTTACTACTATATATTCATATATTTGTGTAATATATATTTACTGGGTGCATAAAGACCATATATTTGGATATCATTCTATATCATTATATTTCAGACTACCCCATTCTTTTAAGCAGCTACAGAGTATTCCATTCCATTATACGGACACCATAATATATTCAACCAGTTCCATACAGATATTAGGGTTACCATTTGTTTCTTAACAGACAAACATGTCAATTTCTAGTGAGTAAGCCAATGTTAGCTAGCTCATAAAAACAAAACACTACCACTGAAGTCTAATTTATTTATTTAAAAATGTTCTCTGCATTCCAAACAGATTTATCTAACTTAATTCAGTTTTCCTGACAATGTATACAATTCATGCTATTCATTATGTAGTTGTGTCTTTAGCCATTTCACTTTGACTATCAGTATTTCCTTAAAGAGATTTTCTTTCTCATCCTTCTTTGTGAGATTCTCCTACAGGGCCTGATAATGTACATAAGATATATGGAAACACTTTGTAAAGTATAAAACACCATCCAGGGACGCCTGGGTGGCTCAGCAGTGAGCACCTGCCTTTGGCTCAGGGCGTGATCCCAGGTCTGGGGATCAAGTCCCGCATCAGGCTCCCTGCAAGGAGCCTGCTTCTCCCTCTGTCTATGTCTCTGCCTCTCTCTGTCTCTCATGAATAAATAAATAAAATCTTAAAACACCCACACACACACACCATCTAGTGTGAGTTATGTATAAAAGTGTCATGGACATAGCAGACACTCAGAATGTCTGTCACATAGTTTTACTAACATATTATTGATATTTATTTCATTGATTGATATTTACAATTTAAAGGAAGGAGACAGAGTACACATTTTACCATTAGACCATAAAAATCCATATAAATGGTACTGACAACGGCCTTTCCTGAAATGGGAAAGAAAAAAAGAATATACTACCCACCTTTTTCTTTTTCCTTAAGATAAGCAGACACTAAATCATGAAGGAACATGATGAGCTCAGCATCCATAGTCACACAAATGTGGTCAGTGAACTCTGTCACCACACTACATTCTACCTTCGGCTTCAGGCTGGCATCTGCAATGGCAAAGTTCTATAGTAAAAGATTTCTTAAGTCCCTTTCACTTCCTGTTAATAACAAGCGACATGGGTTCATGTGAATGCATCCATTTAAATGCAACTAGAACTGAGTAGTTTCTATATGTGATTTACAAATGATAATAGTTTACTGAGCACTTTCCAAGTACATGCCATTTATTAAAATGCATAGAAACCCTATGCATGAAATCCTGTTATTTTCCTCCCATATCACTGAAGAGAAAGAGGCACAAATGGATCAAACTATATGCCAGAAGTCATATAGCTGGTAAGAAAATTTGACTAAACAAATCAATTTCATTAGACTATATTACTATTACACAGACAACCTATGCAAAACCCGTAATTCAGAGTTCCTTTAGAATTTTCTTAGTAACTTTAGAAACTTTTTCCACATACCCTGTAATGAAGGTTCCTGTGGTTCTTGAACATGAATGGATTTAAATTCAAGCTGCATCCTTGGTAATGCAAAGATAGTTTCTGTTTCATGATTGTAGCTAGAACCTCCTCTGAATCCACTCAACAAACTAGAATTCTTCACTGTAGTGCTATTCTCAGTGTTATTAGCATCAACGTTACGAAGTAGGTTTAGCTCTACATGGACAATAATAAAGACAAGAAGAATCAAATTAAACCAACAGGCAATGATAAACCTATAGCTTTCATGACACTATTATACATAGAATTTTTATCATTTTAGAAGTTGGAAAATAATGACTTACATTTTTAAAAATAGAGCCATATAAAGTTTTGGTCTTGAGAACATATAAATATAAATATAAATATGCAGTGTTTTACATATATATATATATATGATAGTGATGTATATCACTCTTCTCAAGACGAAAGCTTTATAACATAATTTTGGATAAATCTAATACATTTTGGTTTTGTTTCTCAAATTTAAAACTTTAAAATTATTTTTAACTAAATTAATGTCTAAATTTAAGGATTTCATTAAGCTTAGAGTTCTCTAGATTGTTTTACCCTTACAGAATTTGCAATTAAATATGTTCTTGACCTTGAATTAAGGTAGAAGTCTTGATTTTTCCCAACATAAGTGCTATGGTTTCCTTAGAAAACCTAGCAGTTTTCAGGTATATAGGCAGCAGTGCAGTTTGCTAATACTCCATGGTATCCCAGCCCAAAAGAACTCCCTCCTCCAAAATCTCTTTGGAAGGTATAATATTCAATAGTTAACACATGCATAATCTTCTAATTCACTTCCTTATCATTCTTTGTTCCTAAAACATTTTTAATAGGCCTAAACCCTGGTGCAGCCTATTCCATAATAATTATTTTCAATGGGGCACAAGTCATCTTTCCCATTTTGAAACATGGTTTTTTTTACGTAAAACATTCCAGTCTTAGCAAGTCTCAATCAGTCACCCTTCCAATACAGATGACATAGTTGGTAAAATCAGTACTTGAACCCACAATATAAGAGTTTTCTGGCTACATTATTACAAGATTGGTGATTCTAATCAAATGGGAAAACTCATCATACTCCTTTTAAACTTGTTTCATAGGAATATTATTAAGTTTTATTTTATTCCAACAACCCCAAACCTTAAAGTTTGTGGCTACATTATTACAAGACTGGTGATTCTAATCAAATGGGAAAACTCATCATACTCCTTTTAAACTTGTTTCATAGGAATATTATTAAGTTTCATTTTATTGCAACCAACCCAAACCTTAAAGTTTGTGGAATTCAGTGACTTAATTGTGTAGTAACTTTACCAAACTTGTGATGTTAAGCATCAAAGAAAAAATATTTTTCTAACTATAATAAACTTCATTTATTTAAACCAATTATTTGGAATGTTTTCAGTTACGTCTAAAATAATTTTTAGTCTGAGATTTTGCACTATCAGAGTGGTGAATTATGTACTAATATTGTCATTTATGTCATCATGAGTAAAATGCAACTAGTTTAATTAAAAAATGAAAATTTTCCCTCTACTTAAATTCTAAATGGAGGCAACAGAGCCCCAGACACAGAAAACAAATCTCTCCAAAGAAATAGACTTTTAACCTTCATTCCTTGTGGCTGTAACATAATTGAACCATTCTTTTACACTTGCTACTCCATGGGGTGGATTTTCATGGCGACGTCTTGTTATCTTGGTTATTGTTGCCATAGGACTTTCCAAAGCACCACATGGTTTGGTAACCATGGTATTATGGCCCAGATGAAAATCCAATGTTTGTACTATGTATGTAGAATGATCACTAGAGCCTAGAAGGAAAAAAAAGTTTTTAATGTTAACAAACTATGTTTAGATGCAAGAAAATAGTTGTGGGTCTAGAGTAATAGATTTAGTTAACTCATACATAGATAGGGAAGGGTGTAAAATTGAGAAGAAAAAAATCACATATAATTTTTCTTTCTTTTAGTTCTAACTGAATTTATCCCTGGTAAGATGATGAGCATCAACCATTCTTTCCTTCATCATTATGGAACCACAGAATAGGAAATGATAGCTAATAGGTGAGGTTTATCACTGTAAACAGAGGTAAAGGCACAGCCTTATCCATAAAAGTTTTATAATTTAATCTTGACTATTTCCTTAAGCTACCACCATGTGTATTTTATGTTTTTATAATATTTATAATAACTATTATGACTGTGGCCAGCCATAGCAGCAGGAACTTTAATTGCCTAGAGTAAGAAACAGAATAGGATGGCAAGTTCAGAATAAGTCCTTCCTCGTGCTCCAGACTTTATAGATACTGACTCACTGGCAGGGAACTCCTTGACATGTCAAGTACATAAGAACAAATAGACATGGACTTCAGAAATATAACAAAAACATATAAAAGATACGAGAAAGGAAAATTTCTCTGTCATCTATAATCATATCAGAAGATAAGAAAAGGTAAAAGTTATGTGTCAGTTTACCATCTTCCCAGATTTTCTGAGCTTCAGTCCAAAAAGCAATATTTGGTTCTTCTAAGTGAAAGAGGGCCCAGGATTTTGAACGGAAATTTGGACCATGAAAACAAGCTAGTGTCATATGATTTCCATGTAAGCTCATTGATCCTCCGAACTGCATTCCATTTTCTGGTAATGGAATCTGAAATAAGGATATGTGACATCCTGATACCACCTTCAATACTCCAGGCCAATGTCGATGATGAGCTGCGTCAAGCACTGCAAGAAAACCAAAAACCACTTATTCTCAAGTGTCTCACAAGCACCCTGAAAAGCAGCGAGGAAGGCAGAATTTTCTGTATTTTCTACAGCTGAAGTGATACAGGTAAAGGATGAAAATAATCCAACATGTGGCTAACATCAAGCAGAAGCTAATAAAAGTACAGTCTGGGAAAAGATGCTGCATAAGGATGACTAGAATTAAAGAAAGAAGTAACTTGCTAATAATTACAACTAACACCTCTGTAATGATTCATGATTTATAAAGCGCTTGCATGAAATTTGACACAATTCTCACAATAACTCTGTAAATTAGGTATTTCATTTAGATTCTTTTCAAGTAAAGCAGAAAAGGGGTTAAGTGAACCAGTGACTAGAAGGGCTAGAAATCAAATGGTGATCTCCTAATTTTTTTTACTTGCTTATACCCCTGTTACTCAAAAGTGAGACCCGAGGACCAGCAGCAGCAGCATCACCCAGTGGCTTGTTAGAAGGAAAAAGAGACTCTTAAGTCCACCCTATACCTACTGTATCAGAATCTGCATTTTAATGAGATCTCCAGGTACACATTAGATACACATTACAGTTCAAAAAGCACTAGTCGGATGTAAAATTCATATTTATATTCTTCATTTATGCCAGTAATGTTCGTAGGCTGTTTTCCACAACTCTCATTCCAGATCCAACCAAGGATCATTCATTGTATTTAGTTGGCATGTCTCTTTAGTTTCCTTTAATCTAAAATGGATTCCTAAGCCTGGTTTGTTTTCCAAGACAAGGACTTTTAAGAATCCAGGCCAGTAGTTTTGAGGAATATCTCTCTAACTTGTTTATAACTGACACCAATTCTAGTTTAAAAGAAATACAGGGGTTAGAGGAACAAGATAAATGAGACCACAAGAAAACAACTGAAAAAAATGTAAAAGATAGGACATTCTGCAAGACAATTGGCCAAGTAGCTTCAACAAGTGAGGTCAAGGAACATAACCAGACTTCATCTGTGATATTGAATCTGATATATTGGTTTGGACACATCAGTTGTAAGAATAGTTTTAAGTCAAATGTAGAAGGTGGTCAGAAGGCTAGAGGAGATATATACTTTGCAAAGTGGAAAATAATACTGTTCACCAGAAAAAGTTACAAAACAGTATGAACAATATTTTGGTAAAAAGTACACAGGTGTTACAGGTTTATAGAAAATTATCTGAAAGTATATAGTCTAAATTGTTCAGTGATGATTTCTGGGAGGAATGTGATGTTTCTATTTTTTGCTTGTATGTGTTTTCCAGGCTTTTCCAATGCACATGTACTGCTTCTGTGATTATAAAGAGTTACTTAAAATTATCCTGATTCTGACTACTCTTCACCACTTTTACCTCTCTCTAGTTAAAGCTGTCATCATTTGCTGTCAGGACTCTTCTGAAGGCCTCCTTACTATAACTATGTGTGTAACAACAGTAATGATAGTTACTGCAATGATTTCTATTTCCACTCTTAACCACCTGTAGTCTATTCTGCACAGAGCAACCAGAATGACTCTTTAAAAAGGAATATCTTGAGAAAGAGTAAATCAAGTATCAAATCTGTTCAGAACTCTCCAGTACTACATATCGTATTAAAAATCTTATCTGTGGCCATTCATGTCTGACATTTTCCTGCTTGCTCACTCTTTTCCACCAAAGTAGTCGCCTTAATGATCCTCAAATAAGCCAAGTTTCTTCTACTGTAGGAGCTTTGCCCTTTTCAACAAATCCCTATGCCTAGAACTCTCTTCCCCAGCAGAGATCTTTCTAGTCTAAAACTATAAAAGGCTTCTCTGACCACCTTTCTAAACTAGCTAGCCTAACACAGTATTATTCTTTATCTCCCTCTCCTGGTTTTTAAGCACATCTTTTTATCTGAAATTATCTTACATATTTAGTAGCAAATTAATTATGGTCTATCTCTCCATTAGAACAAAGCTTTATGTAGGTAATTTTGTCTACTAGTAGACATCCTATGCCTAAAACTGTACTTAAGAACATAATTGATTTGCTGATAGAATTATTGAGTGAAAATAATAATCTGTCTCATATAACACAGCTAATAAATCCAAAATCAGACATCCTGATTCCATAGCCCATGCTTTAAACCAGAACATGGTATTGTCATAATCAGTATTCAAGAGCATGGAGTTGGTATGGTTATAGGTGAGTTGTGGGAGGGGGAGGAGGTAATAAATAATTACTTCCCAAATTATGGCCTTTAATTCCATTGGTGGGAAGGAATCAGGTACTTTGCCGAGTGAATAGAATAAGGAGCATACACGGACCACTTTGTAAATATGGTACATAGATATTATTTTAAATTAAGATTGAATACAACATTTAGTGGAAAAAAAAAGCATATATAAAGGCTTAGTTCTAATTCTTACATTGTTCCTGTGAACTTTTCTCTAAGTTATTTGTCATTGTCTTAGGTGGAAGATATGGAACGGGTCCCCAGGTAGACAAAGCTCGTTTGCTGGTATCAAACTGTTGTGTAAAAAATTCCTGGAGCTTCATTCCTATTTTTATCAGGTCTGGTGTAGTTGATCGTGATATCATTACTTGGAAAATATCCCACTTCAAATCTCCATGGACAAATATTTCACTAAAGCATAAAACAGAGTTATCATATATCTTATAGAAGATAGCTAAACAACAAGAAAAATTCCCTTCTCCACCCAGATTTTTCATTCATATTAGTTGCATAATATAAAATCATTTTGTAAGAAAAATGAATTGTTTCTCACTGGATAAGAAAAAAACATATTAAGAGCAGTCATAGAAAATATCTAAAAGTAACATTTTACTAAATACCTTTTATCAGTCATGCTCGAATCCAGTGTATTATACAGGTTTACTTTCCATTCATCCTGAAGCTTGAGATCTGCATTACTGAAGATACCCATGAGGATACTTGAGCCCATGTAATCAACTCGAGCTTCAGTAGAACCCATAGTAATCTGAATTTTGTGACTAGGTTGCTGATTTGGATGTTCAGAAATATGAGCTAAAAGAGAAACAAAATAATTACTTTTCATAAAAATGCATCATGGGGAAAACTTATCAAAATTAATTTTCAAAAACCTGTTTTCAGTTGCTTCAACATACCAACCATCTCCAAAGCATTGACATCTATGGTCCCTCCAACTACTCCTCCTTTAGAATCCAACTGTGATCTTCCCAGACCAACAGACATGCTTATCTCTCGATCTCGATTACTTCCTACTGACAGACGGCCCTGGCTCTTCAAACCACTAGTTGTCCAACTGGAAAAAAGAAAAAGGGTTATTAAGTAGACATATAGTTTTCAATGTCATAAGTTAAAACAGGAATGAGAGGATTTTTTAAAAGTTTAACAAAATATTTCTTATAAAAACTGTGGTAAATGTTTGAATATTGATAATAAAGCTTTCTTCGTAGCAAATTACACTGTTTTCCTTATAATTTTCTTTTTAGAATACTATATTCCATGCCACTTTATATTACAGTACTTTTAGAATAAAGCCATTTTCAAAATAAAGAAACTTACAGCTTTTTTCTACTGTCTCAAACATTTCAGTATTAAAAAGGTTTTTTTTTAATTTTTATTTATTTATGATAGAGAGAGAGAGAGAGAGGCAGAGACACAGGCAGAGGGAGAAGCAGGCTCCATGCACCAGAACCCAACGTGGGATTCGATCCCGGGTCTCCAGGATCGCGCCCTGGGTCAAAGGCAGGCGCCAAACCGCTGCGCCACCCAGGGATCCTTTAAAAAGGTTTTAAATTGCTTTACTACAACATAAGAAAAATCACAACTAATGACTAATTTTCCTTGTATCTGAATAGCTTACGTTGTATTTCCCATTACATTACTCATATTCATTTGAACATTTAATTGCTTCAAGTTGATGGCAAATACGACCAATGTTTCCCATGGGGTCCCTTGTTGGCTTGCTGCTTTGTTTGATTTGTTAAAAGGAGTTGATGTTTTTGAAAGTGAATCTAAAAAAAGAAAAATCAAATGCACATTCATTCACATAGATGCTCAGGCAATTAAAAATTACCATTCTTATCACTATAATCCCCAAAATAAAAATATGGTATTCTTAATTAAAACCTAACAGTTAATGGCTGTCATGTAGCCTCTAAAATACCAGCTACAATTTGACTGAATGTTTAGTAAGGGCAGGCAGTCTTCCTGAAAAGGCTCATAAAGGTCTGTATGATCTTCATTCTATATGAGGAAATTCTGGTATGCATGGAATAATACAGCACAGATCATCACCCTAGGATTTTCTTTACAAAGGAGAAAATCATAGCTGCTGCTACCAAATAAAAGACTTGAAGGCAGGGACTATTCTGAAATGCAGACACCTACTGAGGCACCGGTCTGCTGGGGTTCCTGTGGGTCAGTGTGTATCCTGAATCCTACATTTACTCATTACACTCTAAGCTTGTGACATGAACTATATCATTTTTATATGTTCAGACACAAGTAGAGTTCTGAGCACAAAAAAGAGTTCAAAAAACACTAGCTGAATAAAAGAATGACTGAATGGATGAATATCAAAGACTAACTTTTTCATAAATGGGTCTGACATTCAGAAAAAAAATCAACTTTTTCTAAATCAAACATCTTTTACAACATTGTAGGTTTGTTTTTACTTCTAACTGTACCATGTAGAACAAACTAACAATATGCTCATTCCTCTTTTCCTTTCCTTTTTCAAAGCTACTAGCCATCCAGCTCTCTCTTCTGGCAAGTACTTTGAAGTGTTTAGTTTTGGGTATTCCCACCCCCTATCTTCCATAAAAATCTGCAAGGATATATTTTCCTACAGTTAAGGCAGGAATCTGGGAGTAACAAATAAGATTTTTATCTTGGGGGCACTGGAAGGATACTGATAACAAAGGGAGCAGTGTTACCTCTTCGGGGAACTGAAGAATCAGACACACTCCTTGATCTTATGGAAGCTGGGGATTTTAGGCTCTGTGCTGCTGTCCCTGGTGACATGGTGCTGTTTGTCATGTGCTCATTGAACACATTAGGTGATTGAGGCATATGTGTGAAGGAGGCTGACTGACTAGGCTGCTCCCAGGTCCTGCAGTAAGCTTTTCTTGATGATTCAGGGGAAAGATGTTGGCTTACTCCTTCAATGGAGTCAGGTGTCCCTGGGCCAGATGCTATTAGAAAAGCAGAAACAAAGTTAGCCAGGGTAAAATCTCCATGTTATAAGAAATTTCACCACTCTACCATTTCTAATTTGAGAACTGGACAGCAATTTATGGTTTGCAAAGTACATTCCAGCATGCTATTTCATTTAATTCTCATGGAAATTCATGAGAAGAGCAATGCAGTTATTCCCTTTTCATTTTACAAATAAGGGAATAGAGGGGTGCCTGGGTGGCTTAGTTGGTTAAGCATCTGACTCTTGATCTCAGTCAGGTCATGATCTCAAGGTCCTGAGATTCAGCCCTGCATTAGGCTTCATGCTGGGCAGGGAGCTTGCTTGGGATTCTCTCTCTTCTCCTTCTACCCCTCCTGTGCCCCCAGGTCATGCAAGCCTGCGTGCTTTCTCTCTCAAAAAAACAAATAAGGGATAGACTCAAACTTGGATTTCTAATATTTTCTGCCGTATCATGCTAACTCTACCTTTCACTTATACAGTATGGTACTACAACAATATCTAAGAGAAAAATGCAGGCAGGGTAGTAGCATATCCCCAACATCTTCCGTTTTCCATGCTTAATTAACCATGATTAACTTGGATGATTAGATGGTATTTCTGCATTTCCAGATTTACAGATTACAGAATAATCATTATAGAATATAAATCAGCTGAATAATCTCTAAGAGAGTAAGCTTTTTGTGATCTCCAATACTACTGTATTCGCAGTGGTTACCACATTAGAGGCACTCAGCAGACATATGTTGAATGAATGAACTGTTTGGGTTTTTGTTACTACCGTAACCAAAACAAAAGGTAACCTAAGTATAATTATAATTACATAACAAGCTTACTTGGCAAGTTTATAGTTTGGTCCCCAAGGAATAGTCGTCTTGCGATACTTCTCCTATACCAGGCTCTTGGAAATGCCAGAATTTCACTGAGTCGACGCATATCATATTTAAAGGAGGCAGACCCTATATCACATACAGCTGATACATATATAAATAAAATCTGTTAGAACAGATTTCAAAACCTTTAATATTGTCACATGGCAGGTATAATATGACACATAACTGAATTATGTTATAATTAGTGAAATATCAAAATAAGTTACATGGTATGATTAGTAAGTGAAAATATTTGTTCCTTCCACAAATGATACAAATAGCACATTTTTACACTACTCTCATTTCATTTTTTATTTTATTTTTTTCTCATTTCATTTTTTGAGGTGAGGGCAACTTGGAATTCTGTTACTACTTTATCTTGAAATGCTGAGCGGTTCTAAAGATCAGACTTATTGACAGCTTTCAACTTTAACTGCTTTTCTCAAATATGGAGACTGAATAATCAGGATGGGCAGGAACACAAACTTCCTCAAAAGTAGTTGCAAAACACAAAGTCTGTGGCAAGAACTACTTTTTTCCTTTTAGACAAAGAGCAGTGACTTGTCAGTCTGAAGAATTCTGATGGCCACTTCTTGGGGCTCTACTCTGAGCACTCTTCTGCTTCTGCATTTCCTTCATGCTCTCCTATTCCTCCACCATAGCTTCTGTAAGGATTTACCCACCAATGTTTCCCACATCAACATTTTTGTTTCAGCCTGAGTCCATATCCAGATAGCCCATCAGCCAATTATCTACTAGATTCTCCACCTAAATGTCCTATTAGGAACTTTCTTATTTTCTAAGTTAATTATGTTCCATTGTCCCTCCAGTCATCTAAGCTAGAAACTTGTCGCATCCTTGTCTCCTCCACACCTTATACAACTTGTCCTCGAGGTTGTGGATTCTATTTCTCTTAAAACCATTCCTTCTTCTTTTTTATTGTTATAGTTCAGGGCTTCACTCCCTATTGCTTGGTCTAAACAGCCTTTGCAAGCATCTCTCCCATTTTTCATGCTGCCATCGACTCTTTCTAAAACACCAATCTGAAGCATCATCTCATTTCTTTTTTAAAATGTAAACGTTATTTTATAATCCATATACAATTTCTATGTGTATGGTAAGAACACTTAAAATGAGATCTACTATCTCCACAAATTTTTCTTTGTCTTCACAGATTTTTAAGTGTACAATACAGTGCTGTTATCTTTAACAGTGCTGTTATCTTTATCTTTTTTTTCTTATTGTGTAACTTATTTTTTTAACGTGGACAGGGGACCCTGAAAAATCACAAAGTTGTTGAAAATGTGTATGTGCTACTATTTGGTATGCTTAAGGAACATGGGAAGAGCTCACAATTGAGATCCCATGGGTTTTTGTTTTGCTTCTTCCCCAAATCTAAAGCTGACTGCTGGGAGAACATCATTTTCTCATTTCCACTGGAGAACTACCCCCCTTAGGCCCTGTGAGATGCAGTCACCTCTTTTTATAAAGGGAAACCAGACCAGGCCTAAAAGTGCCCCTAGCTCTCTCATACTTGTAAATTGTGGGAAAGGGAACTAAAGTGTATGAATTACCCTTCCCTGTTATCCTAGTGAATAGCCATACAGGCTATGGTGAACAACAACAAAAAAGTCAGAAGGACCAATACAGCCCCTTTTGTAAGAATTTTGAATGTTTTGTAAATATATAGGTCCAATTGTTGTCATCACATTTCTTGAAAACCTCCTATGGCTTTTCATCACCCAAAGGATCAAAATCCTTGTTCTTTAGCCTGGCATACAAGTCTCCCAACAATTTAGTCCTTGTCTGTTTTACCAGCTTTACCTCTAGTCAATTCCTCTCTCCCTTGGGACACTGAACTGTACAACCAGTTAAATGTTCAGTTATACCTATGCTTTGTTTGAGTGAACCAAGTTATGATCCTACAGCATACGTTTTGATGCTTCTGTATCATTAAATAACATGTTGCTATAGCCAAGAATTTTTTTTACAGAATTTTGAAGATCTAGCCAAATATCATTTCTTTTATGAAGCCTTCTCTGATCTCCTGAATAAAACAATCTGTTTCTTTCTCTTTATATAAACCTCCATTACAGCATTAATCACACTGCACTGTCATTTGTCTACTTGTAAGACCTTTCCTTATTCAGGCCAGTTTCCTGAATCATCTAGCAGAGTTCCAACACAACTTCACTGTAAAGTATGGGTTCAGTGTATATTTGTTGAATGAATATTAGCTGTAAGTGTACTTACTATATTTGTACAATACCTTTAAAAGTTTTCACTCCCATAGTACTCTGAATTCAAAATGTTCCACATGCATTTAATTTTAAATAATCAGATTGCAATATAAAGAAAATAAGCAAATGATTTGCCCATAGGTATTTATAAAGCTAGCAATACACATGTACAACAATTTAAGATCTTACAACACCAAGTACAAATTTTTTAAACCTTATCCTTATTAGTGTTTTAAGAATTTATAATCAGAAAACTTAGCTAATGGAAAAACAGGAATTTTACCAATTCATGGTAGAGAAGTAAAGAAAAGAAGCATTTTTCAGTGATTTAACTAGGCATATTTTGGCCTTTGGGTGATATTTCTATGCATTTATCTAGAAATCATATTCTTAACACTTTTTACTTTGAATGAGATAGCACATTGGCCTAGACTATTATTCCTCTACTTAAATCATCACTAAAAGCTTAACATTATTAAATGTATTTAATATTTAAACAATTAAAAAAGAGGCTCTTAATTCTGAAAAACAGTATCTTAATTAAGAAACTATAACTATACAATTAAGTACCAGATATATTGATTAGTGTAGTGTCCATTTTGCTTGCAGACTTGCTTACAGACTGATTTTCAAAAAATGAGGCTCCTCCTGAACGCCTTATCCGAGACAAACTCACTTTCACAAATTCAAGGTTTATACTGAGTGAGTCTTTTCGACCAGTGACTGAAGTGGGTTCTTCATCCACATTCCCTTTAAAACAAACACAAAACATGACATACACACACACATATATGTATATATGTATATGCAACTATCTAGTTTCATGAATTATCTAATACACTGGAATATGACATCAATTAAAATCACTTTAAGTGAGGTAAAAATTTAAGAAGAATGATCTAATGAGCACTAGTATTCTTAACAATAGTTTAATAGTATCAGCCCATAAATAATAGTAATGATTTTCACATTTCTCCAACAAAAACTAGCATTGACATGGAGTATGTTTTTGTTATTTCTCTAAGTAAATCAAGAGACATTCGCTAGTATCAACATCTCATAAATTTTTAGTGGTAAATCTGCCTTTAAAATGACAGTGAAATTTAAGTTGGTTAAATAATGGCAAGAAGGAGAAGAAGCAACAGCAGAAGGTGGTTCATTTAAAATTGACAGATGTGATGTACATACTTTAAAAACTTATTATTTGTAGAATAAAATTTCCACAAATAATGATTTGGTGAAACATTTAAACATTTAAGTAACATAAATTTCCACTTAAATCTAAAGAGTATTGTGCTGCATATGTCACTTACAAAATATTGTTTTAAAATTCTTGTTTAATTAATTCATCTGAATTCTTTATTTCATAGTTCTACTTCTGTAGAGACAGGATTGATACTACTAAGAGGAAAAATAAAGTTTCTGATCTTGTTTTATATCCATTATTAAAGTTATTATGATTTCTGAAAAGATCAAAGCTTGAAAAAGTGCTATAAATTCAAAAAAATGAAAACACTCTAAGTATACCTAGTCCTCCGGATCCAGGTGTGAGCCCAGAAACAGCAGTTTTTTGTTTCCCTGCTCCATATGGATGAAACACGTAAAGGGAAAAGTCAGACATGCATGCAGTGAAGCTCAAACCAGATGAACTGCTGCTAGAACTGGTCAGATCCGATTGACTACTACTATGTCGACTTCTGCCAAGAGGGCTGCCTAGGCCTGATGAACCTATAGTGAACACAAGAAATCCAAAATATTTATAAGCCACAGGAAATTTTAAAAGCCTGTCACTTAATATATTCTTAAGAGACAAACAAGACTTGAAATTAAAATGGAAATATTCAAACATTAATTGATCAATAGATCTAAAACCTTGAAATCAAAATATTTAGATTTACTTTTCAATTAATTTATTCTATTAACCAGGGTTGAATACTTTGCTCATCTTTGAAACAATTATTTAGACATATGATTGGCTAACTCCATGGTTTCCTGTTTCTTTTCTTCTTTGCTCTACTGGAAGTAAGCAGTGGAAGAGGCACAGAATAGTTGGGGCTTAAGTGAAGGGGGAAGAAAACAAACTATAAAACATCTAAATAGTATAACCAGAGTCCACATTTAAGTACCAAGCAGTAGAAACAGAGCAAGGTAGACAAATGCAGAAAGGTAAAGATCTTTCTCTGGGAAGAAGCAAGTGTCCTCATGTTTAAGCCACATGATCTGGCTCTTTCCCATCTCTCTAAATCTTTTTCATACCAATCTACCTTTGTTTGCCACATTCCACTTACACTACTTCTTTGTATTTGTTTTTTAAACTTGTCAAATTCTTTCTTGCTTCATGGATTTTGTATTCTCTAATTAAAGTGTTCATCATCCCAACTCTCTGCTTGGCTAACTCATACTCACCTACTCCACATTTAAAATATGCTAGTTTGCTTATTGTCTGTTTTACCAGATTTAACTTAGGTTCCACATCAGCAGAATTATATCTGCTAGCTAGGTTCACTACCATCTATTCAACCCCCAGCACTGACCTGGAAACCAGTAAAGTTCAATAAAGATCCTTTTAAAGAATGGATATTGTCATAACCTATACTTCTTATACATTTATTCTCATCATAATTCTTCTTGCATGTTTTACAATAATAAAATGAGGGATGCTACTTCATTTTTTTATTTTATAAAGAATCAAAATGTGGACATAAAAATAGTTGCTCATTCCTTTCTCTTTTTTAAAGATTTATTAATTCATGAGAGACACAGAGAGAGAGGCGGAGACATAGGCAGAGGGAGAAGCAGGCTCCCCACGAGGAGCCCAATGTGGGACTTAGATCCTAGGATCTCAGGATCATGACCTGAGCCAAAGGCAGACGCTCAACTACTGAGCCACCCATGCACCCCTAGTTGTTCATTTCATACTCCTTTCACTACATATAGTTAGCACGGTACATATATTTACTATTCTAATAACTAAAAGTGTCAGTAATTTGTGACATTTTGTCATTAAGAAAACAAGTGATTCTCCCAACAGAGAAATGGACAGGGGCATATTTATCTCCCTCTCTCCTTAGCCAATATGGAAATAACACACAAAATAAAACCTCATTTCAGTCCATCACATTAACAATGATTAAAAATAAATTTAAAGCATAATGTTGGGAAGAATACAGTGAGCTTGCAGTCTACGCACACTGTGGTGAGAATGCAGACATCTTATATTCACTGGAAGAGTAAAACTATCAAACACTTTAAAAATGTTCATTCTTTCTGATTTAGGAATTCCACTTTTAAGAATTTATCCTAAGGATGCTGATTTATATACAAAGATATTCATCTCAATATTATTTACAAAATAGAAAACAAAAAGCCTGGGGAGTCTTAAATGATCAAAATGATGGAATATCATCCCTATCATTAATTTTTTAAAAAAATTTTGTAAAGTTATTTTAGAGATGAGTATTTAATAGTTTGGGAAAACCTGTACTTTAACTTTTCAAAAGATACATAAAAGAGATCATATTTAAATTTTGCCTGGGAAGAGGACTGTATCTATAAAAATGCTGGAGAGTAGGCAGGAAGTGATACTACTGGTTATCTACAATAAAAGAATATTATTTTCATTTTTAGCACTCTTGTTTTCTTTAACCTCTATAGTGAACAGTGAGTTAATTTTATAATCAAAGAATATTTTCAAAAAATGACACTACCACTCCAATTTTTTATAAACTACAACACAATTCCAACAGCAATATATCTTTTTTTTTTTTTTTGATTTTTATTTATTTATGATAGTCACACAGAGAGAAAGAGAGAGAGGCAGAGACACAGGCAGAGGGAGAAGCAGGCTCCATGCACCGGGAGCCCGATGTGGGATTCGATCCCGGGTCTCCAGGATCGCGCCCTGGGCCAAAGGCAGGCGCCAAACCGCTGCGCCACCCAGGGATCCCAGCAATATATCTTTTTAAAGATTTTATTTATTTATTCATGAGAGACACAGAGAAAGAGAGAGGGGCAGAGATACTGGCAGAGGGAGAAGCAGGCTCCATGCGGGGAGCCGGGTGTGGGACTCGATCCCGGGACAGGCCCTGAGCCAAAGGCAGAGACTCATCCACTGAGCCACCCAGGCGTCCCAAAGAGCAATATTTTGGAGGTAAGTGTGACAGTAGGCAATCATTAGCAAAAATTTATTTCTAAAATGTCAACTTTTTGTTTTCATATTTTATGAGGAAGACTTTCAAAGATTCATACAGCAAAGCAAATGTTTTGCTTTAGCCATTTTTCAGTGTCTTCTGACATTGCGAAATATCACTTGGGGGCTTTTTACCGCAGTTATGAACCACTGTTTTAAGAGTTCTCTTCTTATCAATTTTCATACATTCCAGTCTCTTTAAGAGTCTTCAATAAATCTTTATCATTTGCATATGTGATCTCTCTCTGATTTTTAGGGCAGAAATGACACTAAGCTTTAATACAGTGAACAGTGACTATCTTACCAGGAAATCATTGGTTGTATTTTAAAAACAAAACCTTTCATGATATAAACATTTGAGTTAGGCAACAAAATTTATCAATAAACAAACACACACATATATATAAAATTATAATTAAATACACAAACACATAAACTACACCTCATACAACTTCAATTTACTGTGATAAATTCTTGCAAGATAATATATCTCTTATTTTCCATTTGTAAGACTGATTGCTCTTAAATGTAAAAACAGAGCATAAAATAAAGCATTCAAAGATACTTAAATGTATGATAGTTATTTCATAGTGCTTGTTATGCGTATATTCAAGCCAATCAAAAAATGCTATCCAACTGCCATTCACTCATACCAAAATATACTAAAAAAAGTTGATCTCTATATATTCTTCTATAAATACTCTAATTCTCAAATATTCTCCTTTCCCAAATTTAATTTTTTAGAAATATATACTAATTACTATTAAAATATTTATTTAAAAACAATATTTGGCTTTATAACAGTGGAATAAAAGAGCATTTCTATACCTGGTATTCCAGATTTGCCTGCAGAGGTCTTTGTTCCACTCTGAGTAGTATTACCTCCAGGGGATAAAGTCTCTGTGGGATATGTAGTCCCTAAAGTCTCCAGCTCTCCACGGTTTGAGGAAAACACCAAGTCCAAGGATGGCAGCTTTAGCATGCATTCTACTCTTGATACTGGTAAACAGCTAAACTTGATCTGTGAAGGCTAACAAGTGCAGAAAACCAAAAGAAAAATGTTTTTTACTAGGTATTAGTTAAAAAAATTCACACTGGATTCTAAAAAATACAATTAATTTCCATTTCAGTCCCCATATTGCAAATTATTTGATACTTAAAAAGGATTTTGTGTTTAATGTCCTAGCTTTTTCAGATACATGATATATTAACTAAAATATATTTAAAAATGGTATTTTAAAAAATTTAAAAATTTGAGAAGTCACCTCTAAGTGATACATATTTAGACATTTAGATAATTCAGAACATTAAAGATGTCTATATTCACATACTTGTTCATAATCAACCTTTTCTTAAAGGAAATAATACCTCCTATACTAAAGTTTTTAAAAAGCTGTTGCATATACAAATGCTATTGTAATAATACAAGTTTTATAAACTCTCAAGCCCTCACCCATTACATGATTTCATCATATATTCAAAAGGCTAATGCAAAACTCCAGACTGAAGCCCTTTTGGCCAAACTGCTATTGTAGAAAACAATTTGGACAGATGACCATTAGTGTTGCTTTATTCTTGAGATTATCTAATTTTAGTTGAAAGTAAGCTGAAACCTGAAGTTTGGTTACAAGTAGTTTTCAAATCCTCTTTAATAAATGGAATCAATCAGATGCTAATATACACTACCAAAGGGCTACTGATAAGACTGCATTTTACAATAAAGTATTAAATAGAAATTCTGTAACTTTTTGTTAGCAAAAATTTAACAAAGGTACTTATGTGTGACTTACATCTCAATTACACTTTATGTTAGCCCAAAAAGGACCATAATGGCAAGAAATACAGGTGCCATAATAAAAAAGGGTATAAAATTCTAAAAAAAAAGAAAAAAGAAAAAAGAAAAAGAAAGAAAAAGGTTTTAACTTTAACTTACACATTTTTATTTTTGCCAAAAAGTAAGAGATTTTGAAGGCCCAAATATCTATGAAGCTCCTCAGCAGAAAAGTAAATATATACATAAAATTGTACATATATTTCCCAGAGGTTCTGGCTGTCTCTAAGTCATAAGTAATACTAAAGATCCACGAACCCAAGGTTAAAGAAACTTCAAGGGAAATAATGGTGGAAATATTCAAATAAACTTAAGAAAAAATTTTTCTTTAAAATAAAAAGGAATAAATGAAATATATCACCTGAACTCGTACATAAACCACAACATCTACAGGGAAGGAAGAGTAAGCAGATGTTGAAGATGATACTAATGATGTTGTCGATTCTTCCATAGGATCTGGTATTTCAAAATGTCCCATATCTTCATCTTGTGAACTGACAGCTGTTAAAATATTTATTTCTGTTATTAGGCCATAGACAAAACATTTCGTTTTTTAAAGATTTATTTATTTCTTTGAGAGAGTGTGTTAGAGCATGCAAGTGAGCACATAGGGAGGAGCAGAAGGAGAGGGAGAGAGAGAGAATCTTAAGCAGATTCAATGCTCAGTGTGGAGCACAGATGGAAGATTCCATCTCATGACCCTCAGATCATGACCTGAGCCAAAATCAATAGTTGGATGCTTAACCGACTGTGCCACTCAGGCACTCTGGGCAAACTGTTTATTAAAAGATCCTTTCTCTCATGCTAGTGCTGATATCAGGGGTATGAACACACAGAAACATACTTCTATAGCCAATCATTCTATACATCTTTCCCTATTCAAACCTCTTGCTCCAAATTCTGACTTCCCTGCTATTATAACAAACACTGTACAAAGAAAATTAAGCCTTTACCCTCAAGAAGTTTCCAGTCAAGAGGGAAGCTAATATAGGAATTAAGGATGTTAATTTTGTCATTAACTAGCTGTGGCCATGGGAAAATCATTTAATCTCACCAGGACTTAATTTCTTTTTTTGTAAATAAGGACTAGATGATTTCTCAAGTTCTTTTTCAGTTCTATAATTCTTTTTTTAAAAAGATTTTATTTATTTATTCATGAGAGATACAGAGAGAGAGGCAGAGACACAGGCAGAGAGAGAGAGAGGCAGAGAGAGAGAAGCAGGCTCCATGCAGGGAGCCCAATGCGGGACTCGATCCCAGGTCTCCAGGATCACACCCTGGGCCGAAGGCAGGCGCCAAACCATTGAGCCACCAGGTGTCCCAGTTTTATAATTCTTGATCACTGAATATATTATATAATAATATATAATAGCATTACAAATCCTTCTAAGAAATAGAATTTTGAAAGTATTATGTAATAGAATGGTGCCTGGGCGGCTCAGTCGGTTGAGTATCCGACTTGATTTCAGCTCAGGTCATGATCTCAGCATCCTGAAATCAAGGCCCACGCTGGGCTCTGTTTGGGGCATGGAGCCTGCTTAAGATTCTCTTTCTCCTCCTCCCTAAGCACCCCCACAAAGCACTCTGTGCTTGTTCTTTCTATAGAAAAAAAAATTATGATGGGGAAGTAAATATCTAAGGAGGATACTTACTTGTATAATTCCTTTCAATTGGTGTAATTGGGATAGTTTCCAGAGCTTTTTCCAGGAAGTCTAATAGGCAGGGACTAATAACCATTTCTTCTGGCAATGATTGAAGTGCCACCCAAGCATATAATTTGGCTGTTTTTACTCCTCCACTTCCTTTTCCTTTGGCTAGAACATTTACAAATGTGAGGTGAATTTAATAGTTCCCATACAACATATAATAATTTTGTGAGAAATTTTGTGAGAAAACTACATATGACAGTTTAATCAGGTGAAGCACCTTATACCTAAACCATACAAGAATGCAATAAAAATAGCAGATTGATAGAAATATGATATATTAATATAAGAATATAAAGATAATTTATGATGCATATAATACAATAGTTATTCCTACTTGCTCTAGGTCACAAATGTTGCTTCAGTTTTTCAAGTTTATAATTTGTTTAGTATCTCATTTAGCATTATTTTGTCTACTTAAGACATAGAGAAGTACAACAATATCTTGTGGTAAGTGAGGAAAAATTTTTTCAGGCTTTCCTATGTTCCTGCTCTTCTTAGCTTGTAGATCTTTATAGTGCTTCCCTACATGGACTGCCATCCCTTTTTCCTTCTATGTAACAAATATTTCTGCATGAGTAGAATGGATATAATAGTTAACCAAGACTTAGCTAACTTTGGCTTAAGTTTCTACCCTCAACATATACTAGTTTTGTAAACCTAGTAAAGCAGTTCAACTTCTATGAATCTACACTTCCCTCCTTTATAAAATGGGGATAATAATATCTGTCCTGCACTTACTGGGCATAGATGTGACTTGTAAATTGGAAAGTGATATAAAAATATGCATTGTTTATTAGCTATTTTAAAGATTTATACATCAAATTCCATCTCTCAAATGAAATATTTTGAACTAATTCTTGCCCAGTCTGATATTCCTCCCTGCCCCCCTTTTTTAATTCTACTATATATATAAGGTCTTATTCATGTGGTGTGGTAGTCAGATTCCAAAATAGCTTCTAGTGGTCCTTGCCTCCTGATATCCATGCCCTTGTGTAGTTCTCTCCTTCACTGAATAAGGCTGACCTGTATGCTCAGTATGATATTGTGGAAGTGATGGTTTATGACTTCTGAGGCTAAGCCACAAAAGATACTGCAACTTTAAGCCATGTTGTCTCTTTTGGATCACCCCTTTTAAGGAAAGTTAGCTCCTTTGTTATGAGAACACTCAAGCAGCCCAGTAGAGGAGGAACTAAAGCACCAGTTTGTCCACCATATGAATGGGATGTGCTAGAAGTAGATTTTCCAGACCCCGTTGAGCACTCTGATGACTGCAGCCTTAGCCAACATCTTGACTGCAATGTTATGAAAAACTGTGAAGTTAGATTCACCAGCCAAACTGCTCCTGGATTTCTGATCCACACAAACTGTGTTTGAGGTTATAAGCCACCAGATTTGGGGTCATTTATTATGCAATAATAGATGATTAACAAATGTGGTTAAGACCAATGTACTTTGTCTTAAATGTATAAGTCTGATGTTTTCATCTAGCTCCCAAATATGAACTAGATAACATTTTTTCTACATAAATAGATCTAAAAAGGTAAATAAATAAACTATTTAGTATATTAAGTTTCTTTTAACATTGATATTCTAAGGTAGTATCAGTTTGAAAAATAGCCAAAAGTCGTTGGGCCACTCTTCCATATGTGAACTTTATGGAGTCATTATTGACAAGTTTATGTTATTTTTTTTCTTTAACATGTGAATTTGCAAGAAATTCTCAATAGAGCAAGTAGGAAGTAGGTGATGACTAAAAAGTTGCCAAAAAAAAATTAAAAATAAAGTATATTTTCCTGAAATACCTGAGGGAATAGGTGGGGGTTGGGGAGGAAGTAAGGTGTTAGTCTTGCTCTGGACAGTGCAAGGTAAAGGAGGAGAAGGAGGAGATGGTGCACTATCTTTCATACCATACAGCTTGGACTCTTTAGAGAGGGTTCTTGGCAAGGAAGATCCTCTGGAGGCATTGGGTGATTCGGTCTTTAGTGTCTTGGAATTGTAATGCAACTGTATTAAGACAAATAAACTTTCAAAATTAAAATAATGAAGGTGAGAAAAACCAACAAATGTACAAAATGTGGAAGAAAGAACATCCAGGAGTCAGAAGACCCAGTTCCAGTTTTTACAAGTCAACGCTGTGATACTAGTGAGATTCTTAGTTGTTTTTCATTTAAAATTGAAAAAGTCATCCCAGATAAGTTATTTCTAGCTTAATGTTATAGGATTCTATAATTCTAAAATCTAAAAAATAGGTGTTTAAAGTTGGACTAGGAAAGGTTTATCAAATGTTAGGAATATCAATGCATAAAAAAGTTAACTACTGCTAAATTTTAATGGAAAAGCTCTGTAAAAGGGGCAATCTGAAATTGGATCTTATGTTTAGAATATAGCTACATCACAGAAAAATGTTGGGAAGTCTCACTTTAATATAATCAGTAAAGGAAGAATCTGTACAATAGAAAATAAACAGTGCTTAGAATAATTTAATCCTAGACTTTTAGGTTTTTTTTTACCTTTACATCAACTCCAGGAATGTAAAATACTGTTGTTTCTAAATCACTAGGCTTTGTCTGCAGAGATGATGGCACTTTCTTGCCAGTCATTAAATGGGTGGTAGAAGCATAATTAGTTTGAAACTTCTTCTTTTTTGAAGGAGAATCTTGATCTAAACTCCTGGAACTTCTATCATAACTCCTATAAATAGAAAAATGATTTTTATCTTTTTTAAAAAAGGACATTTATCTCCTTTTGTTTAGAATCCAACTTTTATTTATACAGTAAGTAGGATATAATCCTTCATTAATAAAGTTGAAGAAGTAAAGCTCATCAGTGTCTGTAGCTAAACTGGTTAACAGCATGCATAGATGATGTTCGTGTTGTATGCTCCATAACCACATAGGGCAGTTGTCACCTTTAGTCTTTCCTGAAGTCCTAGCTGTTTCATATGAACATATTATGTTGAGCCAAAAGAAATTGCCCTTTACATAAGCAAAACCAGCTGAATATCAGCAATTTATTGTACTGAATTAACATGCTTTTTATCATTACTTCTACACATTTGTAGGAATTTAACTGTTTAAGTGCCTTTTTATCTTCCCATTTTATAACACCTTCCTTAGACAAATAGACCATTAAAAAAATTAAATATATATATATATAATCTTTATACCCAACATGGAGCTCAAACTCATGACCCTGAGGATCAAGTTACATGCTCTATGGACCAAGCCAGCCAGGTGTCCCTAAAATCTTTCATTATGAAAAATTTCAAACATGCAAAAAGTAAACAGAATGGTATACTGTGAACTCCTGTGGCTCCATCTCCCCAGCTTCCACAATTGTCAGCATTCTGCCCTTTTTTAAAAACAGCATATCCACCCACTCCCTACCTACCCCCTCAATTATTATTTTCTTTAGCTCTTTTTAACATTAGGAAAGAAAAGCAAAAATTCAAAGAAAAAAATAATCTAATCTTAAGCCTGTTTGTACCACCACTTTTTCAATGATGGAGACAAATGGTAAAGCTGCAGCTATATCCTATATCTGAGTATACTGAGACCTCTTCGTCCCAGTTTCCCAATCTCTATTTCTTTTTGAATTCATCAAAACTCTAAATAATCAGGGTGGCCTCTCCACTGTCCCCAGCTCCTGTGAGGCCTGGGCACCACCGGCGCGGCTCTGATTCTGATGACTCCTCGCCCCGCTCCTGACTCCTCGCCTGCTCCGAGAGGCAGCACAGCCTCAAGGGGCCCCCATGTCTAGCGGGGGACCTGTCCCGGGAGGACACAGCTGCCTGGGAAGGCCCCGAGACACTTCTATTTTTCTTCAACTCACTTTGTACTTAAATAAACTTATTTTAAGGGGGAAAAAAAAAAAACCTCAAGATCTCTTTGTGTACTGCACTGTTCTTTAAAATAGAAATGTCCATAATACAAGAACAGAGACTGAGAAATCCATGCTTGTTTAAAGGATAATTCCAAAGATACAACTCTTTTAATTAAATTGCTAGAATCTAAAGCAGACATGCATTTCTAGTTGCCAGAAAATTTTATATACTTATTTAAAGAAATAATATGTTATACAAAATAACCACTCAAATTTACAACTATGATTAAATCCACTCTTTAAATCTGCATTTTGGGTCATGGATGAAAAAGTTGTTTGTAATTCAGTGATATATATCAATAGTAGTTCTAACAAATGAAGTTACATGTACCCTTTTCTGACCAATTTCTTACCTTCTCAAGCTTATATCATCATGTTCTTGTAGAAGGGTAGTTGGGTGGAGAACACATTTTCCACTATCAATTTCAACCCGTATATCAAGTTCAAAGTCAATATTTCTTTCTGTGGCTGTGCCACTAAGACTTCGGTTGACTGGAGCTGTGGGCCAGCGTTCTGTAAATAGCTGATGAACAGCAGCAAAGCCTGTTGCTTTTTTACGAGATGTATGTCTAGGGAAAGAACAACCAATCATTACATTGTATTAAATTGCAAGAATTTTCAACAAACTATTTCCTAATGTTATGTGACCAAGAGTCTATAAACAAATATACTGTTTTATAAATCCACACTTATTACTCAACTAGCTCATATTATTTGAAGTTTTTCTGAGTTTGATGGAGTCACATTTTATTCAACAATCATGCACTCAGTAACTATTATGTCCCAGGCAATGTGCTAGGTGCTGAGGACAGAGGCTCAATCACTGCTAGTAAGGGGTCCGAATATCAGTGTATGAACTATGTTCTACATTTTTGAGGAGATTTCATTTTTGCAAATTGTAAAATGCTATTTTCCTGATTTTATTAAAAGACTGAAGAATAGGGAAAGAAAAAAATAATGCCATATAGAGCTAAACTACATTAGTAAACTATGGCTATGTCTCAGTCTTCCTGTGGCTAGGCACATTAAGATTTTTTTTCTATAAAAGTTAACAGTTACACATAAAACTTTAAAGCTCAGTTCTAGACTTTGAAATACCACCCACAGGTCTCAAAACAAAAAGGCCACTTACGAGGGTTTCCTGTAAATATAAAACCTTTCCCTCTCATGGTCTTCGTCCTTTTCATCCTTCTCAGAATCTTCACTAGAAGAAGACAAACTGTCATCCCGTCGGCCCTCTTCAGGTTGGAAAGGAATGCCTGATGAATAGCCTCCTGGAGTTTTGGCAGAACTGAACACGGAATATGATCCTTCACTGTTTGAGGAGTAATGGGATGGACCTTCAATGGTTACTGACAAAAGGTCGAGTTCTGTCTCCTCTGGAAACTGATTGATTATAAAAAGAGAAGACGTGAATCAGGTTCATGTTATACATCTCTTCTTAATTAAAAAAAGGAAAAGAAAAAATATATGTTTAAGCATTTAAAATTCTCTCAGAATTGAATTTCTTCACTCTAAACTGAAAGAAAGCCAGATTTACGAACATTTGAAATGGCACACCAAGGAAGGAAGCAGATCATTCCACAGAAAGTCACACTACTGACATACTAAAATTAGTGTGAAATTGAGTGAAATTTTCCTGTATATAAGCCTATATCAACCTGTTAATTAGCACATATTGTATAATTCTTTAAGCAAAGTTAAACATGCTGTGGAGACAAAGCAAATAATGCGATCAACTGTAAATCAGAGGGGCAAGAGAGCAATTAGTGATGATAGAGCATGCAGTGTCTGTACAGAAAGTACTTCATGTTTCTGGATTTTTTTTTTTATAGATAGCTTCTAAAAATGAGTCGCTAATTGGTTGAAGAGTGATGCCCCAATCATTATGTAGTTAAAGATAATCAAACTTAAGAATACTATTTTTAGTGCTCGCTTCGGCAGCACATATACTAAAAAAAAGAATACTATTTTTAAGGTGAATGGTTTATTATACACACTATGTTGCTGAGAATCATACCAGGAGGCCATTGTATTTAAGTAGATTAAAAAAAAACACCAAAACAATAAAGTTTTCTATGATCTAATTTATATTTCCAATTTTGAGAGTTGCTTAAATATCCTTTGAAAATGTGATAAGCCTTTGTAAAGTATAATGTGCAAGGTAATGCAATTTATTGATGCTATTAGATACAAGAAAATTAGATACATGAAGACAGAATACTGTAATAAAAATTTCAAACATGCAGAATCCAGCTTTTCCTCACTTTTTATGATATGTTATTTGATAAATAAGTAAAACAGATTTTATCAGAATACCTTCAATTTTTAAAACTGAAGTAAGAATTTGTGTGAATATCTGTTTTATATTTATCCATGCCCTAATGATCTATTTTATAACTTTTTATTTTTATATGCTATTTTTTTTACAAATAGCATATACTATTTAAAAAAAATAGGACTTGAACCAATTCAAATACTGATGCCTTTAAGAATTACTTAATCATTTCAAAATATACTCATAAATCAAATCATTAGTTTTACATCTGAAACTGATATGTTATATGTCTCCATAAAAAAAGTTGGATGGGGAAAAGTCAATTAGGAGAGGCCCTTGATTCAGTTCTGTAAATGATTTATTTCCATTTATTTGCATTTTTAGAAAAAAAGGGCATGTTTATCAAGCTCCCTATAATCTCATCGTCTTAAAACAAAATTTAGTTTTACTAAATTCAGTGTAACTACAGGATATGTACTAAGACTATAGTGTAAGAGGGCAGAGAAACAAGATGTGGAATAAGTACCAGTTTTTAATGAAACTTGACAGAAAATTCCTAGACAAAGATTTATATGCCTAGTATACAGATATATTTTTAAAATTCAACTTTCTTTGCATGACTTATATTTAGGGAAAATATATGGTTCATAAAAATATTTATTCAACTTATAAGTGCCTGGGTAGCACATTTTCCACACTGTTTAGAACAGAATAATTTTTAAATGGATTGTTTACATACATGGTTTTTTATATGTATACAGTGACTCCAAAGAAATAACATTCAATGGTTAATTTGTTGTCCTGAGAGAAGTTTGATTCTAGTTTCAATTAGTTAAAAAAATTTTTTAAAGAAAAGATTTATTTTGTGGTTGAATGTAGAGGAAAGAGATTTGCTTAGGGATTAGCAAATAAATAATAGACAGCAGGTTTTGATTTATGATTTGGCTAATTTGGTAAGCTGATTTAGTCTATAATTTTGGAGATTCAATAATTAGTATTATACAAAGAAGTACAGAACTAAAATCTATTCATGCAAGAGCTTATAAAACATATATGATGAAAAAGAATTCAAACAATCTTAAAGCTTTATGTAAAATATTTTTGAGGTCTGAGTTTAGTATAAAATGAGAGAAAGATGTTTTGAAAGCAGATTTTTAGGGCGGTTAATCAGTTTTAAAGCAAAATTTATGTTTTTCTTAATAAGTACCTGAAAATACCCTTCCCCAGGACAGCTGGATTGTGGCGTACTTCCCCATATTGTTTTTTTCAACTTAATTAAAATAATAAGAAAATATATAAAAACTTATGAAAAACAAAAAAACAATGGTTTAAAAGCAAACATTCAAAAAACAAAATAAACGTGTTAACATAAATTTTAACATATATAAAATTAAATATAACTTTTAAGCTGACCTTTTGACTTCCGGTTTCTGCTATAACTTCTATATGAACTAAATACATAAGATAAATACATAAGTACAAACATTCTACAACTATGCCTGTCTATAAGACCTAATTTAATGTGGATTCATACATGAAAGGAAAATTATTCGACAAAGACTTTCTACCTAAGAGCAAGCAGAATGGAATCTTTATTCTAGGTGAAACACTAACATGAGCACCATGACTCTCAAATGATAACACACAGGGATGCCCTGTTTGGTAATTTATAGATACTTCACCTATCACAATCCTCACTTTCATTGTAGGTAGGAATTCATATTTTGAAACTTCATAACTACTATAATTTCGTAATTACTAAAATTATTTGGCACCGGTGTATCTTTAACAAATAATAACTCTCTTACTGTATCTTGAATATTGAAAGTTACTCTGGGTCCAGGAGATGCTGCATCCACACGGATTTCAGGGAGCTCCTCAGTTTCTCCTATTCGAGAACTGGAAGTAAAATATAAAGTTATAAAACAATTTAAGTATTTTTTAAAAAGCCCCTAGAATTTATAAAAAAGCCTAACAAATAACAATAATATTCTAAATATTTACCTTATCTAAGGATTAAATTTTTGGTATCCCATTTCTTAATCTTTAACATCCCATAGGAAAAAAAAATAAAACACTGAATGTTTTGATTAACATAAGATTTTCTGAAACTAAACCATATAAAAAAATTTATACTTCTTACTTTAAGTCCTCATTTATTAGTAAGATAGTATTTTCTTTAATATGTAGAATTTCCATTTTTTACATGCTAAATATGTACGTAGTCATACCTTTTCTAAAATGACAAACTTATACCAGCAGCTACTAATCTGCACATACTCATTTCTTTGAATAGTCTGTAAGTTTATACATAAACTTGTCTAAATAGCAAAGCACTATTTTACTAAAAATGATTGCGGTATAAATACAATGCAGGAATTCCTTAAATAAACTGTTTAGTTTGATATTATCCATTATTACCGGTATTTGATTACTAAGGTTCATTTTTGCTCCCTTAATTATGTAATTTCCCCAAATAGAACACAATAAATAAGTAGTGGATTTTTGTAAAGGAGTTAGCAATTTTTTTTTTAGGAGTTAGCAATTTTATTACTTGTTTCAGTGGTTGAAATATATATTACCTTGTCCTTTCCATTCGTTTAAGAGGAGGTCTTCCAGAAGCAGAAATGCTTTTTGAACGACTGTAACTTGGTTTGTAACCCAAACCCCACTTATCCTTCAGAGAAGCAGCCTAATAAAATAGGAGAGGGAGAGAGACTTTAGACAGTTGCTTATTGTAATATCTGACTACAGATAAAATATTCTATTCAACAAAACAGTATGTTTCCCCCAGGTCAGTAACATGTTACTTTAAATTTGACTTTAAATGTCACTTAGCAGTATAGGTGGATCAAAGCAGAGCAGGACTTAGCTACTCTTTAGTCCTAATGTCAATTAGAAGAGCTGTATAATGGAAATATGATTCACCATCTAGCCTGAGAGAGAAAAGAAAAAGACTGGGTACAGAAATAAGGTAGAAAGAAAGGAAACAATTAAAAAGGAAAGAAAGGCAAAATAAAATGAGAATTAAAAGGAAAGATTCTGGGAGAAAGCTGGGTAGTGGGAGGAGGTGAAAGGGAAATCAGAGGAGAGCAGGAAGGAGAGAGGGAGAGGCTCGAGGGAGGGGGGGCATGATCATCTTAAGTAGCACTAATGGGCACCCCTGCCATGGCACTCTATATTATAGGAGAGGAAAGGAAAGGGCAAGGTCAACACTCTACTTGTCTCCAAATCCCTCTTTTCCAAATATGTAGTTAGGGGCTAGATACTGAAAAGATTCTAAAACAATGGAGGTGTAGAGTGCAAGAGGACTGAGGGGGAAGAGAAGGGGAAAAGACAGATGAAATACATGCTAAGAACACAGATAAAACTTAGAGAATTTCCCTAATTCTCTACCTAGTTTTATTGTTAACAATTACCAAGCATAAACTACCTTATAAATAGTACGTAAGCAATATTTTAATTCTATTGTATGATTGTTAGATACATAGTAGCAAAAATTTTAAAAACAGACTTATGCAATACAGATCATCATTATCCATTTATTATCACCAGAAGCCAGTGACAAATAATTCAAATTAGATTTTATCTTCAATTTAAATAATTTAGAATAGTATTCAAACTAGGGTGTCTGGGAGTTTGTGGTGATCAAGAAAGTTGAAAGTTCAAGCCAATGAACCCTGGATTCCTGCAACCTTTCCCTACTTCCTCTGGTCCCAGCAGCTCTGATTTAATGTTTTTAATGTATCAAGGTGCCATCAAAAAATTGAGGGTTCTGTTGATTTAAAAAAAAAAAAAGGTTAAGAATCTATCTTTTTTAAAAAAAAAAAAAGTCTTTCCACTAACAAGACCACTTTGCCCTAAAGCAATCTACTTCTACTTGAATATGTTTTAGAACTATTTTCTAATATATGTACATGTATTTACATATTTGTTTCACTTGTTCAGCAATTGGACTAAATCCCAAAAAATGTGGTAGGAAATGGGGTCAATGATAAGTAACTTTTTATTTAAGAGACTACAATTCTAGATGGGACAACTAAACGTGCAAAGAAAAGAGAATGAAGTGCTGAGAGTACATAGTGGCTGAGAGGTAAGGTCAGCTGTGGAAAATGGGACAGGAGCAAAATGGACATGTCAAAAGACTCATATTTGAGTTAGAGACTAAAAAGAAAACACAATTTCATGAAAGGAAGACAAAACCCAGTGGCTAAGGACAGACTGTAGAGTCCCACTGCTATATAACCTTGGTCAAATTACTTGACTTCTCTCTGTCTCAGTTTCCTCATTTTTATAAAGGGGAACATAATACAAGCTACCTCATTTGGCTACTGTAAAGATTTAATGGGTTGTTAAATGTAAAGGGCTTTAAACAGTGTAGATGTGAGATATACAAATCAAGTGCTATTATCACTAGCAATGGAGAAAGAAAGAGAACTTAAGTACTGTCACAAAGTTTCATAAAGTAAAAAATAAAAGAATGGTTTATTCTAACAAAATTCTTCTTAAATTTACTCACTCGCATACTGGACCTCCGTAATTTCTTACGAACATCTCTTCTAATATCATTCACAGCAACAGATTCTAACTGCTGATAACGTTGAATTTCCTGGTTTATGGTTCCTTCACTTGCACCCAATTTTCTGGATGCAAAACAAATATGGTAATTAGTGTAAAGAGGTAACAAAGCAAGATTGATTTTTATTTGCTCCTTTTTAATTCTTTCACTCATCAGAATATCAAAGATTATATTACATTATATATGGATAGGCCAAAATCCTCCATAGAGTTAACAATCATACCTCGTAATTATAAAAAAGCTTTCTAAAGTTTTAGAAAATGGCTCTTTTTTACTTCTGCATTAAGAGGCTCTGACAATCTCATAAAGGATACAGACCAACTGCAGAAGAATATATGTAAAATTCTACATAAATTTAAGCCTCAGGTAAAATTTTAGGGGAGGAAGTATATTTTGCTTCAAGCCATTGTTAATGCCGAGAGCAAAACTCAAACTGTGATGTAAATCAACAGGAAAATGTGAATCACTGTATTGTAATTAATTTACAGACTAGTTTTTAGGTAATACCTTTCATTATACAAAATGCATATATCTGTCTAAAGTTCTTGAATGCAAAAATCACAGACGTAAGTGGTGTATGAAGATTAAAAAGATGTGGAAAACTATCACCTTTTAGGAAAGCAAAAATTTTTCAAAGTTTGACAAGAAGGATATTTAGTCTTCTAGGGCAAGTATTATTTAGTCAGTACTATGCAGCAGGCAACAGATAAAGAAAAAAATTACCACCACTTACTGCCCCCTCTCTACTTACCCTATATCCACCTCAGTTCTAGAGAATTGCTACCACAAGCCGGCAAAAAAAAAAAAAAAAGGTGTGAACTTTGAATTTAGACACACCCAAGTTCAAATTCCACTTCTTTAAGGGCTCTGAGCCAGTTTGGATAATGCCATATAACCTCACAGAAATCTGAGGATTATATTGAAATAACATGCCAGATTCACAATAGGTACTTAATAAATGCTAAATTTGTATCCTTTCTTAAAGATTAACATTCCAGAAATACCAATGTCAACAAAAGACTAATACATATATCAACATATACATGTGAAGATATGTGTAAGTGTATATACACATGTAGAGGCATGTATATGTAATACAAAGTCGGTCATAAGCTACCTAGAAATGGAGAGCTGTGATGAGTGCTGGACTAGGAATTCATGCGTAACTTTATCACTAATGAATGTATGATCTCAGGCAAGTTATCAAACTCTTCTGGACCTTGGTGATCTCATTTATAAATTAAGTTGTACTGCCCCAAATCCAGTTTTCTCCACATTTAAAATTCGATGATTCTATTATTAAAATATTATATCACATTAAAAATCATTACACATACTTAAGATCATCTATTACTTTGGCTTGTTCATTCAGTTCTCTGATATCCACTATACGCTTCATAATTTTTCTTCCTCTAAGTTCTCCTGGCTGGCTACAAGATGCTCCTTGTCTTCGATAATCTACAGCTTCCTGAAAAATCAAAAGCACGTCTGTCAATACCACCCTCAGGTCAACCAGAAAATCTATACTATCACAAAATAACACCTTAAATCAAAGGAAGCATGCAAGAATCAAAGCCATCTATATCAAGTAGTATGATTGGAATTCTCCAGTGATTCAAATCCCTTCATTTTCACAAGGAATCTATGTAGTTGCTACCTACGTTTCCCCATGAGTGAGCTCTGCATGCTTTCAAATGGGACTGGCTAGACTGAGGGGAGCCCCACATCTCTGAGTCACACAGATACTCTGCAGGAACAGAATAGCGCTGATTTGGGGGCGTCAGGCCTAGCAGGTGATTTACAAGTCGCTGCCCAAAGGTGAGCTTGTGGCCATCTCCACCTACTGAACTTCCATCTGAACTCTAAATGATAAACAGTAACATTAATTTTTAAAAAATTTCTTTCCAAGAACAAGACTATTTGACAAAACAATAAAGATAATTTAAAAAGTTTTTAAACCCATACCAGAACAAAAACAGAGACGAGCTTGGTTTTCAACCACCAAATCATTTATACTATAAAATATACAGTATAGATGGAAATACGTCTTTTTAAATGTATACTTTATTTTGTATGCATGCACTTTCCTTTTGAGATTCATTTTTTAGCATCTTTATTGATATAATCCACATGCCATAAAATTCACCCATTTAAAATATATATAATTCAGTGGTTTTGAGTATATTCACAAAGTTGTACAACTATCACCACAACCTGTTTAGAATATTTTTGCCACCCTCCCCCCAAATGAAACCTCATAACTAACAGCAGTCTCTTCTCATTCCCCATCCCTGACTCTGAGGTAGCTCTTGGCAATTACTAATGTACTTTCTGCCTCTACAGGTTTGCTTTCACTTTGCTTTTAACATTAGTAAACTACCTTTAGGTTAAGGCTACTAAGTTTATTGACAGTTATGAAAACTATTAATTAAAAGACAGTATCATGAAATTAAAAAACATTACAAAGCGAAGACACAGGGAACCACCACTCTCTTCCTCCCTGTACAATGATCAACTACAATAGAATAAATAACATTAAATCAATCTTTTCCCTGTCTCAGGGTAAAGACCAGTCCAGTAAAGTCTAACAGTGAGTTTACTTACAGTATGGATAGTGGGAGACATAGTGTCAACTTCATCCTCATCTGACAGGTCAGCTATGTTCACTGAATTTAGATCAGCAATGTCATCTATGTCCTCCTCTCCTGTCAGTGTCGTAAGGGTATTGCCCAGTGCATTTAGTCTTTTGCCAATGTTAGGATCCATGTGGACGTCGATCCCACACATTTTCCACAAAACATTGAGTGTCCAGGTTCCAGCACTACTACTTTCTGTTTAAAAAAAAGAAGTGGCATTTTTGGTAAGTCTTAGCACAGAAATTCAAATAATCCCATATTTAAGGAATAAAATGGATGATAGCCTTTTGTAACAACAGCTAGGTCTGGGATCGATTGCCCTTTGTGGAGTGTACATCTCTTGCTTTCCTCTGTGCAGCACCCTTCTTTCTCCTGTGAACTACAGATTCCCTCTTCTCCCCACTCCTGAGCTGACCTACCCTTCCACAGCTATAGTTGGAACTGCCATGACCCTTACTCATTTGCCAGAATTAGATAAGTAGGCCAGGTGAAAGTCAAAGTTGGAAAACTAAAAACCCTTCCCTGGACTTGAGAAAACCACAGTCCCTCTCCAGCGATTGAGGGTGGGGGAATGAGTCTCCTTGAGCTTTTGGCAGCAATGTCTCCTGACTGTGGTCAGCAGTATGAAGAAAATGAAGCAGCTAGAGAGGAGCAAAGAGAAGAACCCCGGTGGCAGTTGAAATCTTGGATCCGGTAGTTCCTGAGGGCCCCTGAGTTGACCTAGTTCCTTATTCATTGAAAGAGCCATTCCTAAGTTTAACTATGATAGGCATATATCCTTTTAATAAACTCCCCATTTTGGTTAAGCTAATTTGAGAGAGTTGTTGTCACTTAGTAACTAGAGCCCTGACAAAGACTTTTATGTGACTTTTCTCCAAATATGTATGTTTACCTCAGCCATCACCCTTTCTTCTAACATTATTACTCTTGGATATTTCCTAACCTTTTCAGTTCTCCATCAATGAGACATTTGGCCTTGCTACTTTCTGAGACAATTTACTTAGGATGAGCACCAAGGCTAGGCTTGGGGAAGATAACAGGAAACAGTAAGAAGAGAAAGGAAATCTACTAACTTTCATCAGCTTCTACTCCCGCTGACATTTTAAGAGCCCTTAAATAAACATCTTCCTTTAGCTTACCCTTACTTTATAAGAAGTAAAATCAATAAAAATTTATACTGAGCTGTCATCTTAGTCAAGATAGGTTATAACTTCTAGAGTTACCTCCTAAGCAGTTTCCTAAGATTTTTTTTTTCTTCTCCAATCCTTGAAAAGTGTCTGCTTTCTTGCTCACAAAAACTCAGTGGCTTTCCCACTGTCCACCAAATTAAGTCCAGACTCCTTAATTTGAGATTTAACATTTTTCCCAAATTATTTTTCAGATAACTCTTTTCTGCCCAGTCTGGACAATTCTAACTAGACACTGTTTTCATAACATAACTAATATTCTGTCTGCCTGAATTTTCTGATGCATACTCTCTCAGTTTTTGCTTCAGAAACAATTTTATCTATCAAATCCCTATTCAAATGCTTGTTAAATATTAAGCTTTCTCTGATCCTACTATCCTTCTAGATTTGAAATTATTCTCTCCCCTCGAGTTTAGCAGCAATTAGAATTTTATATTTTATTGAACTTACCACTTATTACAACTTAGTTATGCTACAGCGCCTTAACAACATTAGCATTTAAATTTATTCAGAGTAGAAAGTATATCTTATTCATCTCTGTCTTTCCCAAAATGTTTTACAGTATATTAGCAAGTGTCTAATTAATAGTTGTTAAATAAAAATATGCTAATATTATTACAAAAATTGTTTTTAAAATCAAGGGACACCAGAATTAATTCAGTTAAAATACTCTCTTAATATTAATAAAAACGACACATATATGTGTGTATATATGTATATTTACATATATATATATATATGCAAAATTCTAACTCATATATGTAAAACAAGTAATACCAATCATGAACTTACCAGCAGCTGCTTGTCCCGTAGTCCTAGAACATACTTCATACGTGCCATCTGGAACTACACCTGCACAGAAATCATCCCCAAAAGCAGTTTTCAATAAAATTATGCTAGTGATTAAATACTGTACTGTTAATTTTTCACCCAAAGATTATTATCTAAATATAAATAGAATCACTAGACTTTTTAGGCTTCAGTTTCTAATCTGCAGAATGAAACAGCAACCTTAGATGACTTGTAATATTCCATATCCAACATTTTTATTTTATGCTTTTAAGAATTTAACTGCAGCTTTATCTTACATTCTGCATGTGACAATACCTGGCTGACTCTGAAACTCTAGTTTCAAGATGCTATGACAACATGTGCCACCATATGAATGCTACTTAAAGAATGCAAATAATTTAAAAATAATTTTCTGTTAATAAGAACTTCCACATTTAGGTCACAGACATGATTTATCAGCCTTGTCTTTTCCTTTGACATTTTATGAGAAATAAAAATGACTGTCATGATGTCAGTCTCATATGATTAATCTCCTAAGGTTATGGACCTATCTCCAGAACATATCTAACTTTAAATCTGAAATATTTACTACCACTTAGCTTTAACCTGGTAACTTCAACTTCAAAAAAAAAAAAAAAAAGAGGTTAGCTAAATCAACAGTATAGGAACATACCATCTTTAAAACAATTTTTCAAAAAAGTTGTGCCCAACGACAGAATTAAAACTCTTTCTTAGTAATCCTTCATAAAAATCAAATTTCAATCTAAATCTGGCAGAACATAAATCTTAAAAAAAATGTCCTTTTGCAATTCATTCTGTATCCTCAGTTGGTATTCAAATGTTACTCGAATCTGAGCTGCAGAAATACAACGTATTTTGGGAGAAAGAGTCTATTAAGTGACAATGTCTATTATGTGGGTTTTTTTTTTTTAAAGAGAATGCTAATAATTTTAAAATCTGAATTATATTTTTGAAGCATACGGTACCAGTGCTTCATATACAATTTACAGAATATGAGAGAACTAGATCTTGTCTTAGGGTAAAAGATTGCTCAGTTCATCTTTATAGTCATGGTTATAAAGCAGAGCAAAAGAAACTTAGATAACTCTTTTAAATCTAAGAATGCTAGAAAACCCTCTGAAATTATAAGTATCATAATGGAGGCCAAATGAAAGCTAGTAAATAAAAACAAGATAGAAAACTTTTAAGACTTTGAATTCCAAGAAATGTCAGAGAACTTTTAAATATTAAGTTTAAAGAAATTATACAAATTCATATATTACAGAGCCATTATAAATTAAAAAGAAATATTAAGATTTTTTAGGAGGAGATCCAAATCCTCAAAGTGAGAATAGAATCAACTACACTTTCCCCCATTGTGCCTGTAGTCGCTGAGTCAGAGACATAATGCTGAGTAGGATCAACCATTAGTCTGAATCTCGGATGGCAATTTTCCTGCTCTTTTGACCTAATGTTACCCAGGTACTAACACAGAGCATGGAGTCTTTCAAACCTCTTCTCTTTTCCCTGATGCTAGCTACATTTTTTGAACTTTTAATGGTTTATATAATTTTTATAAATAAATGTTAGTGGAAAGAGTCTGGTCTTTTCTATTTAGTTATATGGACCTTTGAATTCTTCCTAAAGATTGTCCTTTCTAATTCTAACTGCATTTCCTAGAAAATATTATCACCCTAGAGAGGCAATTCCACTGAGCCACCATTTTTTTGTAGGGCTTGATTTTAAAATGATCTGTAAAAAATAAAATCCTACAGCATAACTCTATGATTCCTTGTTTCTCTACTCTAATCCAATCCTTTTTGTCAAAAATATTTAATGTCACTTATATTCTATTTATTATTACTAATAAAAATTAATTTGCCCCTGTTATAATTTGGAATTCTTTTTTTTTAAGATTTTATTTATTTATTCATGACAGATAGAGAGGGAGAGAGAGAGGCAGAGACACAGGCTGAGGGAGAAGCAGGCTCCATGCAAGGAGCCTGATGTGGGACTTAATCCCAGGACTCCAGGATCCCACCGTGAACGGAAGGCAGACGCTCAACAGCAGACCCACCCAGGCATCCCATAATTTGGAATTCTTATTTCAATAGAAGAACCACTCAACTCCTCTGCTTCCTTGCCAAGACACCAAACAAAAAGCATGTTATAAAAATAAGTCATTTAGTTTCCTACATAACCTAAAATAAACCATGATTATCACAATTATCAGTATGTTAATATTCTACTTAGTTGGTGTAATATACATTGAGGTTTATATATTTTTACTATGAGCCTTTGATTTTGATTCAGAGGCATATTTATCATGCATTTTCCCATTATAATAAACTGTTAAGGAAATGGTATTCTTCTTTTGCTTCCGAATATATTTATCTATTTTAATGACTATAATAAAGACAAAGATGTCATCTTACTACAAATCAGTAGATTTAAATTTAAGAAAAACAGACAAAAGAGTTATAATGACTTTATATATATAACAACTGTATAAAAGATTTGTAATTTCTCATGAAGGCTATTTTTGGTCTTTTGGAAATGAAGCATAAGTATTTTGATATCAAGTCTTCTTAATAACCTGAAGTATTTCACAGAAATCGCAGCATTTTACCTATGAATTACCTAAATGAGAAGCAGTCAAAACCAGAATTTCACCTATAATTTTATCTAACTTTTAATCAAAATGGATGCCAAAACTTCAAGTTTTGATATAAAAATAATGAAAAATTCTCTTTAAAGAAGACCCAGAACTGGACAGAAGATTTCCTTCCAGTGGAGTGGAGAAAAAACTGCATAAACAACGGCACACCACTCTTTGTAAAGTAAGTATAAATTTTGGTTCACAATCTTTAATTCCTCAAACATAGCTTTTCTTTATTAGAAGATTAATGATGATTTATTAACTCTGCTATAATATTTAGTATATTAAGATAAAAATAAATCCATATTCCTTAAAAACTGTATATAAACACAGCTGTAGTTACTCCCAACCTTGAATATTAATGGAATCGGAGGAACACACACAAGTTACAAACCATAACTTACAAATTTAGACATGTGAATTTATTCATATTAATATTATTTTATGGCTGGAGTTCCTGTTTCTAGTTATCTACAACCTGTTCTATGATATAGGATAAACTGGATCTTGCACATTTATCACTTTCTTTCAAGATCCCCACAGAGAAAAGATGCTTTTATCTGGTCATGCATGAATCAGTTACAGGAAAAAAATCAGGCAGTAAATGAATCTTCAAATGTTATACTATCAGGAAGACTGCCTAGTTGATTTACTTACCAAAACTACTGAAAGCTACAGTTTTTCACAAATTGGCCTACCTTTAACTAGAAATAGCCCTTATTTCACAAAGTCCAAAATTCCGATAGCTAAGCATCCTTTGGTTTTACAAATGAAGACACTGCTTTTTTTTTTTTTTAATTAAAACAATTCTAAACCTCATACAGAAAATAAAAGACACTCACAGGCATTCATCACTAGATCGCCACGAATTTCTGGTTTCCAGTCATCCCACGACGTCTCAAAGCCATCAGCAAAACGAATACAAAAGTTTTTGAAATGCCCTTTACTAACCAGAGATTCTGAAGAACATGCAGTGATAAGAGTACTTTCAATGGTCAATACTAAAGCAGAACCAATGTCAAGGTCTCCAGTGTGATTAGACTGCAAAATACATTAAAAAAAAAAAGACAAAAGGTGACAATGTTTTAAATTTGGAAATTCTCACGGGATTCATAGGAACAAAAGTCTAGGAAAAGTCAAGCCTAGAAATTTTCATTAAAAAGCAGCTTAGAAAGATGTCTACTTTTAAAAACTTAAATTGTTGAAGTGAATAAATACATTTGCAATGTGCAACTTTTCTTTTTTAACTCACAAAAGGTAGGGGTGCCTGGGTGGCTGAGTAGGTTAAGTGTCTGACTCTTGATTCTGGTGCAGTTCATGATCTCAGGGTTGTGGGATTGAGTCCCTAATGGGACTCTGAGCTCAGCGGGGAGTCTGCTTGAGAGTCCCTTCCTCTGCTTCCTCACATGTATGTGCTCTCTTGCTCAAATAAATAAATCTTTAAAAAACTCACAAAAAGTTAATTATCTAGATTTTTTTTTTCAGTTTTTTCTTTTCTTTTTCTTTTTTTAGAGAGAGAAAGAGCATGAGCAGCTGAGAGGGAGCACGAGACACCCTTAAGCAGGCTTCATGCCCAGCGAACAGCCTCAGCAGGGCTCCACACAAGGCTGTGTGTGGGGTTTGATCTCAATACTGACATTATGACCTGAGCTGAAATTAACAGACACTTAACCGACTGAGCCACTCAGGTGTCCCTAATTATCTACTTTTCTATCTTAAGCTTCTGTTTTAGTGGTGGGGAACATTCTCATTATGACAACCACTTCTGGTGTATATGGCTTTCCTGAGCTCTGACCATAATGCCATTAAAAAAATTATTTTTCAACTCCTGAGGCATAAATATACTAGATGTTGCCAATCCTCAACCCAGAGTTTTTCTTCACAATGTCTCGCGAAACAAAATACTAAAAGATAAATTCATTCAACAACTGGTTACAGGTTAAGGTAAATTTTAACAGTAAAAGAGACGTCTATATTTGATATAATTGTAACTTCCTAGGCCTGATAAGGGTTTATAGCACTTTTTTGTTTCATACACATGTCCATAAATTATGAAAATTCTTGCTTTATCTGGTACATATAAATTGGAAGTTTCATTACCACTAAATATTGCAGCTTAAAGGCATTTTGAAATTCTCTACCCTATTTTAGATGAGGTTACTAAACATTATTAAACAATATTCTCAAATGTTCTCTTTTATTTATTAAGTATATGCCAAAGACTTATTTGTTAAAAACCAAAACAATAAAAAGACAATGAAAACTCAGCTGCCTATTTTTCAAGGTAAAAATTAAGATTTATCAGATGGGTATCAATCTCATCACAATTTTGCAGCAGAGTGCTTCAGAGCAAAGTCTCATGAGATTCATATTTAATACACTGTGGATGAATAATGGCTGAAGGAATTCAATCTTACTTGCTATTTACTAAACTCAAGTTACAAACTGTTAATTAGAAAAAATTATTATACTGTATATACATAGAAATGGTTAGTAGAATGTTGTCCTCTTAATCTTGGACTATCGTTTGATTTTTTTACCTGTGCAGTATTTGTGATGGGCAGGCATATTCCCAGATCATTCACAGTGAGCTGGAGGAAGAGAGTCCCAAAGGCCTGAGCTGATGTTTGCTGGATACCTGGTAGCATATCTACTACTTCCTTTGTAGCCATATGAATATCTTTATGTAAAGCCATTCGTTGTTCATTCCAGTTGTCATAGGCAGCCTTATAATTCAGCCAAAACAGCACAGCTTTTTATAATTAAGGCAAGGTGGAAAGAAAATTAAAATCAAAGCTGTAAAGCTATAAGGCAAGTAAAACTCAGGAGCTGCAAAGTCTGGTCAATTAATAAAAATCACTCCCAGCAGAAAATTATAGCATTAGAATTAGAAAGGATCTAAGGGAATATAGTCAATTTGACAAATGAAAGCAGGCGACTGCATAATGGCAGAAAGAAGAAAATAATCCAGGTCCATTTGTTCATTTAATAAATTATTTGTGAAATGCCTATTATATGCTATGCACTAGGATGCAATAGAAATGAAATGAAAACAGAACATGGTCCCTGATCTTGTAGAGCTTACTATTACTACTGTTAAAAAATTCTTGAAGGCGGGCAGCCGGGGTGGCTCAGTGGTTTAGCACCGCCTTCAGCCCAGGGCCTGATCCTGGGGACCCGGGGTCAAGTCCCATGTCGGGCTCCCTGCATGGAGCCTGCTTCTACCTCTGCCTCTCTCTCTCTGTGTGTCTCTCATGAATAAATAAATAAAATCTTAAAAAAAAATTCTTGAAGGAGAGGTACATAATAGTAGGAGTATATAGTAAAAAGATGTGATCCTCAAAAAGAAGTCAAGACATCTGAGTCTGTAACAGGAATGGAACCTTAAGGAAAACCTTCATTTAATGCACTATAGAGAAGGAGAGTCTAAAGATGAGGGAGAGGAAAGATTAAGGGGTAGGGAAGCAGATGGAAAAGCAAGCGGTCAGACACAAAGAGTAGAAAGTACTTTAAGGAGCTGTTGAAGGTGATGAGAGGTTTGTAAGATGTGAAATGAAAAAAAAGTGCACAGAAGTTAGCATAATAAAATGTTACCCATAACATTGCCAAAAGGATAGTTTTCTAACAGACTTATCACCAGGCAATGCCAATTTCAATCTTAAGTGGCTTCATAAATCAGTTCTTCATTACTTCCACAATACAATTGCTACATATTTGCCCAATATACATTAATTAGACCCCATCTATCTGTTCAGCCTTATTTCCTATTATTTTCTTTTATGAAAGCTGCTATATGTTTTAGACCTCTGTGTTAATACATACTCATTCATATTCTCTCTCATCTCTCTCATCTAAATATTTACTTAGTTCTTAACTTTAACCCAGGAACTGTTCTGCTTCAGATACAAAGGTAAGTGAGACTAGCTTCATTTCCTTGTCACCCAGGTGAACTTTTAACTCCAAGTCAAATCTGAAGAATTCGTTTTTCCTTTAAGAAGCACAGGCAAAGTTAGAAGGCTCCCTCAGATACAAGAAAAGGTAACTCTAACTCCTCCCTGTAGTGTATTTTGTTCTCTCCCACTGGACTGACAGGTCCTTGAGGACTGGGATCTGTATTCCACTCCTAGACTCCCAGACTGTAAATGAATAAAGATAGTGCAAAAGCAAATGGGTGCATTAGTTTTTGAAACCAAACAGTTAGCATTACAATTAAAATTCTGACACCCTCAACATTCTATCCATGTTGAAAGCAAATGACTTTATAAAGTAAAATAAGTTTAAAAACTGAAAAGAATAAGCAAAACACTTTGGATGTTCACATTTCAGGTTAGGAGACATTTAGCTGTCAAGCATCTACAGTGGTAAACAACAAATGATTTTTATCCAACATTACCAAAACGTTTCTAAATCTAACAAGATAGTGTTGATGGACTTTATCTTACCTCTATCAAAGGCCACAGGCTGTGCATAAACAATTGGTCTATTCAAGGTAATAAGCACAGCTTCCCTATCTGAAGAACCACTGATTTCTTCTCGGAGGGCATTTCTTAATCCAATCCTGGTTTTAAAATAAGCAACTTGATGAAAATCAGAACCAGCTTCCTCATAAACCTAGATTAAAATGAAAAACTCAATAAAATCAAGTAGTGGAAAATGTTTTGGTAAAAAACTTACAAGTTTTAACACCATTAATGGTATTATTCACCAAAAGAACTATATTTTTCTCAAGTTTATTTGTCAATGATATATTCCTTATACTCTGTACCATAAACACCTGAAATTAATATATAACATGTATCGGTAAACAAGAAGTAAATATGAAGTCATACAGAAAGTTTGCAGAAAAGCTAGAATGAGGTCCATATTCTTAATGTCAATACATTAACTGTTTCAAGATATTACATCCTTTCTCTTCTCAACATGTGTTTCCAATTGGAAAAAAATACTGTTTTTCTAAAGATGGCAAGAAATTTTTCTCCATTTCCCTACATAATCTTTAATACAGCCATTTAATATAGAAAGTATGACTGGTATTAGTTTAATCAGTTCTTTTAAATAAAAGAAGGAAAAAGGTTAAAATCTACATAATATCTATCAAAATAAAAACAAAAACATCCCCCAATAAGGTGTGAAAGTTATATTTTTATAAAATAGAATCTGATTTATTGCTGTGTGTATATATACATAAAACTTTCTATACATATTACATACACATAGATCTATATACACATATATGTAGACATATATACACATACACATATATGTGTAGCATACATACACACATATGTATAAAACCTAGCATATGTAAAACTTTCTATTAACATTATGGTATGCATAAATTCCAATATTAAACAGGGTAGCTAAGAAACTTAGTGACATTTTAAGAACTGACCAGTGTCAGTACAGTGCTGAAATAAAAAATAATTCTAAACAAAATCAAGAGTAATTATAAACAAGTATTTATGAAGATGTTGAATTAAGCTTCCTGTGATTACATTTGCACTAAACTATAGCAATATACCACCCAAAAGACTCAATGAAATGCCAAACTAAAATTGTAAAGGCCTTCTTAAATGAAGTTTCACTCCAATTTACAATTAGAAATTTTAGGAATATTAAATAACTTTTTAAAAGTATAGTAAAAGTGACACCTGGATGGCTCAGTCAGTTAAATGTCTGCCTTTGGCTCAAGTCATGATCCTGGGTCCTGGAATGGAGCCCCACATCGGCTCCCTGCTCAGCATATGGAGTCTGCTGCTTCCTCTCCTCCAGCCCCTACCCCCACTCGTGCCCCCTCTCTCTTTCTCTCAAAATCTTAAAAAAATAATATTTACAGTAGTTCAAATTGATATACAAAATTTAAAAGACAAAATTCTAATATCAGCATATTTGTACTCACTTGATGTTTGACAATTTGTCCTAATGCCAAATTTAAATCCACCTGGCATTTACCAAACAGTTTCAGATAGCTGCTACTCCCTGGTGAAGCTTTGGTTTGAAGTCGGTTCGAAAGTTCCAGCTCTATCAATCCAGTTTCAAATCTCACAGCTCTCATTGATGGAGTAGTGGCTGTTACTTGAATACCCTAGTTAGTAGATTATATGTTAGGAGGAAAAAAGAATCTTAAATCAACAATATACACTCATTCAAATGAAATCTTTCAATATATGATAAAATGCCATGTTTTAAAACACATATGGGCTGTCTAATGAGCTGATAAACATTCTTTAATTTCTCATATTAGTAGGGAATTTTTTACTTACTGAATTTTATTTTAAATTTTGTACTTAGCATATGAACTGTTCATGAGTTAAATACATTAATTATAATTAGTTGGTAATACTTTTAACACTAATATCTTAATAATTGCAAATATTAAGGTTTCTATTAAGGTATTATTGTTAATTGGACAAGTGTACAAAATATTTCTTACAGAGTAACTTATAACTGTAATAATTAGAAAAAATAAAATATTAACCAGCAGAGGGCAGTTATATGAAATGTTACAACTATATAATAAATAGTACAGCTATTCAGGAAGATAAAGTTAATCTATAATGTTCTGACATTGAAAGGTATTCAAGGTTTTTAAAATGCATAAATATATGCACATGCAAAAATACAAATAGAAAAAAGTCCTAAATGATATTCAATTATTAAAAATTTTCTTGAGTGAATGGGGTTACACTTCATTTTTATTTTCTACTTATCATATTTATGTATCATATGAATTTCCTATAATTAGTATACATTAAATACTTAGAAAAGTACTTTGAAAAGTATAATTCCTTATATGTTACCTTAAACTGCAAGTTCAGAGAATAAAGTAGAATTTTAGGCTTATCTCCATCTGCTGTTCCATCATGCTCATTCCAAAGAGGAATAGGCTGCTCCCCACCTATAGAAGTTAAATAACAGAAGGTCTGGGGCAATCACTTTAAAAGGAAAATAATAATTATTTTATGCATTTAAACATAAACAGTTATTTTTTCTGATCATGATCTCAATCTTTAACAGGAAACTTTAGCCATGTCACATTTCACTGACACACACACACACACACACACACACACACACATGAATGCTAGGGATAATACTTCATATATAGGTATTTATTAAGAGTATTTTATAAGAACTAAAAAGATTATACAATTAAATGTAATCATATATCTCAAAAAATGTATTTGAGGGGAAAAAAGTAAATTGTACTAATGTCTTCAATCAAAAATGTGAACTTTATTGTTTACATTTAAATGTGCTGCAAACAAAAAAGAATTAAAGAAAAAATAAAGGTGCAGAAATTTTAAAAATAAGGTAATGTGTGCTAAGAATATGTGGCAGCAAAAGTTTGTCCTACAAATTAAAGAAAAAATGAGACCGGAGACTCTGGAGTAGAGTTCCTATTAACAGATCATTTGTTGCCCAGGCAATGTGGCATCCACAAAATAATGTTCTAATATTTTAATGTGTAACTTCCCTTTCCACTTTTCATCCCCTTGATGAAAAAATTTTCTGCATATTTATCTTTTAAGTTTTCCATCTTAAAATGTTAATCTTTCTATATGTATATTCAGTTTAGTAACATCATCCCAGAGAGCATATATATCTACATGTGATGGGAAGTTTTCTCCTATTAGCGAATCAAATTAATGTAATCCATCACAATCCTTCTGAAAAATTACATGGTCATATCAACAGAGGCAGAAAAAGGGGTGCCTGGCCGGCTCAGTTGGAAAACCACACAAGGCTTGATCTTGGGGTTGTGAGTTCAAGACCCACACTGGGTAGAGATTACTTAAATAAAATATAAACTTAAAAAATAGATATGCAGAAAAAGCATTTCACAAAATTCAACACTCATTCATGATAAAAACTCTCAGTAGAAAGAGAGGAAAATTTCTCCAATTTGATAATATCTACAAAACTTTACAGTTAACATCATATGCTCAATGGTGAAAAACCTGAAACTTTCCTATTTAGATAAGATACAAGGCAAGGATGACTCCTCTTACCACTTCTGTTCAACATCACATGGGAAGTCCTAACTAATACAATAATACAAGAAAAGTAAATAAAAGGTATAGAAATTGGGATGGAGAAAATAAAATTGTCTTTGTTCACAAATGGCAAGAACATTTATGTGGAAAATCTGAAAGAACTGACAAAAAACTCCTGGAGCCAAGCAATTATTGCAAGGTTGTAGGATACAAAGTTAATACTGACAAAGGTCAATCACTTTCCTATACATCAGCAATGAAGAAAGGAACTTAAAAAAAAAATCCCATTTACATTAGCACCACAAAAAATTAAATACATAGGTATAAATTAACAATATATGTGCAAGATCTACATGAAGAAAAATACTAAGTTCTGAGGAAAGGTATCAAAGAAGAACTAAATAAATGGAGAGATATTTCACATTCATAAATAGGAAAAATCAATTATTGTCAAGATGTCAGTTCTTAACTACATCTTTCTAAAACCAGGGAGTCCATGGACAATAAAATTATAAGAACTGATTCTTTTATTATTCTTAGAATATATATTAATCTTATAATTATGTTATAAAACTGACTCCTCAAAAAAAAAGATTTTCCTAATAAACAAGATTGCTGTAAATGAGTATGTCTATACAACAGAAAATGTCCTAGAGCTAAATGTAATATTAAGAAAAAGGTGTAAGAAGTAGAGAAATAAGGGCAGTAACTATGAAGAGCATGGGACAGTAGGGAAGCAAGAGAGAGATTAGAATACTAAGGAACTTGGCTACAAGGGTTCAAAGTATTCCCTCTCAGTAAAATGTTGCACTCTCCAGTTTTGTAAAATCTCGCTTCATGAGGTCCTGGGACCAGCTAGATGATAAATGACTTATTTTCAGCCATTTTCCTAGAATTCAACCATATAGTCAGGAAGGAATGGTTCAGGGATCAGACCTAGACACTAAATGACTTAGTATCAGAATCTTATCTCTGAATTCTTCACAGTGATTAGTAAATCTTCACAGTTAGAATATTAATTTCTAATCTTTTTTTATATAAATTTATTTTTTATTGGTGTTCAATCTGCCAACATATAGAATGACACCCAGTGCTCATCCCATCAAGTGCCCCCCTCAGGACCCATCACCCAGTCACCACCACCCCCCGCCCAACTCCCTTTCTACCACCCCTAGTTCGTTTCCCAGAGTTAGGAGTATCTTATGTTCTGTCTCTCTCCCTTTCTGATATTTCCCACTCATTTTTTCTCCCTTCCCCTTTATTCCCTTTCACTATTTTTTATATTCCCCAAAGAATGAGACCATATAATTTTTGTCCTTCTCCGATTGACTTATTTCACTCAGCATAATACCCTCCAGTTCCATCCACGTCAAAGCAAATGGTGGGTATTTGTCATTTCTAATGGCTGAGGAATATTCCATTGTATACATAGACCACATCTTCTTTATCCATTCATCTTTTGATGGACACCGAGGCTCCTTCCACAGTTCAGCTATTGTGGACATTACTACCAGAAACATCGGGGTGCAGGTGTCCCAGCATTTCACTGCATCTGTATCTTTGGGGTAAATCCCCAGCAGTGCAATTGCTGGGTCATAGGGCAGATCTATTTGTAACTCTTTGAGGAATTTCTAATCTTCTTTTCCAGTTCATTCTTCATAGACCTAGGGATATACTTTTAATTCCTCACCAACTGTAATTCAAACGTTAAGAAAAGCGTTTTTCTTCATCAAAACTACCTGAAGGGCAACTTATAGTGCCAGCCTGATTAGAATTCTACAGTGCTAGCTTTTTAAACCATGAAAGATACAAAATTTTGCTAATTGAATTTAAATTAAAAAAAGAAAGACACAAAATTAGTTTAAGAGTCAAATATTTTTTCTTATATTCAGCAATAATAGACTTGAAAATATTCTTTAGAACTCATAAAAATTCACTAGCTTAAAATATTCTTAACTTCCATATCACAATGTTCTAATGTGATTTTAACCATGTAAATGGGCCACATCAAAACTTCGGTATATTCCCCAAATAGAGGCACCTTCAGTGGCAGAAAGGGCTTCACTATTTATTTTTTTTCTTCTTTAACAGTTTGTATTCAACAACTTTCAGAATTCCCAGGCTACCAACTGATCTGATTTTTTACAGCTCAACTTGTGAAATTCTATAGTTCTACTGAGCTTCTTCAATATAATCATTTATTAGTTTCCTGACTTCAGATAAAATCAGAACCAGCCCATGAGAATCAGGAAAATCTGTTGCTCACATGGGTACAACATAACTTAATTCCCTACTGCATTGAGTTTTGTCCCCCTTTGGGGCCTTATCAAATACTTGTCCATAAGCCCTGCCTGCATCTTTTCTACCTCTCCTTTTTGCCAAATAGATTTCATTTATGAGGCTTTGGATAGGACTTCCTCTGTATAGCCTTTTCTGATTTCTTAAACTAGATTAGTTTCTCCTCTGACATAGACATAGCACCCTGTTCTTGTCATTCACAGAACTCATTAGAATTATATAACTCAGATACTTAATAAATCTGTTAAATGAATGGACTTATTCACCAACATGGAGGAATCGCCTCTTGTGGCTTCACTATCATTTTAACATGATTATATCTGTACTGGAAATATTTAGCCTCAAGAATTATTGCGTAAAGTCAACTTATTTTCCATCCTGATACCTCTTAATATTTTAACTGAATTAAAAGTCAGTTAAACATTTTTTAAATCAAACATATATTTCCTGTTAAAATGTAAAACTGTAATTAAGATGCTCATTTGTAATCTACTCTTGAGGCATAGCAAAAATATAATAAGTGTTGCTATAGATGATTTACCATGTAGCAAGTAGAGTCACCATGTGGTTTATAAAGTCAACATCTTATATTGATCTAAATCTTGTTCCCAAATGGATAAGATTAGTTTGGTTAGTAGACATATTAGCTTTTTTGGAGGCTGGGGAAAGGAAGCATAAAGGAGCTTTGTAAAGTTTATGAATCATAAATGTATATGCTACATATGACAAAAGTAATAAGCAAAAGAATCTGTAGGTGGAAAAGCCAGAAAAGGAAAAGGAAAAAAGCAAAGTTTTTAGGGAATTACTCAATAACTATATCTAAATGATAGGATCAATACTCACTCATACCATAGATACATGGAACATCACCTAGGTGATGAGAATAAAAATCTGCTATATATTCGATATTACAAGGTACCAGATTATCTTACCAGAAACTTTCTGTATTACTTCATTAACTTCCTTCATGAACACTTTCTGTACAAATACCAAGTGATTTAGAAGATCAGTTGTGAGATTATGTTCAAAGGAACCAACCTGCCAAACAAAATCAGAATAGTAGATTAACATTACTGACTGCATTTGTTGTAAATACATCTTTTGCTCACATAGGTCAACTCAAATTCTGAAGAAAAACAATAAATTATCTACATATTATTTGAAAAAAGGTTAAAAAATACTCAGATTACCCAACATTTACTGGTCTGACATTATTACGAGCCATTCCTTAATTTTTTTTAATAACAGTAGCCAATAAGGTTTCTTTTTTTGGCAACTTGATAATTTTGAAATTGAAATTTTGTCTAGAGTAGTTATTTACTTTCAATGACTACTGTTGTAGTGTTAGAACCATGAACAAGTATCATTACACATGAAAGTAAATTTATTTACACATTCAAATATTTATTGACCATCTGCATTGTGTACCTCTTTAGAAGCTAAGGATATAGCCGTGAATAAAAACAACAAAATCATGGCTCTCATGAGGTTTGCTTTCACATGAAAGAACAAATCAGATATACTCCGTAAGTTTTAATATACGCCCTGCAATTAGTAGAAAGCATAAGATTTATATGAAGAATTAACAGATTAAATAGAAAGCAAGCCCTAATTGAAGTTCAGTATTATAATAAAGACAGACTGAAACACCCTTATGAGTAAGGTAAATGCTTCAAATTTGCCACTTAATATTCATATTTTGATCAAAAATTAACAAAGCAAAGTGGATTTAGTAGTCTTTACATAGAGTCTAAGTAGCACTGGACACTTTTTATTTTGTATAGAGTAGTACCGAATGGGCTAAGATGATTTTCATGTGTATTTATTTCAAGCCATAGTAAAACAGGCAACTGTCTGAGGAATGCAACTTTAGATTCTTTCAAGTGTTTGTAATTAACTGCATATTTAGCAAATGTGGGATTGTGTTCTTCCCCAACTACATACTTTATACCTTTTCTAATAGCAAATATTAGTAATAAATTATGCAACATGCCACATCAGATTTATTTTCTATCAAATGAAGCATTAAGAATAGTACTGTTATACCAGAGGTTGAGAACTCATTTTTCAGAACAGAAAGGACAAATTAAATATGCTTTATAATCTACCTTTTAAATAAATATCTGACTTCTAGAATCTTGTACACTAATTTTTCACATAAAGAAATCCCATTTTTAGAGAGGTGTTAGGATAAGCAGGGTCTAAAGAAGATAAATCAGACTTCAATTAAGTATCTCCCATAGCTGTGAAATTTCTAGCAAAGAACTCAAAAAGCATTCTCAGAGATGCTTTACATTTTAGAAAATGAAACTCACAAAAGAAACAGACAACTGTTTTTTGATAAGATTGCAACCGTTTCTGACAAACTGAGAAAGCAAGCTGAGAGACAGTACTGTGTATGAATCCTACATCTCTCATGTGATAGTGGAAAGATATAGGGAAAGTTACTTAATTTCTCTCAGCTTCAATTTCCTACTGTATCGAATTAGTATAAAAGATGACTTGCTTACCGCAAATCAAGCAAAAAATATGTATTGGAATGTTTTTTTAAACTTAGGACAGTTGTACCAATATAAAGCGAAAAAACTGATGAAATCAGGTACACTGATTTTCAACATCCCTTAGAAAAGAAATTAGTCTGTGAATTTGATTGTATTTTATCTGTATGACCTTTAAATTGCTAATAATTATGAAAAAGAAGACTGTTAGTTAATAATTATGGATTCCTGATGAATCATGTAACCTCCTGAAGGCTGTTTTTTCACTTAAAAATTAATAAAAAAAATTCTGTTTTTTAGGATTGATTTAAGTATTATACAAGTCAATGCATATAAATGCTATTAGCTTTTTTATAATCAAATGAACTATAAAATATTAAAGAGATGGATATGACACCTAATGTAAGAAATATAAATTCAAAGATGACTAACAAAAAAAAGCATGTTTAAATGAAACTATAGAGAAAAAGATATATACACATGAGTACATACACATACAAGACTTGGAACAGAACTCTGTAAGAATAAATGATTTAATGATTTGTCTTAAAAGTTTAGATCACTACATATTTTGGTACATCTAAACCTTAAAGACTTCTAAATGACAAAACATAAGAAAATTAAAAAGTAAACTTACTTCTGCCACACAACGTAGATAATTTCCCTGTAAATAGTACCCTTGTTTAGAAGGCAGTTCATCAATACTCCACACCTGATCTGAATAACTATCATGTTCTTCCATTATATATTTTCCTGACATAGTAACAGGAGGAAGGTTGAGACTAGCAGAAGGAGGAATGGTTGACATATCTGTGGCAGACACTTTGGAAGTAAAACGCAATCTGTGATTTGGCAGCTCAAATGTAAACCTGGTCTGTGCACCTATAAGAAATAAGAAAAGTTATTGTTTGTTCAGGTGCTCATTCACTCCCTTGTTTTAAAAAAATGGTTTCTAAAAAAATGCATACACATCACAAGTAAAAGAAATCCTTATATATATGTATGGGTACTACTATGACTCAGTCAGTATTATTAAGCCAGAAAGTACTATTTAATTAAGCCTAGTAGGTGCCAGAGAAACATCTACAAATGTTCTTTATTTTATTGAAAGTAGAACAGAAAGAAACTGCCCTTATCACAGAAGAATTATAACAAGAGGAATTAAGTGTACAAAAAATTCTAATCATTGCTTCTTGGCCTTTTGGCTAAGATCAAGTGTAAAAAATTCCAATCTACATTCATATTTATACTACTTTATTAACAGAGATTAGCACCTAACAGCTAGCTTCCTGATCCTGATTCAGTACGGAAGGAAATAGTGAAAATTGTCAAACCACTGTACTCACTGAAAACATTCATCAGGTATAAAATTATGCGAACACATGTATTTTTGACCTTAACAATAATTATTAATGGGACCATATACCAAACAAGGATATGGTATGCGTTTTAGTTTATTAAAACTACTGTTGGTGCTAAACACTTAAATCAACTATGTGGCATGCAGCTGTTCAAACAATTATAAATATATAGCCTATACTATTACGCAAGCCATATCTAGCTTCCAGTTTATGAAGACATTAAGGAGTAGAAGAAACCTTGTTAAAATCAAGATCTATTATTGGCCATTGCATTTACTGTGTAATCTATACATGCATACTCTTTTCCAACCAACAAAATCTTATACTGTTCTATACGTTACCAATTCTCTCCACTCAAACATCATTAAATAGCCTATTTTGCCTACATACATATTATAGTTTAATAAATAATCCTAGTGTTCTCAATTGTGCCAGAAATAATTCTTTTTTCAAAATACTAGTAAAAGATCACTCCCATATGTTGCATTGGTTATATTCACTATATTCACTTGCTATACAATGTTTGTTCTTAGAATGAGTTAGCCATAAACAGAAAAATGCTCTTTCACCAAATGGTACATCTGTGAATGGCCAAATAGGTCATGACTGCTTTGATCTTCTCTTACTAACTCCAACCAGGCAGGCTCAGTGACCATCACTTGCAGGATGCAAGTGTGGGGGCTATCACAGTAATTACCACTTCTACTACCACCACCATCATTACTAAATAAAAACAACATTAAAGTAATGCTAAGCCTCAGGTCATCTCTTATCACTAATACAGTCATTCCTTTCCTATTTTTGTTCCTTTCCTTCATTTCAAGAACTATGTATTCTTATCTGTTTAGATATTTGATAGTACATTTAGTGTGCCCCTAAATATTTATATCTTCCTAATTCCAAACTGCCTGTTTGGCTTTTGATACAGTCTCTGTTGAGTCTTAGATTTCATGGATGCTCTGATTAAATGGCCAACATGAGTCTAACTTATTGTCTGGCCAATATGTGAAGGCCTAATACTTCTGACTGCCAAATCTGCAAACTCCCTTCAAAGTGCTTCTCTTCCTAGTAACAGAAAAATCTAGATGTTCAGAAAAATTCCTCTCAATAAAGAAAACCTAAAATGTTAGGAGTAGGAATAAAGAAATACATGTAAATATATATGAATACATATGTGCATATATTTATATATGTGCATACATGCACATTTTTAAATTAATAATATAACTTGTTAATGGCATTAAGGAGAAAACAAACTTTAATCTCAACAGATGTAGAAAAAAGCATCTGATAATATTCACCAATTTTTCTTCACAGAAACTCTTAGTATACTAGGAATAGAAATTAATTTTCTTAACCTGATAAAGGGACTCTAGCAAACCCTTACACCGCACGTCGCATTTATTGATGACATACCAACTCCCTTAAGAAATGAGAGTAAGACAAGGATGCCTGTAATATCCCCTTTTCTGAACATTGTAGCAGAAGCACAATAAGAAAAAGAAATAAAAATTCTTTTTTTTTTTAGAAATAAAAATTCTTAAAGACTAGAAAGAAATAAACAAAAGTATCATTTGCACATGGAACAAGTATCTACTTAGGAAATTCCAAAGAATCTTATTAGCAATAAAAAGAAAAAATTTACCATGGTTGCTGAGTATAAAATTACCATAAAAAATCAAGTGCATTTGTACAAAATCCCCACCAGTTTAGAGAACGCCATTTTACAAAGTATCACATTTGTAATTACTAAACAATAACAACAACGTAAGGTATTTCTAGGATATATATATTATATAAATAAATATAAATGATATATGATAATCATATCAAATGATAAATATATATGATATTTTTTGTAACAGGCACAAAACCTTTAATCAAAAAATTTTAAACTTTGTAGAAAAACACTGAAGAAGACCGAAAGAGACAAAGAAATACATATTCAAGACTAGAAAGGTTAAATATTGCATTAATTCTCAGTATCAATCAATATTGCCAATTCTCCCCAAGTGAATCTACAGATTTAATTCCTCTAAGAATTCAAATAGGCTTTTTCAGAGAACTTGACAAACTGATCTCCAAAACATATATGAAGGAGTAATCAAAAATAACCAAGATAACTCCTTAAAAAAGGAACTGTCAGGTAGCAATATGAGATTATAAATAGGTGCTGTAAATAGGCCAATGAAGCATAATAAAGAACTCTGAGACAGACCCCACACATATGAACCCTTAAGAGTGACAAAAATGGACTATGTATCACTGAAAAAAAGGACAAATCAGTCAATAACTGATGCTGCAATAATTGATAAATCTACACCAAATTAAAGAAAAAAAATAATTCCACATAGATTAAGAACTTAAAAGCAAAATTTAACAGATAATATAAAACATTTAACAGACAATATAAGATAATATCTTCATAATCCTGAGAAGTTAAGGATTTCTTTAACATATAAAAATACACATCATACAAGAAAATATTGGTAAATTCAATTACTTTAAAACTAAGAATATCTATTGGTCAAAAGACAATGTGAAATAAGCCTCTCATAAGATGGTAAATATATACAAATATATAATATCAATATTACAATATTAAAAGTTTAACATGTAAAACATATAAATAATTCCTGTGAACAACAACAAAAAAATACAAATGACTCAATTGTAAAATGGGCAAAAAACAATAACCATCAAGAGGCACTTCATATAAGAAAATACATAGGATATTTTAATAACATAAAAAATTTCAGTTTAATTACAGAAATATAAGTTAACTCCACAGTGAGATACCATTCCACATTTACCAGACAGAGCAGAAATTTAAAAGTCAGAATATACCAAGTGTTGACAAGGATATGGAATAATGGGAACTCTCATCTAATACTGGAAGGACAATAAATACTGGTGAACACAAATACTTTGGGAAACAGTTTTGTACTTTCTAATAAAACTGAAGATGCATTTATTTACCCTATAGTCTAGCTGTACCACTTCTAAGTAAATACCCTTGAGAATCTCATGCACATGTGTACCAAGAGATGGGCATGAGAACAAATGTAATAGCAAAAAAATAAAAGGAGCCAAATATCCATCAATAGTAGACAAACTGTAATGTAATCACTGAATGGACTCTTACGTTTCAGTGAAAAATGAATGAACCAGCAGATACATGAATGAACAGATGAATCTCAAACAAAATGTACAGCAAAAAACAACAACAACAACAACATTCCAATTAAAAAATACATTAGTGGAGGGTGCCTGAGTGGCTCTGTTGGTTAAGCATCTGCCTTCAGCTCAGGTCATGATCCTAGGGTCCTGCAATGGAGCCCTGTTTTGGGCTGTCTGTTCAGTATGGAGCCTGTTTCTCCTGCTCCCCCTGCTCCTCCTCCCTGCTCATGCTCTCTCTCAAACAAATAAAATCTTTAAAAAAATACATTAGTGGAAATCCATACAAATAAGTTCAGAACATAAGCCATTTACGAGTATATACATATGTGGTAAAACTATAAAGAAAAGCAAAGGAATGGGTAACACAAAATTCATGTTAGTGGTTATTTCGTGGGCAGTCATGAGGAAAATGTGGTAGTGATAATATTCATTGAATGAGCCTTCACAATACCGGTAATGTTTTCACTTTCAGTTTGTTTAATGGGTTGGTAAGATCACAGTTCTTTATTATACTTGAAACTGTGTAAATAATTTACACATTTTTGTATTACGTTTCAGAATAAAAATACAATAGCAAAAAACTTTTGGAGAGAGTATATAAGGATCACAAAACCTTATAGAAGTAGCTATTATGAAAAAGCCAAATAACCTCTGATATGAGCTAAATTCACCCAATGTGAAAATAAACCAAGTTATTCAGACTATAAAGAAGCTAACAGGTATAGAAACATATTCAACTTTAGTTTGATCAGAAATGACCTCAATAGTTGAATAGCTCTGCAGAGTTCAAATAAAAGCAGAGTCCTCAAGGAAGGTGTAACTGGTATTTTTTTACTTGGCTGAAGTACATCATTAATGAAATTTAAAAGTACTCTGATTAAAATTATTTAAATTTTCATGCAAGATCTACAAAAGCAAGTGTACTTTTTCATGAAAATATTACTTATTTCTCAAACCAATCATATAGTTTAAGGGGCTGAATTCAAAATGTAACGTTACCTGTCATTCCATGACTTCTCATTCTTCCCATTTTGTATTCTGCTTTCAGAGATGGTAAAAGTGCTGCTCCAATGGCTATACCATCTAACATGGCACTGAATTTAAGAACAATGGGCTTCTTTTCTAACCCTTCAGGTAGCTGAGGAAATTCATTTGTTTCAACAGGTGTTTGATTAACACTTGTTGGGGTTTTTTCAGAAGGTAGGGGTGTTGCAATATCTTCTTTCATGGGCTGAGGGCTATAAAGCAAAAAAAAAAAAATTTAAACACAATTAGAATAGCTACCATTTTATTGTATGCAATTATTAGAATTCTCAATGAAAAATAGCAAAAATTAACTGTGAACAGAGATTATCTAATTCAAGCCCACTTGAAGACTTCCTAAAAAAGCCATAGAAAAATGATGATCTAGAAAAGTAAACAAGAAGTAATAACAATACAAATGAATGTTATGCTGTGAAAGCCATTCATATTATTGTGAAACTAGAGTTAAAACTCATGTCTGTCTGATTCCAAATTCTGATTTAAGCATTGCACTCTACTACTGATTGTAATGTTGTAATATTACTACTGTTGCTACTATCACTATCACTATTAATAACAATATATACAATAACAATAATTTTTTGAGTGCTTACTATGTGCCAGGTAATCTTAGTGTTCTGTGTGTTTCATCATTTATTCATTTATCTCACAAAAACCTTTGAGTAGGTATGATTATCTGCTTCACAAATGAGGAAGCCTCGCTAGAAAATGGTGAAACCAGGATTTTAATTCACGTTGACAAGAGTCTCATTTTTTTAAACTATTACACTCTGTTTCCAATACATTATAATAAAGAAAAGTTCCTTGGCATATTTTTAAACTACGTCTTATGTACCCATTTTGGATTACATACTCCACTAACAGGAGAAACATATTTAAATTATTACTACTTACTCAACTCGACATGAATATTACATCAGAATTAAAGCTCAATAAAACAATTAGAAATATCACTGCTTTAGGACACTGGAAAAAGACTCACTGATGTTTTTATACCCTATAGGTTAGGCAAAAGGATCATAATAAGATAATTTTTTTATCTTTTATTTATCATATATTTACTAATTATTCATTAGTTATATAGCTTTGAGGATCAGGAATAAATCTTGGCAATGCATACCCATGAACAAGAGCTATAGAGACAGGGAATAGCAGTGAATGTACAAAGATCCAGTTTACCAACCTTTATAATATTTATGTGGCATGATCATATCATGCCTTGAACCATGTACAACAATTTCATATACAGTATACACAAAACCATGCTTGGGACATAAATGGCCACTGTAGTTTTTAAATCTATGCAGTCATAAATTACAATGAGTTTCAAGTAAATAAGTATTGATACAGTCCTAGAATTTGTCGGTTTGCTTTTTTTTTTTTTTTTTTTTTTAGTACCTCTTATGATATCCACAAATCTCTGGAATCTCTTAAGCTTTATCGACGCAATACAGAACACGGACAACTACATTTGTGACAAAGTACTTTATATCCCATAGGATTCTTCCACAAACATATGTGGCTATTTTCCAACTGCACCATAGTTCATACTGGTCAATATTTGGATGAAACCCTCTGTCTTCCTCCAAACTATTGTTAACACACCAAAGATCAATTTGAAGTATCACATGGAACCACAGAACTTGAAGAAATAACTTACGCTGTAGAAGGCTGTCTGATAAGATCTGAGATCTGCTTAGATAGTTGGTGGGAACTTCGAACCATCATGCTATGTAAGGTGGCAGGGTGCTGGGGAATGTTGATGCTGATAGCTCCTACTTTGAACACGGCAGCATTGTTAGTCTTCAACCCTCTCTGGGCACTGTAGAGGGCTTGTGACTTGGCAATACTACACTTCACTACAGTTCTATTAATAAAAAAGGAGGACCATTAAAATATAGCCAAATAAAGATAAATGTTGAAAAGTACTAAGGTGATGCTTTAAAATCATTCAATGAACTAAATGACTTAAGATTTTTCATGCATTTAAATCATGTATTGAGGAAAAGTTTTATAAAAGCATTGAAATGCATTTATCTTACATTGTTGGCACTCAAAATCATTCCATATCTTTAATGGAGTTTACAGAAGAAAACATGTATGTGCTCACAAGTAAAAGAATGAACACTGACATATTACATGTGTACAATACACAAAATTCCATTTTAATTTTTCCTCCATTCAGAATTCCTCTTTTTGTCCCCAATTTACTTTAGGGATTTAAAATAAATAATATATAATAAAATACTGTACTTCTTAGAATTTAATCAAAGGAATTCATCAATCATATAATATGTTGGAAGAGATATACGGGAAAGAAGAAATTTAACTTGCGTTTTTCATTTTTAAGATTTTCAACAAGGGTCAAAGGAATGATAGAAGAAAAATTCATAATAAATAGCTACTTAGTTAAGAATTAGTAAGCTTTACTAATTAATACACTTCTTGATTTCTTGTTCTCTCTTCTAATGCCTACAACAGTACCTTAAGCATGGTAGGCACTCACTGAATTTTGTGAAATTAGTGAGAGGAAAGAAGTACAGCTGAGGAATGACTTCCAACACTATAGCTGTGGAATTCCACAGATAACATATGATAAGTCATGTATATAGAAGCCATGATAAGTCATGTATATAGAAGACAGTTTTGACATATAGAATGGAAAGCTTCACACCAATGAACTGCACCAGTAAAGGCCCAGTTAGTAAATGGACAGCCTCAAACATGAATATTATCTTTCAAATGGGCAAAAGATTCTTGACAATAGATTTAGCAAAACAACACATAAAATGCAAATTTCGTATTAACTACAGGTCAGTTCACATATATTTATCTCGACTTAGGCTATAGAGGATTTACTAAGAATTCATTTACAGTCTCATGGATCTAAACAATCGATTTATCACATCTAACTTTTATTAAAGTAAACCTTGAGAAGCATAACAATGGCTCTATTAGAGGTGCTGATTATTTACAGATAAATGAAATGCAAGTATTATATAAAATTAAAAAATGATTACTGGCAAACTATATAGCTTTCTTCTACAAAGGCAACTATTTCTCAGAGACTATCACTGACTAGAAAAAAAAGTTAAGATATGAAATTGGTCTAGCAAGCATGAGAATAGATTCTGGGATATTGACTACTGAATTTGGAATCTTTTCTTAAATGTTATGATAAAGCTACTTTTATCATTAATGAGATTTCATTTTAAATTCAATTTCAGCATAAGCCAGAACACTCAGATGGTGCTAAAATGCAAATGATTTTACACTTGTGAACAGCATCCATCTACTCAATGAAACTAAACATACAAAGAAGTCTGTCTTGTTATCATGACAGTAAAATTCTATACCTACCTCACTGTTTTACCTTTATAATCTATAGACAGAAGTCTGTTTAAATATTACTTTTGATTATATAAGCACATATATAACACTAGAATTTCTGGTATACAGTAAAAGTAAGAATGGAAAGATAATTGGGCTGACTGCTCTTCTACAAGGACCCTACTATATCTCCAATGAAAATTCTGATGTTAAGGACTTCAGGTGCTCTGTGCTGTCCAACTCCAGAGGGCCCCATTCACACTGTAGTCTATGTAAATGGTGCCTACCACTACAAGGTGAGTGGTTTTCTTCTGAGCTGGACAACATGATAGATCTATTTTGATCAAATTGAGCCTGAAACTATAGAGGATGTCTAACTCCTGTCAAACTGCATGTGTTAAAGATATTAAGGAGACACAGAATGAATACTTAAATAGTTTACAAGCTAAGTGAGTTTTCTATTCATAACTTTATTTTAATTCTTGAACAGAGTTGTCACTTAATCTAGATCACACAGTATATAGTATATATAAAACTCTTACACAAGAAAGAAGTAGTCAAAATCTCTCTGAAGGCTATAAGAACTTGTAGCACCATAGACATGCCGCATACACGTAAAAAGTTCATGGCAAGTGACCCATCAATCTTGTTAAAGAATTCACTGACAGTGGTAGTCTACCCTCACAAAGTTCAGATCCACTGTGATCAGCTACAATGACCACAGTGCCTAATGAGGCAAATACTTTTTCCCCATTTTCTTTACTTCCTGAGTCTAGGCTATGGTCTTAAATGCAGGTCCCATCCTTCTCGATCCAACAGGCAGAGTAAATAATTTGAGGATTTACTCCAGGGCTTCATTGTCTCTACTCTATCTCCACCTGCATGTAAGACTCATGTAACAAATACTTAAATTAATAGCACTCAGTAGAGCTTACTGACACAAAATATCAGATATACTTGGGTCAAATCAAGACACTTAAAATATAAAAGCACATATAGTAAAAGCCATACATAAAATCTGTCAACAGAGTAGTAAACTCTCCTCATCTTATTTTCTTTAACTCTCCTCATCTTAAAAACAAAATTATAAAGTTGAGACATGTCAATGTTTTCATATATTAATATTTTAATAATTATTTTTGCAATTACTCTTATTCAAGTAAAACTTTTTAGTTTCTATTATTACATCAATCCTTAAGAAGGATTTACAATAATATAAATTTTAACAGTGAGGTGTCTTAAAGAAGCACAAGCAACACATAACTATAGTGTTAAAATCTTTCAACAACAAAACAAAGCGTGAATTATCAAAAGGTAGCCCTTACCTCTGTGTGTTCCTTGAATGTCAGTAAGCTTTAATCTATAAAAGGATCTATATTAAAGCTACAATATAATAACTATATACATTCACAGCCATGCACATAATCTAAATATTTCTTTAAAACTATTCAATACTATGTTAATCACAAAGCCCATAGGGAAAAAAAGTAATATGACATACAGAAACTCTTGTTTGGCTGTGCTTGTAGGAGATGTAGGAAAATCCTCCAGTCTACAGATGAAGATTCGAGAGAAAGCAGGAAAACAAAAAGGAAGCAAATAAACATTCATATGTAAATTAGTTACAGTATGACCCATCATCTGGAATGCTTTTCTTATTTTCCACTTTTAAAATTTTCCCTCCAAGAAAATTTTCAACTATTTGCGTTTTAGTTTCATTTCTTTTTAATTGAAATCAGAAATGAAAAATCAAAGAATAAATCCAGAAAGTCTTAAAACTACTATAGCCCAGTAGTGAATAATTCGTAACTTTTATTAAAAAAAAAAAAAGATCTTCGCTTTTTTCCAAAGGCAAGAAACATAACTATATAATACTTCCTAAAAAGTCCATTTTATAAATACTATGTTTTGCAAGTCTAGAGACTATGTGAAGTCCTTAAGAGATAACAGATAATAGAGCTAAGCAATTCAAGAGGATAGAGTAAATAAAATATCTGAGACAACTAAAGAAATTTGTTTTACTTGCTGCATAGGTTAAAGTAACCATGTATTTTAAATTTAGAGCCACCAATGGAATCATGGAACCAAAGGTCTGGAGTAATGTTTAGCAGAAGCACAGATTCAGACAACAATTCTTACTGACTGTAGGATTTTAAGTATTTTAGGCACTTGCTTTTATCTTTCTGAAGCTCAAGTTACTTTTCTGTAAAGTGGGATAAAACCATTCCAGTTCACAGAATTCAGATTAGGATTACATAAAGTAATCTAAGTGAGGCTCCTGGCTCACAGTAGGTAGTTGGTAAGATTGCAATTAATATATCATAATATTCCTTCTCCCACATGAATGATAAAAAAAAGATCTTGTCTGTCACAACTACTGTAATGTCCTGGTCTTTCCAGACTGCTTAGGAAATGCGATCTGTACCATGTAGGCAGCTATAAAGAAATATATTATTTGGTTCTAGGCTTACAGATCCAAACTACCCCAACAGCCTTAACCATCTATTGAAGGAAATGTTCTCCAAGACAGTTATCACATCACTCATATTTAAAATATGAATAGAACTGTTACTAATCAATATATGATTAATACCTAATTTTTATACAGCTGAACAAAATCCTCTAGTCAGTATTTAGCATGACAGATTCAATGTAAGATGATAGAACATTAACTAATTATATTAAGAAAGAGCAAATTCTCAAAACCTGACCTAAATTATCAAAGCATATTTTGTAGTTACAACATAAAGTTGCTTCAATGAAAGGAAATTAGTATATACTCCCAAGCATTTGAACAAAGTCAGTGGTTAAATATATTGATAATAGGTTAATGATCTGAATATATTGTGTATATAGGTAATCATCATCAGAACAATTCAAAACAGATCTAAGAGTAGTACTTAGAAAGAAAAGGTTAAGAGCAAAGAATCAAAAGAAAAGTAATATGGTATGTATGGTATACTCACTATAAAAAGTTTACCTATATTATTAGAAGAGTCTCATAGGCTTTATTATTAAATTCTTTAAATGAAAAATGGCAAGACAGAGTTTTAAAACCCAGCGTGAATTTGAGTAATGATTACTTAACATAAAATCAAGAAACAGTATGTATTTTTTGACTAAAATTTTAACTAGTTGAATTATGTAAGCTTTTGCATGTTGAATGTTTAAATGAAATTCTGAAGTTTGCATTGTAAACATTTTTTCTTGTTATACGATCTGACAATGTACCTGGAGTCAGTTTTTTGGAAGGGTAAACCAAAAGTAGTAAACCAAATGTAAAAAGGGAGAAAATTATTTTTTTCTGAAAACATTTCATTTGGTAATATTCTTAATGACCGGATGATAGTATTTGGTAACATAATGTATACACATCTCAAAACTCAGCATACATGGGATTCATCCAATAATTTTAAGTTTCCTATAAAACTAAAATAAACAGTTTAAGAAAATAATAAAAATTTATACACTTACTGTATATTTGGTGTAATTCCTTCAAGCAGCACAATATTAACACCACCAATATGAGCAGTGGCACATGTTTCAGTCATCTTTTGATGTAAAACATCTTAAATGTAAGAAAAAAGAATTATATGAAATCTGGAAATAAAATAATTGTACTTTGTTAAAGTTGCATTTTATCCATAATGCATTCAATGACAAAGTATAATTTAAAAAAATTTTTGTAGTAAAATTTAAATTATTTCAAAACTATTTTTTTTAATTTCTATTTCTATATATTCATACACACACACACACACACACACACACACACACACGTCAAAATTGGACTAATGCCAAACCATACAAGTGGACAAGTCCGGGGCAGCCTGTGTGGCTTAGCGGTTTAGTGCTGCCTTTGTCCCAGGGCATGATCCTGGGGACCCGGGATCAAGTCCCACGTAGGGTTCCCTGCATGGGCCTGCTTCTCCCTCTGCCTGTGTCTCTGCCTCTCTCTCTCTCTCTCTCTCTCTCTCTCTCTGTCTCTCATAAATAAACAAACAAACAAATAAATAAATAATCTTTGAAAAAATAAATAAAAATAAATGGAAAAGTTCATTTTTTGAAGAAAAACTGCCAAGTAGGAATTTAGGAGACACGGCATTGGCTTTTTTCAGAAAAGTAGAACTGCAGTGTTAGAATGCCGTCATACCTTTCATTTTTTCCTTAAGTGTAAAGCTGCCATGGATCCTCTTCAGTTCTGATTCCATTGTTAGCCCACCAATGTCTGCCTCCAGGTGTGTGCGGTTCACCATGCCAATCCCAAACACTATTAGAGTAACATGCTGAGGTTCAGAAGTTACTAAGCTACGCTTCCTCTGTGTCTTAGTCAAACTGTTACTGTCTTGTTCATTCTCAAACACAACTTTACATGTTGGCTCTGTAGGGCTCCGAACTCCTTTATGAGGAAACAAAGCATGTGGATTTAGATACAAAAACTGTGAAACAGAAGGACAATTCCAAACAGCATCTTACCTTTCTTCCCATTTCAAACCAGCCCTCTTCCTCACCAAAATGATTTTTAAAATTCTTCAACATTTTCCCATGATCGTATTGACAGTAAATAAGAGAGTCAGGTATTTAAAAGCAGGTATGTCTGAATCTTTAAGACCGTGCTGTGTGTGGAAGGACGGACAGTGGGGTGGCAGATTATCTAACTGCCATTACTTATTTTCGCTCCATGGATGACTGGCAATTTTCTCAGCATTTTGATTATCTAACTCATAACACTAAGAAAATGTGATCAGCAACCTCTTTTAGTATTACTGCTGTTCTAAAAAGAAAATTTTCAAATACAAAAATATCCACTACCTGCTGGTCCAAATGTTTCTGAAGATTTTTCCAATATTCCTGTTGGATCAGAGATAAGTGAATAGAAGTTAAGTAATTTATACATATTTTGCCAGCACTCAGCGGATGGCTCACTTTGCTCTGACACTGTGATTGAATCAGAGTCATCCATGTGGATAGTCATATGGTCCACCACATCTTTTGAGCCTTTCCTGGACACTTTTGAAGTTCTTCTTTCAGATCTTCCTAACGAATTTTTGTTTCGAGAGTCCTTTTTGTTATTTTCATTGTTGGTCCGTTTGTTCTTTGCATTGTTTACTCTATTGCCACCATTCAGGCTTCCTCTAGAACTGCGGCTGAAGTCGGAGGAGCGAAAATCCCGGTGTTTTCTGGTTTTGAAGGTAGGTGTTGGGGAAGCCGATCCAGCTGTATATCTGCTAAGTTTAATGTCAGTTTGAGTCGCTTTGATGTCGTCTATCATCGTACTAAATTGATGAATAAGGCGAACCAAAGCCATATCTACATGCTGGCTTATTGACTGACAAGAAATAGTGAAGTTACAGTGAAAGGTATTATAATATCGTTTGTTGAGATCATGGAAAGAAAGAGCGCTGGTAGAGTTCTGAGGAGTGCACACCGACTTTTCCATTACAACAGCACTGATGCTAAAGGTTTCCAACATCAGCGCTGGTTTGAACTCCAGTGGAGGAAGATTCACATGACCTTGCCTAAAAATGCAGAAAAAAGAAGAAAGTGACAAGATTTTATTTCCTTTTTTCCAGAGCTGCCCAACCTTTATTAGTTTGTTAGCAAAAAACCTCCAAGGTGAAACATGTTATAAGCCATTTAAATAATTTTAAGCAAGAAATCAAGCAGAAAAAGCAAGTATGCTTTTTCACAAGGCCAACCTTCTATATGCTGGAAAATAGGCTTTAAATCTTCCCTCTTGATCTTATTCCATAACTAACTAGTTAAAATCAGGTTCATGTTAGTTATTTCAGTGAAAGAATAAAACATTTTTTCTTGCCAGTATGATGGTACACCCAAATGGTAAATGGAATTTAAAGTCAATTATAGGTCAATTAGGGTACCTATCTAAACTATCCTCTCCCCCTCTGTTAAATATATTGTTTACATATTTAATTTCATTACATTAACATTTATATAAATTAATTTGCTATTTGAATGAAACCCTGCCAGCTTACTTCGCCAAAATGAAAGTAGTGAGGAAGGCGACTAGAAACAAAAAATGAAAAATGCACACAAAAAAGCTATGAAAATTATTTGGGCAAATCCTCCAGCTTATCTGAAACTTTTCATATAGGAATGATAGAGTCAATTTTAATATTTAAAAGTCAAAACTGTCTCAGGTTTCTGTAAACCAGCTACCAATAACAATGAACCTCAGATACCAAAGCTGTAATAAAAAGTATTTTCCCCTCTTCTCCTATGTACAATATGAATGTGTAGTCATATGGGTAAAATTTTTCTAGTAGAAAAAAGAAACAGAAGCTGCTCTGATATTCTCAATTTAACTTAAAGAATTTATTATTCTAAGAAAAACCCCACTTTGGGGTATAATCATGAAAATGCACAAGCTCATAGTAAGACTATAATCAATGCTAAGTGTGTCATCAGAGAAGGAAAGATTGGATTTTGAGAAATAGAATGGAAGGACAGAGAAGACTCAAAAGAGATTAAAATAATCCACAACTGCAGAATAAGAATTGAAAATATATAATGGAGGCAAGAAAGCCTTAAAGAGAAGATATTCAAGTAAAAGGAAATAATCACTTAAGACCAAAGTAGCTAGACAGGTAAGGAGTTGGTATGGGCACTATAGAGCCTAAGTTAAAATTAAATTAAAAAATATTAAGTCTCTACTATGTTCAACTATCTTATCTGGAGATAGCAAAGATATGAAGAAACTGATATTAAAAGAACTTCTACATGTCAGAACCTATGCTAAATCTAATAACTGTTCTAGATTTACAGGATAGGATATGTATGTTGGTACAAGAAACTATAACCCAAAAATAAAGTACAGTAATTAGCAGAATGAATAACGTGCTATAAAAAAGAAAAAAATCCAACTGAAATTAATGACCAGGAAAAGTGTACTGTGGCAAAGATCTCCAAAAAAATAGAGTTTAAGGTGGAATTATAGGAGATCTGAGAAATAAAAGCTAACCATGGGCCAGTAAAAAGAAGGTGGAGTATTTAGAGCTGATGTGATAGTATAAAAATGTAAAGGAATATTAAGTGCAACTACGCCAAAGACAATTAAGTTCAAAGTCACTTAAAGAACCTCTGTGAACATAAAAAAGTAAGGTCAGATGAAAGTCTAGTCTGTGGCAGTATTATATAGTATTTAGTAAGCCAGTAAGTAGGCTATAAACTACAATTATTCAAATACATATACAATCTAATTATATCTATGGATGAAACATACACTGTGTGTGTGTATATGGAAGTCAGCTATTGCAAACAGAAATACAAGTTTAACACAGAACTTTTAAATGTAATAAGGGAGTGTAGGTTTGTATTAGTGCTCTGGTGTCTGAATTTGATGATTCCAATGTGAATGGATTTGAGTTGCCATGGTTTGGTTCTATAACACCAGTCCCCTAACAACACCATTTAAATTTTAAACTAAAATTTACTGTGAAAAATTGCATAGAGTATAAACTTGCTGCTAGCTCTTCATTCCACAAATCACTACGTAAATAACAGATGTACACCATGATCATTAACCAATCACATTATCTAAGTTAGTGATTGGTCAATGTACATTTGTTATTCATTTCATGCACAGACAGTAAAGCATGTAGCTGTGTTGCCTCTTTGTGACAAACCGAAATGACATTTTACGAAAATGGATAATCAAAAGAGGGAACTGGACAGCAAAGATAAAAATGCAGTAATGAAACAAAAAAATGATAACATTGGTGTTGTAAATTAAAAGTAAATGGAGTTATAGAAGAAATGACTAATTGGAGATTGTGGATACTTCTATTGCTCTAGAAACTACAGATATGCAGCCAGAGGAACTCAGTGAAGGCAAACTTACTGGCATAAAGAGGAAAGTGGTAACAAAAAGGATGGCGATATCCCAGAGGAAGTGATGTTGGCAAAAAACTTCATAGTAAAAGGAACTCATGATGGTATTTCATGACATTACAAGTACAAGGAAAAAATGTTGGAAACTCATCAATACTTAACAAAAGAGTACAGCATTATGCCAAGGTACAGAAAAGATGCTCTTTCTAAATTGCAAGTTATATGATGATAAGATGGCAAGAGCTATTCAAACAATCCTTTGAGATTTTTATAAAGAAGACACTTTAATTCTCAATGTTTCTAATGTTTTAAATTATAATTTACTAAATATTAGTTTATTATATTTTGCATTTTCATACACACTTATAATAAGCAGTAAGAGAGCTTTTAATGATTTAACAAACATTTTTTCCAGGTCACAAAACCAAGATAATTTCCCCACTAATGTTGAATAGAAAAGACAATGCAATTTCCATGTTCCTGAATCATTAGAAAAACCTCAGATATCTACACCTGAAACAAAATTTGAGAAAGCTATATTTTTCTATTAATAATTGACATCCAAACATTTAAACTGATTTTGTCAAATTATTTAAATTTTTAAATAGAATTATTTCAGATGGAAAACATTTCACATATTCAACTGTGTGATACACGTATGCAATACTTGTGCATTTTACTTTTAATCTACCCCCTTATAAAAACACAAACTGGATGAAACCAAGAATGTTGCAAAACCTCCTAATTGCCACCTATATCCATATTCTACTATTCCTACATACAAAGCAAGACCTATGCAAAGTAAAATTTCATGTTCATTAGTCAAATATTATTAGTGGGCATAATATTTCCCATTCAAGCAATAAAGAGACTAAAGAACTATCCCTGATAATAATGATAGTAAAAGATAGTTCTTAACTTTTACCATGCTACATTTAGCATTCCTGTGTATTTGGTTCTCATGGCTATACTCTCAATATGACTTCTACCCTATTTCTAATAGAAAATACAAGTCAATTCAGAATGGAGGTTAGGAATAATTATAAGTAAAATATATAAAACTACAATGCATAAGATCATAAAAATTTAGCTACTACAAGAGTAAACAAATTCTGAGTATATATACAACAAATGTACTTTGGCTGATTCATGTACACATACTAACATGACACAAAACTATGCCTCAACACAGGTGTCATCGTCTATAAAATCAACAAGTTTTAAAATGAGGTTATTAAATAAATAAATAAATAAATAAATAAATAAATAAATAAATAAATAAGAAAAGAAAATGAGGTGACTTTTGATAAATGGAAGTTACCTTCTCATTAAAATATTAAAATTACTTTCTCATTAGCATAAGAGGAAAACAAAGTTAAAAAACAGATATTATAACCTGTGTATAACATTTTACACAAAAAGAACAAAAGAACACACCTTCTTGCTCTTTTGCCTTTTCTCTCTTTGGCTGTGTCTGAATCTACAATATCTGCTCTAAGGCAGTCCAAAGTCCCTGAAAATGAAAGGTGTTCTCCAAAGTACATTCGGTAGCAGAGTGGCATTGCATCCTGTGACTGAATTCCTGTATGACTGAGAAGAGGCTTAAAAACAACCTAAAAGACATAACACATTAATTAATTAGCTTCACTAACAATTCATCATTTCCTGTGGCTTTTTTCTTATCCTACTTCAATACATGTATTAATACTGTAGTGTGAAGCCAAAAAAAAAGGACCTGTAATAATAAATATAGCTCTAATTTTAGTTAAAACCTAACAGTATTTTTGAGCATCTATTATGTGCTACTTATCTTTAATCACAAGGACAAAGATTTCTCCATCGTGCCTGAGTGTCTGAAATTACAAGGAAAATAAAATTGTGAACTAATTTCAATCATTCTACTTCATGCTTTTAAAAAAGGCATGACTATATACTGCATTTCCATAAAAATCTGGTATACTAGAATACTTTATCAACTTCCTATGTTAATATTAAAACATTTCATATGTAGTATTATGAACGTCTGACTTTTTTTTTAATGGTATCACTTGGTTGTAACAATCATTTAATATTTATTTTCTGAGAAAAAACCTTTCTTTATATATTAAGTACCATACATGCTTATGGAAATAAAACACTCTGGTTAAATCTCTTATTAACTGATTTTGTAGTCGCGAAGAGCTAATGCAAACAGAAGCAACTATATGTGTTTAGTAGTTGATCATTATAATCACTCTGCTTATTCTTTGCTGTCTGGTTCCTTTTTCTCCTTCCACATCCAAAATAAGGTGCTATCCAGTACTTTCCATGGCCCTCGGATAACCCTTTCACTATACATTCTCCCTTAGTGATCTTTTCCTGGAAGTTAAATAATACCATTAAAATGGACAAGTGCCATTTATGTATTAAGACCTAAGTCTACATATTCAATTATCTCTCAGTCATCTCATCTGTTTGTGCTTGGGAAGACAGGTTACCCTTGTGAAGTCCTAAAGGCCTAGGATAGAGAGAATTCAAACAATTGTACACTAGACTAGAATCTTAGGAAGAAATTTTCTCTCCCTTATATACTTACTTGGGATATTCTTTCTTAGGTTTTACTCTTTCATTCTCATGGAAAAACTCTTCCCTCTTCAAGGTTCAAACCACCCTTTATCTTTCCTAATGTTTGTTATTTATCACACCTCCCTCTTGTTAATCCCCATACAAATCAGAAACTCACTCCTGATTTACTTCCTTCTTTTTCTTTTCAATCCTAATTTATCATCTTGAATGATTCCTTTTACCATGCAGATTACTCAATAAACACTTCAGTTCCAAAGTTAAGTGACTTCTCTCCCCCTTTCCCCCATAATCATGGTTTAAACTCCATTTCAGCAACTTCCTAGGTTGTTTATATCTATCACCCTCATTTTTATTGCTACATCTGCTTTGGATCAATCCTCTTCTGCTCCTATAGCTGAGCTGCTAGCAACAATGAGAGGAAATGATATAATTGCATTCACTGGTACCCCAACACTAACCTTAACTAGGTCCTTAACTAGGTCCTCCACACTATTTGGCAATCCTTTTAGGGCATCTGTGATAAGCTCTCTTTCATATTCACTCTAACCTCTACACATATTTAAATCACCTTACAGAATTTTATACTGTATTATTTAATATCCATGTTTCTAGATTTTATAGTCTTATATGTAAAACAATATAATAATCTCTAGAAACATGTATTGAATGCTAACAAATGCAATTAATGTATTCTATAGCCCAAAACAACAAAAACTTATTTATTTTCCTACTCTCCTTTAATTAAAAAAAAAAAATGAAGTCCCTAAAAACTACTCCAATGTTTTGGAGAAGTCTCAAGAAAATTTAAAAGTGCTTGATATATTTCTTAACATAAATTACCTTCTACTGTAAGAGAAAATTGAAGCTACCAATTTGCAAACTTACTGTATAATTGTGAACTGTCCTTAATGCCCTCTTAGTTTCTCAGAAAAAAAAAGTAATTTTTTATGTCTAAAACGTCTCTTTGAATGACTCTAAATTCTAACATTCCTCATTCCTCCCTGAATCTTGCTCTATTAGTTTACCCTTTTTTCTTTTTCTGACAGAGATCTTCCTAATTCCTCCTAAGTATGTAACTGTCCTTGAGTCTCTCATCCTGAAAAAATAACATCTCAATACCAACGGTCCCACTCGCCCACTTGCCTTATGATCATTCAAACTAAAATATTCATTTCAAAGGATTTTGTTCTCCATTACTATATTTAATCAATTGAATAAGGCCTCCACGTTATTTTGCCTTTACCTTATCAAAGCCACAACCATCTAAGCTAAAAGCCTCATTTATCACTTATGTGAACTATTTCAATAACTCATCTTTTCACCTACAGTTTCTCTACATCAATACATTTAACACATATAATAACCTATATAATACTTCCACATGTACAGTTCTAGTCACTTTATTCCTCTGCTTTAAAATCTTCAGGGCCTCCCAAATGCTCACTCAGAAAATCTTAACATAGCACTTAACACAGCCTTCTAAAGGACAGGATTAAATTTAGCTTTCTAGTTATGTTATTTACTGGATCTGTATCTCCACATATCAAAAATGTTACTGTATGGGACAACTAACTATATGCTATTCTTCGGTTTATTGCATATCTATAGATGCTAAATTTGCATTGGTAATTAACCCATGTGCTTTTAAAAGGCTCTTCCTTTTTTGCATGAAGACTCAGACAATCACAGAAAAAAAGATTTTTCACCAGAATTCCCAGGTGCATATAACTGGACAGTTCCAGCTGCTAAGAACTACCTAATGAGGGGTTACTATAATTACAGAAAAACAGACTGGCTCACCTGTGCATCAGCAAGTTGCACAGCAGGAAACCCTTGGTTGGCTTCTTCTACACCTGCCACATCATCCTGACTAGTACTATGCTGAGAATGTGTTCCATCCAAAGTATTCTGGTCACTAGATAAGACAGTGTTGAAATCCGAGGCTGAGGGTATTGTTGGAAGATTGGGTGCAACACCTAACAGAGTAAATGTTCAAGAATAGAATCTGATTATGAGGAAATAAAACATAAAAGAATAGCAAAATAAACTCATGAAGCCCGTATTACAGCAATATTACCAGACTATTAAAAAAAAACAGCATTTTTTGGTCATTTTATAGACATGATCCAATAATAAAAATGAAATTAAACTAAAATTTCAGAAAGTATCAGTCCTCCTCACACAAGAAGTCTGTTTTAGAGCCAGTCAGTTCAAAATACAGAATTTTAAGGCCAGATCTTTGAAAAACATTTGATATCCCCTTAGCTTTGCACTGAGGACCAGTTACAGACAGCAGCAGGGCAAAAGCCACAGATGTCAGAGTCCCACATATAAATTTCTTCCCAATTATGCTTTCCTAAAGCAGAACAAAAATAAAATAGTGCTATTTATTTCCATGTATTCCCTTTATCCTTTAACTCCCCAGGCAAAGGACCCAAGATAAAGACAAAATGTACTTTTCTGGTTTTCTTAAAATTTAAACCATGCAGTAGTTAGACTAGTGCTAGAACACTGCTGAGAACTGATCGAAATATGGTCCGTCTAACTTCTGCAACTAAGAGCCAATGCTAAGAACTATAATGCAGTCATAATTAGGATCGGATTCCAGATTCAAGAGTGATCCACACACCAGCAAAACAAAGGACTAAGTAGTCACTTATCAACCAATCATAATTTCATATTTTCTATCTGAATAGAATTTGCTAGACATGCAAACAGCTGTTACGTGGATTAATTTCAGCTGCCTTCAGTAACCAGGATCAAAGGCTACTTCACATATTCTTTAAAAAAAAAATTTTTTACAAGCATCTAGTAAATGTGGAAAAATATCCCAAAAAAGAAAAACTAGAAAATGAAGGGTGGCACCACTTATGTTTCTGGAGACAGCCACCAACATTTCTTGAATTCCCTGTCAGTCTTGTTTATATGTATTCTTTTAAAATTAATAAATTGTCCTCATTTCTCAAGGGCAAGAATATTATTTTATTCCTCTTAGAACCCTAACTATAAAAAAAGCTAGTTATTGTTTCTCAGAGGAATCTGAAAAAATTAAAAAGATATTTTCTGTGCTGTAGGTACATTATATCATATTCTTTGCATTTTTTTTTTCACTCACCTCCTTTGGTATTTTTTTTCCCCCTTTGGTATTTTGAAACTTAAAGTAGCTACATGAGCTGGATGTTTTAAACTCTTTAAATTATATACAATCTCATATTTGACATATTTGTCTTTCCATAGAATACCAAGTGACTGCTTACAATTAATTCTCTCAATTCAGTATTAACAAAGGCATTTCATATGGGCAAATTTTAACTAAACAGATTAAACATTTGATATATTTTCATTCTGTGAAAAATAGGGTTTTATTAAAATTTACATATGCCCCTTAGACAGGTAAGCAAAGAAACATGGTAACTCAATACCTGATGGAAGACTATTGTGTGCGGATTTTGTAACAGGAGATTCTTGTACCACACTTCCACGATTACCCACAGCATTTGACATCCAGTTATAAAAACTCACAGATGATGGCTCAGATAGCAAGGGATGTTCAGATAACATATCAGTGGCCATTGTATTTCCTGAAAATAAAGGCTTATTGAGTACAGTATTACTTACATAATAAGAAGCAGAAAATGTGATTTATATAAATTATTTTTTTAAGTGAGATTAAATTGTCTTTTGCAGATATTTCCAAACTCACTGCATGATGTTGGCATTTGGATGTTAAGGCATTAATAAGTAACTTATTTTTAATATAACAAGAAGAAATTTACTGTTGACTGGTTTAGACATCATCCTATATCACAACTAGATTGATAATAATGTCAAATGCTGCAATTTAGAAATCCAAACTAAGGGCATGAAGACACCAAGTTACGAACAGAACAATTTCCCCAAATACTTTTTCAAAAATAAGGTATAATATACATAGATTAGTTACGCAACCAAAGTATAAATCAAAATGAACTTAAGTCCTGTGGGTATTTTTTTTTTAATTGTCACATAGAAATAAACTTGTAATTGTCAAAACTAAGGATATACCCGTCCTTGTTAGAGAGCTGCTTTTTACAGCTGCACTACTTCGTTGAGGAGTCCCTTCTAGGAGGTTGTGCAAGCTTGGGAAGCTTCCAGTCAGGTAGCTGAGTAGGCTCTCCTTCCTTGGACTCTCCTTAACTGGCATCCCGGGACGTCCAACATGCACTGGAGAATCTGTGGCGGTGTCTCCACTGGTATAGCTCAAAGAATGATATGGGTGAATGCCCTACAAAAGGACAACACAGGGCTCTTTCTTATGCATATAAAAATGACTGCTAATGACTACTACTACTATTACTGTTGCTATTACTGATAGTTACTATTCAGTTTATACCAGAACAGATTGTGCCTACTAGGATTGTGGTGAATGTACATAAAAATGTTTTAAAACTTTACAGGACAATTCAAATGTACATAAATGTACATAAAAATGTTTTAAAACTTTACAGGACAATTCAAAGGACAGCCTTTATTATCATCCACTTATTTTAAACAATAAATTATTAACTCCCTTTGAAAACTGAAGAATGTGTCTGGTGGTAAGATTTCTAGCCCCAAATTCTCAATACTGTATGATTCTTGTTGGTACCCTGATAACAAAAATCTGTAACAGATTTTTGTAGAGTTCTAATAAGTAAAAAACAATTTCCAGCAATTCTCTGAGGAAAATTTAAAAATTACAGAATTGTCCATCTCTATCTGTTCTATCACATCTAAGGTTAGAATTTCAGATCAGTTTAAAACAGTACAAGAAAAGGCTATACAGACAGAAAGATCCTGAAAAGAAGAGATCTAAAACAAATTGTTACAATTCAAGTCTTCAGAGGACTTTTATAATCCATAAACAAAGGTATGTTTGTGGGGTTAGGAAAAACTATCAAACAGGAAGAAATCAGACTGATGAAGAGTTCAGAATTTAAAAGTATCCTGGCTTCTAACTATTCTATATAGAGTAAGCCTAATAGTTCAAACTTTTAAAAAATGTATATTAAACTATTACTGAATGTTTTAATTAAAAGAACAATACTTACACAGAATAAAAACTTTGAAAGCACAAAGAAAATTCAATAAATTGTATTCCCTGAGCTCTGGTCTAAAAGATCCCTTCCCCTAGAAGTATTCTTAAGTGTTTCTTATATCTATCCTCCTTTAAATAATTTATAACAGGGATCCGTGGGTGGCGCAGCGGTTTAGCGCTTGCCTTTGGCCCAGGGTGCGATCCTGGAGACCCGGGATCGAATCCCACGTCGGGCTCCCGGTGCATGGAGCCTGCTTCTCCCTCTGCCTGTGTCTCTGCCTCTCTCTCTCTCTCTCTCTCTCTCTCTCTCTCTCTCTCTCTGTGTGTGTGACTGTCATAAATAAATAAAAATTAAAAAAAAAAGGTGGGAATTTAAAAATAAATAAATAAATAAATAAATAAATAAATAAATAAATAAATAATTTATAACAATAAAAGCATATATACATATTTATCCTTTTTTTTTCTTTAACACACAGATACATATCATCCTATATTCTGTTTTTACTTTAATCCAGGCACTTTGGTGACCATTCCATATTCACTTAGAGATCTACTTCATCTTTTTGAAGTCTTCATGGTACACATCTGTATCACGGTACACTAGTTTATTAGTCCTCAACTGGTTAATCATTTATGTTGCTTCCGTTATCTTCCTATTATAAACAGTGTTGTAAAGAACATTATTACACATATGTCATAGAGCATTTATGAGCATTCATTTCTTTATTTTTAATTTTTTTTAAAGATTTTATTTATTTATTCATGAGAGACACAGAGAGAGAGAGGCAGAGACAGAGGCAGAGGGAGAAGCAGGCTCCATGCAGGGAGCCCAAGGTGGGACTGGATCCCGGGTTTCCAGGATCAGGCATTGGACCAAAGGTGGCGCTAAACACTGAGCCACCCAGGCTGCCCCATTCATTTCTTTAGAATGAATTCCTGGACAGGTATATACTGGGTGAAAGAACTTTACCTTTCTAATTTTGATACAAATTGCCAAAATGTTCTTCAAAGAGTTTGTGCCAATTTAAACACACACCAGTACTATGCGAGAGTGTTTTCCCTTTTTTTTACCAACATATACTGTTCTAATGTGTTAGTGTTTTGTTTTTTTTTTGCGTATGTGTGTTAGTTGTTTTCAATTTGATCAGTGGAAATGGAAATCTCATTTTAATTTACATTTCTTCAATTATAACATTTTCATATTTGTGTATTTATTTCTCTGTGAACTGCCCATTAACCAATTCTTCTCTATTGTGTTCTTTTTCTTAGTGATTAGAAAAAGATCTTTATATATGAGGAAATCAGCCCTTTGACACTTATCTTTCTATTTTGTTTATGTTAACTTTTTCTGTGTAGAAATTTTATATTTTAATATGGCAAAATTGTCAGTCACTTACCTTATGGATTTTGAATATTAATGTAAGTCTATATCCAGACTTTCAAAGAAAGTTAAAATACTGACTGTCATTTTCATTGCTCATAAAAGGAAACTAACAAAAAATAAATAACCCATGACAACAACAAATAACTTACATGCTTATTATGTGCCAGGTATTGTTCTAAGCATTATTCACGTATAAAAACAGTTATTTCTCAACATGGATATTCTAGAAAAAGTTGCTATCGTAATTTCCATCTTACAGATAAGGAAACTACACAAAGTACAATTAAAAGCTTGTTCAGTCACGAAGCAACTAAGTGGCAGAGGCAGAACTGAAACCAAGGCTGTCTGGCTCCCAAGGTGGTAGTCAACTACTTTGTTATACATGTGTCTTATCAAGCACTGGTTAAGTTTCTTAAACAGGGTAATCAAAATAATGAAATAGCTTAAATCAAACTGTATATTAAGTTGCTAGTCATGTCCATTTAAACATAAAAATATTTATTATTATTGAATTATTAAACTATTCATTCCTGAATATACAATACTATTTGAATGTGTACATTTAAATACCTAATATTTGAATTTGAGATAGCAGAAATTTAGGTCTTCTCTGGAAGTCTACTCTAACCAGAAACAGCAATAATGTACCTTGATTTTTAATGCAGAGTCACTATGGGTATGAGTCTTAGAAAGTTTCCTCATTATCTCAGCTCCAGTTACAGGTCCAGAGGTACCAGGTGGAGGACGGTTAGCTGTTCCTTCTAGTAGCATTGTGTGTTCACTGACTGTGGCTGAAACAATTCAAAAAAATGAGTGGGCTAAAGATGATCATTTTCTTGAAACATCAACACCAGTGTTTCTAGTGGTGTAACTATACTCAACTTTACATATTCCTTGAGTAAATAGATTAATTAAATTTCCTTGAAATTCACTGTGGAATCTGCCTTAATATTATTTTTTGTCTTTTATTCTCCCAATCCCAATTTTCTCAGTCTCAAGAAAGGAACAAATAGCTTCAGTCCCTCCACAACACAAGCCAGTCTGAAGGGTATAGAAATAAAATAAAAAAAAAAAAAACCTAAGTTCAAAGTACAATACTTTCAAAAATACTCAGGCATTTGCAGATAGTTAATTAGGAGGGACGTTTTGTTTGGTTTTTTTGTATGTGTTTTTAGAGCACACACACTGGTGAGTGAGGGCGGGAGGTGGGGGGCACAGGAAGAGGGAGAAGAGGGAGAGAGAATCTTAAGCAGGTTCCATGCCCAAAACAGAACCAACACAGGGCTTGATCTTTGACCCTGAGATCAGGACCTGAGCCGAAATCAAGAGTCAGGATGCTTAACCAACTGAACTACTCAGGAACCTCTCTTCATAGCAAATTCATTTTTCTATAAAGTTTAAAAAAAAAAAAGCTGGGTAATTGTAACATAATTCATGACATAATCAATATTATGAGAGCTCTAATTTTAAGGCTACTGTCTTTTTCTGTGGTACTTTTAATATTTTTTCCAAAATATCATAATTCAATATTATTGAATATTACATGCTGTGATAACAAAGGACTATCTTTGAAAAAGCATTAAAATGTGCACATATATCTCTGAAATGTGTACCCACTGTCTGTGTTCTGGCACAGCCATGATGCTGACAGAATTATAGGCCGAATGCATGACTCTAAACATTATATAAATGCAGAATCAACCTGGTACCATGTAAAATTCAAAGACTCATTTAAGAGACTGTGTTATAGGAAAGATGATGAACAAATATAAATATGAATTTTATTTTTTTAAATATGATTTTAAATGGAAGTTAATATGCTTCACTCAAAACATTCTAGCTTTGCAAAGATGTCTGTTATTATACAGGATAGATTAGGAGAAATCTATCGTATTTCATGAAGTTAAATGTAAAAATCTAAAGTCAGTATAAAGATTCCAACATTATTATCATTTATTTGGACTAATACAAATCATACTTGTATAATTAAGCCATAACATTTTCAAATTTGGGACACAAATGATGAAAATTATCACATTATACTATGTCACCAAGGTATAATATCTAACTAAAATATTTACAAGTCACCTGCATCAAATTCAAATTCCGCTCCGTCAGCACTGGTGTCACTTTGAAGACCACCTCCATTGTCTAGACCAAGTCCGTCTTCATGTTCATGGTCCACAGCTGACTGAGGTTTCAGTGGCTGAGCTGGTCTATGTAAGCTAACTCCTTTAAAGGCTGGTGTCACTACAATAAACTTCATCCACTGCCTTGCCAGTGCAACTAAACCTTTCTTTAAAGTTACCAAAGCAGGAAGTCCATCACTCTGTAATAACAATGATATAATAGTAAATTACTACTTAAGTATTTGCATATATTTATTCACTTAAATCTCATAACCTCCATTTAGAAATGAAGAAATTATAATTTATGTGTTATAATTTGTCTAAGGTCACAAAAGAGAATATTTCAAACTGGCAATAGAACTCAATCTCTAATTCTCAAGAAGATATTAGCCAATTGGATCCAACAGTACATTAAGAAAATTATTCACCATGACCAAGTAGGATTTATCCCTGGGACACAAGGCTGGTTCAACACTTGTAAAACAATCAATGTGATTCATCATATCAGCAAGAGTAAAACCAAGAACCATATGATCCTCTCATTAGATGCAGAGAAAGCATTTGACAAAATACAGCATCCATTACTGATCAAAACTCTTCAGAGTGTAGGGATAGAGGGAACATTCCTCGACATCTTAAAAGCCATCTATGAAAAGCCCACAGCAAATATCATTCTCAATGGGGAAGCACTGGGAGCCTTTCCCCTAAGATCAGGAACAAGACAGGGATGTCCACTCTCACCACTGCTATTCAACATAGTATTGGAAGTCCTAGCCTCAGCAATCAGACAACAAAAAGACATTAAAGGCATTCAAATTGGCAAAGAAGAAGTCAAACTCTCCCTCTTCGCCGATGACATGATACTCTACATAGAAAACCCAAAACCTCCACCCCAAGATTGCTAGAACTCATACAGCAATGGCAGCGTGGCAGGATACAAAATCAATGCCCAGAAATCAATGGCATTTCTATTCACTAACAATGAGACTGAAGAAAGAGAAATTAAGGAGTCAATCCCATTTACAATTGCACCCAAAAGCATAAGATACCTAGGAAGAAACCTAACCAAAGAGGTAAAGGATCTATACCCTAAAAACTACAGAACACTTCTGAAAGAAATTGAGGAAGACACAAAGAGATGGAAAAATATTCCATGCTCATGGATTGGCAGAATTAATATTGTGAAAATGTCAATGTTACCCACGGCAATTTACACGTTTAATGCAATCCCTATCAAAATACCGTGGACTTTCTTCAGAGAGTTAGAACAAATTATTTTAAGATTTGTGTGGAATCAGAAAAGACCCCGAATAGCCAGGGGAATTTTAAAAAAGAAAACCATATCACAATGGTTTCACAATGCCAGATTTCAGGTGGTACTACAAAGCTGTGTTCATCAAGACAGTGTGGTACTGGCACAAAAACAGACACATAGATCAATGGAACAGAATAGAGAACCCAGACGTAGACCCTGAACTTTATGGTCAACTAATATTCGATAAAGGAGGAAAGACTATCCACTGGAAGAAAGACAGTCTCTTCAATAAATAGTGCTGGGAAAATTGGACATCCACATGCAGAAGAATGAAACTAGACCACTCCCTTTTACCATACACAAAGATAAACTCAAAATGGATGAAAGATCTAAATGTGAGACAAGATTCCATCAAAATCCTAGAGGAGAACACAGGCAACACCCTTTTTGAACTCGGCCACAATAACTTCTTGCAAGATACATCCACGAAGGCAAAAGAAACAAAAGTAAAAATGAACTATTGGGACTTCATCAAGATAAGAAGCTTTTGCACAGCAAAGGACACAGTCAACAAAACTCAAAGACAACCTACAGAATGGGAGAAGATTTTTGCAAATGACCTATCAGATAAAGGGCTAGTTTCCAAGATCTATAAAGAACTTCTTAAACTCAACACCAAAGAAACAAACAATCCAATCCTGAAATGGGCAAAAGACATGAAGAGAAATCTCACAGAGGAAGACATAGACATGGCCAACATGCACATGAGAAAATGCTCCGCATCACTTGCCATCAGGGAAATACAAATCAAAACCACAATGAGATACCACCTCACACCAGTCAGAATGGGGAACATTAACAAGGCAGGAAACCACAAATTTTGGAGAGGATGCGGAGAAAAGGGAACCCTCTTACACTGTTGGTGGGAATGTGAACTGGTGCAGCCCTCTGGAAAACTGTGTGGAAGTTCCTCAAAGAGTTAAAAATAGACCTGCCCTACGACCCAGCAATCGCACTCTTGGGGATTTACCCCAAAGATACAGATGCAATGAAACACCGGGACACCTGCACCCCGATGTTTATAGCAGCAATGTCTACAATAGCCAAACTGTGGAAGGAGCCTCGGTGTCCATCGAAAGATGAATGGATAAAGAAGATGTGGTTTATGTATACAATGGAATATTACTCAACCATTAGAAACGACAAATACCCACCATATGCTTCAAAGTGGATGGAACTGGAGGGTATTATGCTGAGTGAAGTAAGTCAATCGGAGAAGGACAAACATTATATGTTCTCATTCATTTGGGGAATATAAATAATAGTGAAAGGGAATATAAGGGAAGGGAGAAGAAATGTGTGGGAAATATCAGAAAGAGAGACAGAACATAGACTCCTAACTCTGGGAAATGAACTAGGGGTGGTGGAAGGGGAGGAGGGTGGGGGGTGGGAGTGAATGGGTGACGGGCACTGAGGGGGGCACTTGAGGGGATGAGCACTGGGTGTTATTCTGTATGTTGGCAAATTGAACACCAATAAAAAATAAATTTATTAGGGATCCCTGGGTGGCGCAGCGGTTTGGCGCCTGCCTTTGGCCCAGGGCGCGATCCTGGAGACCCGAGATCGAATCCCACATCAGGCTCCCGGTGCATGGAGCCTGCTTCTCCCTCTGCCTGTGTCTCTGCCTCTCTCTCTCTCTGTATGACTATCGTAAATAAATAAAAAAAAATTAAAAAAATTTATTATTAAAGAAAAAGAACTCAATCTCTAAACACAACATTGCATCTTTCTGTCATCAACAGTGCAGGTGATGAGGCTAAACATGAGGTGCAAAAAGAGGATTCTCCTTAAGAAGCATTCAATCCACTTTACCTTTTTTTGTTCAGCTAAGGAAATCAACTGCATTTTGATCTACCAGGAATATTTATTAAATAAAGAGGAAATGAAATTACTCCCTTCAAAGATTAGGTAACCATCACTATTTTAACATTAGAAAAAATAAGTTACTATGGTTCAATGCTGGACACAGATGGATTTGTAACTGCCTTGAAAGTTAAATGTATTATTGGTAACAATTACATAATTTAGGATATATTTTATTTCACACGATGATGACTATAAATTTGGCTATTTTTTCCACGTGACGATGACTAAAATTTGGCTATTTTTCTAACTGGAGTCTTAGCCTAAGAGGCAAATATCTAACTCTTTTCCATGCCCTTTCCTATAATTCCTTGTGTTAGACAAATGGCTCTAATTGAAGAGAGCCATTTACTAAACAGCAGAAATCACCTCATTTACTTTCTGAGGAACATCAGATCTCTGAGCCTCTCCTTTCCTTCTTATACTTAAGTAAGGAGAGCCATCTTGCATTTCTTCCTCTTACCTGCAAAGCTTATCTCAGCAGAACTTCCATCCATGGGAAATGCCATTTTCTATTGACCAAAAACTTGGAGAGAAGAGAGATCCTCAAGGTCTAAACCCCTAATGATGAGGTGCTATCTTCTACAGTGCTTTTCCATAGGCTGAGATATACAGTATTTATTTTATATTATTAAACATTCTCCCTTCAACCATTAATTAGCCCTCATATTATTAAACATTTCTGTGAAATTTCATGCTAATTACTTTTTTGCTTGAAATTCTTTATGCCTTCAGCTCCTTAGACATTTTTTCCTGCTTCTCCAACCTCAAACCCTATGGGCCAATGAATGGCTCCTCAAAGAACGAAGGCTTCTTTTTTTTAAGATTTACTTATTTATTTGAGTGGGGCAGGCTGAGGGAGGGTTTGGGAGCATGAGCAGGGGGAGGGAGAGAGGGGGAAAGGGAGAAAGAATCCCAAGCAGACTCCAGATGGAGCCCAGTACAGAGCTTGATCTCATGATCCTGGGATCGTGACCTGAGCCAAAATCAAGAGATGGTCGCTTAACCAACTGAACCACCCAGACACCTCAGGAATAGAGGCTTCTTTAAAGCTAACTTACAGTTTCAGTAACTCACCATTGTAGCATCATCAATGATGGAGTAATTTGCCTGGTGCAGGTAGTGGTGCAGTATATTGCACAGTAAACATGAAGGGTTTTCTTGGAGAAAACGTGCAACTTTTGTAAGCCTGTTGTATTTACTTCTTAAGGGAAAATGTACACTTTTATTCTGAAACAAAGCAAAAACAACAGATATAGAGTAATATATCAAAGATACTGCAAATAGAACATATCAAGTAATCAAGAACTTGCAGGTCTGATGTTTTCCAACACCAATGAACAACATGTCCAATAACAAAACTGTAGGATACTCTGTATTGCTAATAGACATACCTCTAATGCTTCTGTCATTATGCATCCCATAACAGCACAAATTCTCAAGGTGCCCTCAGTTTCTAATTTGTTTAAGGATGATTTGAGTTGATCAATGGGAACAAGCCATGCACCAACAGCTGGAGTGGCGGTGCTTAAAAGATTCAGCTGCCTATGAAAATTTTTAAAAAAATTATAAAAGCAAGTGTCAAGATTTGTATTTCAAACAATCTCCCATACATACTGTACTTAGTGGCTATTTTATTGAGGCAAAATTACTTCTCATTTTGGCTACCAGATAAATTATGAACATATAAATAGAAAATGTGAGGAATAGATAATAGAAAAGAAAGAAAAGTATTAAAACATATTAGAAGTAAGAATAAGAAGTTCACGGCGGGGTGACATATAATAGTAAAACTAAAGCCCTAGGGAAAAAAAATGGTCAAACAAGATAAAACCAATGCTGCAGAAAGCATAAAGCAGGAAAGATGGTAAGAAACTGGTATCCCTAATGCTAGATATATAAGAAAAAATAATTTAAAAAATATCTGAAACAAAATTGTATTTATTTAAAATGAAGAAACATCAAGGAATGGTACTACATATTTGAAACTTTTTACCTAGAAAATGCATGTGTAGGAGATCTCACATTGGTGGGAGCTGCGAAACTAAACCAAATTTCCTTGATGGTCAACTTCATGCTACATGAATCTGGAGGTGGGGGCATCAGAGGTAGATCTTTTTTCAAATCATCAGATTCGACTCCTTCATCCTACACAAAATCAAAAACCAAAAACCTATTAATGTATAGCTCCTTAAAGCCACTAGTGCAGAGGTTAAATGTTAAATGTGTAAATGTTTTAAGTACAAAATCTTCCCATCAAATCAAGTTCCACAGATGACACTTTTATATAAAATAGGTAACAAGGACACCTAGGTGATGCCTGCCTTCGGCTGTGGGCGTGATCCCGGGTCTGGGGATCAAGTCCCCCATCAAGCTCCCTGGGAAGAGCCTGCTTCTCCCTCTGTCTATGCCTCTGCCTCTCTGTCTCTCATGCATAAATAAATAAAATATCTTTTTAAAAAAACAGGTAACATAAACCTTACTCAGCCTAATCTTGATTCTGAGAAATACCTATAAATCCTTGAAGTTCCAAGGAACATAGTCTGAAAAACCACTGCATTGTAGTAAGCCATAAACAGAGATCTTAGAACAAGGTTTCTCCTGATCACTTCATTCAATTACATTTGCTTAGGGATGTTTGTTATTTTTTCCAGATGAAAAAAGAAAGAGAGATTTCGTGACTTGCCAAAGGCCATACAACTATCAAGAGGAATAAGTGATAGAATCTAAGTCTTCTGCTTCCTGCTGCAATCTATTATCTTATCCTTCTTAATAAAATATTCCGAACTTCCAAAAAAAAGGTACTAGGGTAGTCCATGTTCAAATAAATAACATTCTACAATAAAAAATTCTTAGTTATTTTATATGCTAGCAATCTGAATCAGGATTAAGAAACAGGATTTTTTTTTTAAATGTGTTATCACCACTCTTTAGAATGCAGGGTGGTAAGCATAATATTAAAGAAACAAAAATGTCTAATGCCTGCTATGTCTTCTCACAGCTCTCTAATTCATTTTTAGCTATTACTGGTCAAGATGAAGAAAGGACTGGCATTTTCTTGTGGGATGATTAAGGAATGAAGAGTATCCACAAAATAGCTTTGAATCCTAAGTGCTACAAAACAATGTGAACTACAGACAATAGTAATTTTAAAGTTAGCAGATGCTAAATATAAGTCCATATTCCTTATCTTCAACTCTAAAACTCAGAACATTCTGAAAGATCTATATATTTTTGTGTAAATGCAGCATCAAAATTTGATCTGAACTTGATGAGAGGCTATTTATCCCACTTGGAATTTTTATGAATGTTGTGCTGCAAAAGCATTTAAATATTTCAAGATGAAGTGGTGTCTCAGATTCCACAGGAGTTTATATAACATACAAAAACACACACCATATTACCTTTCTGTTAAAGGAAAAAAACCCTGAATTCGCAAATACATCTGACCTGTAGGTTTCAGACAAGGCTGTGAGCTAGACACTAGGTATACAAAAGACAGAGAAGAGAGTCTTCAAGAACTCAAAGTTTTAAAAGGTTAGTGGGCTTACATATATTAAGCCACTAATTATAATAGATGTGAAGCAAAGGAATAATAAAGTGGATTTAGGTTGACTCATTTTTTGGTACCTACGGCATGTGTAAATGATGAAGGGCACCTCATACAATTCTGATGCTCAGTTGAAAGGTTGGTACTAAAAACATAACCGATGTCAACAAATTATGAAGTAGGACTAGGAAATAAATCTAGGAGTGGAAATACAATAACAACAAAAAAATTCAATAGCCAAGAAAAGAACATGAGGAGAATACTCACATTTGAGGACAAAGAACTAAATGAGAATATGGACCAGAAAAAGTCAGAGAACCCAAAGAAGGCAATGTTACAAAATTTAGGGACATTCAGCATAGAGAGTAGGATCAGAGGGATCAAGGAAGATACCGGAGTTTCTGTCAAGTATTTTAGTGGAACAGAAGGAAAAAGAAAAGAACAGCTTGGCTTCCTACTTCTTTTGTCCAGTGACAAAAAGTATTGTATTTTTTTAAATTTCCTTAATTAAAGTGCTAATCCCAATCACCACTGAAATACATCCAAAGACCTCACAAGAAAACTATGATTAACTCTTAAACTATGCATCAAATCAAAATAAATGTTTCAAAACTAAATTCCCAGAAACCTGGTGTTCAGAGGTGATTATGCCAATGCCATCCATGGTGGATACCCATGACATTTCTTAATTAAAAGTTTCTTTCTTCTTCAATTGGTCCAATTTTCAAATGATCCGAAGTGTATATACATATATGTGTGTTTAAAAAACATTTACCAAGTTCTTACTACATGCTAGACACAGAGTTAGATCTTTCATATGTATTATCTCCTTCAATCTTCACAACTCCAGAAGATCAATATCATTACAATACCATTACAGACAAAGAAATTGCAAAGAGGAAATAACTTGTACTCATCAGTTAGTGGTACAACTCTTCCATAATCTAGAATCTTGAATATTTTTATTATTGCTATTATTAATCATCATGACATTCTACTATAATAAAAATAATAAATGGGTTCCCTATAAGGTATTAAGACTCTAACTGAAATGGATTAGATATTGAAAGTATTTACAACTTACATAAAATACTACCAGTGACAAAACAAAGTATTTACATGAATTCTGCTAAAAGCAACGCCTACTTTTCTGAAATTTTATAATTCATTAATTCAACAAATATTAAGTGCCCAATATGAGCAAAGCATCAAGCAAGGTACTATATTAGATATAAATATATCTGTGGTATGGTACCTATGCTTCAGAAATTCTATTATATTAGAAGAATTATCACCAAAATACCTGGACTACTATTTAAGCAAAATCCCAAATATGGAAAGAACCAAATATATTCCAGAAATTAACTCTGAATTGTGCATGTAGTTTTCTGTTATCTTTTCAAAGCACTATTATTATTAAAAATTCACCAACTTGTTCATCTGAAACAGAATTTCCATTCAAGTCTGAAGAAGGGCTTATTCGATCACAAGGGAGATTATCATCAGAGACATCAGTATTATAGCCACTGCCAGTTGGAGAATCAGAAGAATTATTAGATGTCAGCACGCCACCTCTTTCTGTAACACTAGCTTTACCCATAATTCCAAAAGTATTATATAATACAGCACCAGACTGTCTTCCTCCTAAACAAATGAAAGAATATATTAAAAACAGTGGATGTCAACACTACTCTACAATACCCATAAAGATAAAAATAAAAATTCATAAAGATCTTTTTTTCTCATCAAAACTTTGCCTTTACCTATAAAAGTCATGTAAGACTGGATTATCAGGTAAAGAATTATAGGCATATCTGATTACTATTATATATGACTAAACCTCAGTCTTATAAACAACTCAGCCTTCCTTTTATATATATTACTAGTACAATAATGTAAAAGAAAACTACATATAACTGTAAGTCAGTCTGTCTCGCTAAATAAAGGATTTATATATAGTATTTTTATCTGCAAAGCTCTACTAATCAAAAATCCAGTTTCTAAAGAAACTGTAAACTTTTAAAAACTGGGTAGTTCTATATTTTATTCGAAAATTTTTTTTCTGAACCACAGATTTTGTTTGTTCAGGCAGTTATGTATGTCTAGATGATCCATTAGTTTTGAATCATACATTAAAGGGAAAGCCCACTTATGCAATTGGGATGGGGCATCTACCCTGGTATAAATAATCCCAGGTTTCAACTTTCTGCTTAAATATGATGATTCAGGTTATTCAAAGTTACAATTATTCAAACCATTGTAGGAACATGGGGACAATCTATCCCTCATTTAAGCAGAAATGAGAAAAAAAATGCTTACCTTTTATGGTTAAATTTTCAAGTCCACATTCAAACATTATCCAACCCCATTTTTCTTGGCTGGGACCTATTCGAGTTACATCTGGAATAGCTTGCTGATCAGTTTCATCCACAAAAGTAAACTCATCCAACTCTTCAAGAGTAAATAAAACTTTGGACTTCTCAAAAGGAATAGCAGTGATGGCACAGGTACCAATATCTATTATCAAAGGAGAATACAACCATTTTTAAAGACAGAGAAGTTTGTATTAAAAAAAAAAACAGGAAAGTAAACACTTGGCACAGTATCCCTCTTAAAAGATATTTTAATACTCTGTCAAAAAGAAAGGTAAATAAACCAATCAATTTCTAAAATAATGCCTAGTATCCTACAACTTAAAAAGTGCCAGAATCACACTGAAATAAAAGGCAGAAAAAAAAACAATTACATAATTAAGAAATAATTGCTCAGAGGCAGAATGAATTAATTTCTGAAAGATTATAGGGTACTCTAAAAATCTGAAGTAAAAAAAGCTCCTGAATAATTCAGCTTCATGGTAAACTATTTTTATTTTTTATTTTATTTTATTTTATTTTATTTTATTTTATTTTATTTTATTTTATTTTATTAATTTAATTTATTTATTCATGAGAGACAGAGAGAGAGAGAGAGAGAGAGAGAGAGAGAGAGAGAGGGGCAGAGACACAGGCAGAGGGAGAAGCAGGCTCCATGCAGGCAGCCTGATGTGGGACTCAATCCTAGGACTCTAGTATCATGCCCCAAGCCGAAGGCAGGTGCTAAACCACCTAGCCACCCAGGGATCCCGGTAAACTATTTTTAAATACGTTTTCATCATCTTACAAAATAAAAAATTATTTTAATTAATTACCCAGTCATAAAATACCGGGTATTTTAATTAAATACCCATAAAAAATTAGAAATTAGTAAAATTATAGCTTTTACTACATGATTACTTTATGCTAATACATTTTATATAATTACAATTCATAACAGACACTGCCATAATTCTACCACTTACAATATGCAATATGAAAACTAACATCCTACATGTCTGGCAAAGGTTTATATTTTATTTTTTTCATTTCTTTCTCTGATTACACCTAATAAACACAGAAAAAAATGTTTTTTAAAATGTCAATTTACTACCCGGAGATAATTTGTTTATATTCAAATTAAATTTCCTTCTAGCTTTTTAGAAGATTATTTTACAAACAACACAGCTTTGGTTCCCATATTTCAAGTAACAGTAAACCATAATTTCCTGAGGGCATTTAAAATTCTTCAAAGATATTATTTTAATAGTTGTATAATACTCCATCATATGAAAATATCATATTTCACCTTTATGATCAGAAAATCTTCCGATCAGAGACTAAATATTCACTTACATTTTTCTATGATTTTCTCACTATTTTTTTATATTTGCCTTCAATGAATTTATTCTGATGTATGATATAAGTTTAAATTTGATTTAAAATTTTTGACTAGGTAATACACTGGTATAGATCAAACATCCAAAATGTGTGAAAGGATATATACAAAGAAAACTGACACCACACCCAGGAATCCACTTCCTCTCCTTATAGGTAACAAACATCATTAGATTGAGAATCCTTCCACAGATATCTTATGAACATATAATAAAGTCAATTACATTTTTTCCCTGAGTTTTTATACAATGTTTTGTCTTTGATGACTTTTTTTCTGCAATAGTGTGCCTTTCACAATTCTACTTAGTTACTTAACCCTCTGTACAACATCCAAGTGCAAACTGATTACCAGTGCAAACTACAGAGCTGAGAGAAGTCTTTTTATATTCAAGCCACTGCATTTTTAAAAAATATTTTATTTATTTATTCATGAGAGACACAGAGACAGACAGAGACAACACAGGCAGAAAGAAAAGCAGGCTCCATGCAGACAGCCCAATGTGGGACTCGAGCCAGGACTCCAGGATCACACCCTGGGCTGAAGAGAGGCACTAAACCACTGAGCCACCCAGGTGTCCCAAGCCACTGCATTTTATACCAGCTTTAGGATGATAGATCTCAGGTAGCTATGAAAAGTCTCTTTATTTGGAATCCTTAGGCCAAATGTTTTGCTCTCAAACACAAGGATGGTGAAATTAACTTTGAGAAATCCACAGCAGTTACACAAACCCAGAATACAGACAAAAATCATGGAACCTGGGGGATTCCTGGGTGACTCGGCAGTTTAGCATCTGCCTTCAACCCAGGGCATGATCCTGGAGACCCGGGATCGAGTTCCACATCGGGCTCCCTGCATGGAGCCTGCTTCTCCTTCTGCCTGTGTCTCTGCCTCTCTGCCTCTCTCTCTCTCTCTCTCTCTCTCTCTCTCTCTCTCTGTCTCTTATGAATAAATAAAATCTTAAAAAAAAAAAAGAAGAAGCATAGAACCTTCAGAGCCTATGGAATACAATGAGCAAATTCAAGCTAATCATTTGTTCATTCAGGATTGATCACATGTCCCACATGTAGATTTTAGCATAGCAATCATCTCAAGTAAGACTAATGAGCTCAATGTTTTCTAGATTGAATCTCTAACAATCTGAGATCATTTAAGCTTCTACATGCAGTGAGTTATGTCAAAAATATTAAAAGGATTTGTAACATTTCTAGTTTTCTCTTTCACCCCACTGTAAGAGGCATAGCCAGGTCTATAGTTCTCATTGCTACTATATTTTACAGACTTGACTATCTGCTTTTGATACTGCAATTCATTCTTTTTAATAAGTTGTGCCAACAGAATGATTTTAAAAAGAAAGACGATAAAGATCATACTCTATCTTCTATAATGAGCAACCAGATACCATGAAGAAAACAGGGGACAGAAGCAGTTCCTAATTTCAGACACACCACTTACTTTCCTACGAAAGTTTACTTGATTTTCATAGAACATGAGTAAATAGTTAAGTATCATGTGTTCAATAAATGCAGAGATATCTTTCTCTTATAAAATACTCAAATTGTAGTAATATTCCAAAAAGAAAAAGGTTCCCTTTTGCAAAATCCTCTTGCATTTATACATGTCAAAGAAAAAATGATTTGTTGTAGAATCCTACCTGTTGTATCGAGACCCCTTAGTTGCCCATGAACTCGATGAATATTTAACTTAGCTGCAATTTCTTTGCCTTTTTCTGCTCCAGCATTTGATCGGAGAGATCCAGATGACTGAGGCTGCATCTTAGTGGCATGGACATACCTATCAAAATTTGATGTTCTACCGGGTTCTGTATTGTTTGAAGTCTCCTCAACCACACCTCTTTATGGAAAAAGAAAAAGAAAAAAAAAACCATGATGGCTAACATTTAAGTAATACAGTTCATTAAACCATTTAATAAGTAGTTTTTAAAAACCCCACTATTTTAATTAAACCAATATTAATAACAAATTCTTCAGTGTTTATTGAAAAATAGTATGAGTAAAAACAGTACAAACTTTTAAAAACCTACTTTGCTAATTTTTTAAAAGATTTTATTTCTTTAATTGACATATATATAGAGAGAGCACAAGCAGGGGGAGTAGCAGGTAGAGGGAGAGGGAGAGGCAGGCTCCCTGCTAACCAAGGAGCCTGATATGCTGCTTGATCCCAGGACCCTTGGATAATGACCTGAGCCGAAGGCAGATGCTTAACTGACTGAGCCACCCAGGAGCATCCCCTACTTTGCTAATCTATAGTGATATTTGAAATTCCAATATCAATTTTGAATTTTAACATGAGAATTTTCAGAAATGTATTAAAATGGTTATGGTTTGCTTTTACATCCAATAAGAAAATTATGGTTTCAATTAATACAATCTTTCTTACCTGTTCATACGAACTTGCGTAGCAATTCTGTCAAAACACAAAGCTACTAGAGAAACATGAGTCACACTTTTACTAGGAGCTGTACTTGGAGATTCTTCCACTGAAGCTTGTAACAAACATAAGTTTACCTAACACACAAAATGTCACAAATTTCAGGGATAAAGTGAAATATTATCACTTAAACATAAGATACTCAAGAAAATTAAAAACTACTGTTAAGAATGGTATATCTATGTGTCTGAGAGTAATGAAGATAAAGCGTATGAACATAGACTCATAAAGTAATCATAATTCAATTGTTATTGGATGGATGTGGAATATTTTAGTAAATACTCCCCAATATTACACTTAAGTAAACTATATTATATTAATTTTTATATTATATCATTAAAGAAACAAGATATATTTTTTGATATGATAATCTATACTATCACCATTCAGTTTAAAACATAAAGGATAAAAACCACCAAAATGTTCTCCTCTTACAGGAAAATATTTTAAAATATTAAATTGTTACCTTTGGTATGCTAACATTAGCCTGCAGACCTTTAATTGTTACATTATCTTGCTTCATTATAAGATTTGTCTGTGCTTGTCCTTGGTTAGTTGTTCCTATAGTAGCATGCTCAGTTTTTATTCCTCTAACATCTTGTTTGGAAGATAGCTGAAGAGATTAAAGTAGAATTGTTATTTCACAGAATTTTCATAATTTCTACATCATCCACAATAGCAACTGGCTTATTCACTCTGTTCCTTTATGCACATCTATATGCCAGCTGCAATCCAGTTTAGGCCCCATACTCTTAAAGTCCAAATCCCAAAAAGCTAGGAAAAATACTGGCAGCTTCAGAGCTGAGAGAAGTGATATAAAATAAAGTGAAACCAGTCTATAGAGAAACAGACAGAAAGAAAATGGCAATAGGTATTATTTTAGAATCACTAAAATGTATTTATTTGACAGCATTTTTGGGATTTGATAATGGCTCCTTGTTGACTGGGAATATTTTCAAATTTCTTTTGATGTGTACTCCTCTACCCTAACTGCCTATATGTTTTGAATAACTGGATAATTAAAAATAATTAGTCTCACTTTACCTTGCCTCTAATGGGTCTCTAGCCCAAATATGACCCAGATAAATTTGAAAGTCATATGGACAATCACCAGAAGAGCACCAAGATATGATTGTTAAGAAACTGGCTCCATAGCTAGAAATATAGTATAAGTAGATTATCACACACCAGGAGATGATGACTTGATTCACTGAGGTGAGCAAAAATAATCTCAAAAAATTAAGATATAAATTATCTAATCACAGAGAAAAGTCAAAATAACATGCAGTTTTGCTTTCTTAGAAAATAATGTACCAGCCTGAAGAATGGTCATTCACTTAGTTCTTTAGGAAAGGCTTACAATTAAGCTACTTTCAAAATAAAAGAAAAAATAAAGCTACAGATTTAATAAATATTTTATTGCTATTTAATCCATAGTATAGTTATACATAGTAACTCTTAAGGACCCAACAATATATAATGACTATTTAGAAATGTCTATGTATTTTAATTTAAATGGCTAATAAAATTTTAATACATTCAATTTCCCTCAAGTTCAGATAGCATATACACATGAAGAGTATTCAATTTGCTATACTCATTGAATTAAAAGTTCTTACATTTTCTGAGAAGGTAGTCTTGCTATTTTGGACAGCCTCCCTGAGGACTTTGGCATGGAGATCATCTACAATTGCAGCTGGATGGCGTGTACTAGCACTATGAACCATTGCTTCAATATACCTGAGGCAAGAAAAATAATAAATGAAAAACTTAAATATCACTTAACACTATGGTCTAGGTTATCTAAACTGTTCCATTATGTTCCATTCTATATTTCATTCCATGGTAGTTTTGTCTCTCTTAATAGACTATAAGCTCCTTGCAGGGGAGAGAAATCTATTACTTCCCCTTTATTTCTTCATTAAGAGATAGCAGTAAGAATGTCAAACATAGTAATTAGTTCCTGGGTGTTCAAACATTTTAAGCTCATCAGCCAATGCAAAAAATGGAAAATATAATGCAATATAATTATTACAATATTGCAATACAATTATTTATGCTAAAAATGCAACAAATGATAACAGACCTTTCTGAACATATGTTCATCTTTCCTCAACCAAATTTGCCATCAACATCCTTTTTGAATACATATCACATCTACTAATCATATCACATATACTTATCATTTTATAAAATAGTAGCTAAAAATTATATTTTTCAACAAAATTAGTACCTGTCTAAAGCTTCAGCCACCAAAGGAGTCAGAACAATATCAACAGTCCCTTTTACTTCAACTATGGCTGTGGTCCTGGTCTGAGAGACTGGCTGATCCAGGGTCCATTCTTCTGTCAATGTTTCATCATCTGTGTTATCAACACCTTTTTTTTCCAGAGGCGTATATGGTGTACTATACAATTTAATAAGCAAAATACATATTAAAAAGACCATCAAAAAGAATAGAAGAATAGAAGAAGAATAGAAGTTAGAGGTTCCTTAAGATGAATGACCACTCAAATGTACATTTATTTAAACTAAAAATTTTGTGGAATTGAACTAGATATTTTATGTCCCAAATGCTTTGCAGAGACAAGTAGGGTACAAAAATGCAAACTGATCAAAGACGCTTAATAGATCAAGTAAGAAAAAAAAGTTGATATATTTACTTGATGGGCCTTTTCCAAAATATGAAAACTACAATACTGAATTCTTGTTATTTCCTAATTTTGATATGCCAAGTTTGCATAGATTGCATAGCATGTCTAACAGAAATGCTAGTAACTGCTTATAAATGTTGGCAAGCCATTGTTGATCACCAATCAACAGAGTTGATTTTTTTTATAGTAATTAATTTTTTTTAAATGTTCCACAACTAATCTTTTTTTTCTTTCATTTTTCCAAGGCCCTGGACAATTCCTGACCCATGATGGTCAATGAAATGTCATTTGTAAGAATGAATTAATAAAAATGAGAAGCTATAAAAAAAATGAAGTAAGATAAAATGCAAGGCCAATTATTTATTGTTTATAAGAAATGCACTTTAGGTATAAATACCACGAATAGTTTGAAAGTAAAAAAAATAATAATAATGGAAAAAGATACTCCATGAATACATATGTATCACTAAGCCTAAGAAACTGGAGGTGGCTGGATTAATATCAAAGTTGGCTTAAAGAACAGAATTACTACAGGAGGACCTAAGGAAGAAACTGTTGTAATGATAAAAGGATATAAGCAGACATAACAGTGTACAAAATCTACTATGAGTTTAAAAATGTATTAAAAAACTGATTAAAAAGAATATTAAAAAGAACTGAAGGCAGAAATACATAAATCAACAAATAAATTAACAACTTTAGTTAGGCTTAACTACTTTCCAAGCAACCGATAAAAATATGAACAAACCAGTACATACATATATATATAATATTTATATAATATTTATAGTATTTATATATAATATTATATATTATAATATATATAATATTTATATAATAAACACCATCCACCAACTCCTGCATGTGTAGAATACTACTCCATCCAAAAACCACAGAAAACACTTTTCTTTGTACTGCTTGTTGGAACACTCACAAATACAGACTATAAGCTGGGATACAAAACAAGTATCAACAAATGTAAAGATCAAAATCAAAAAGAACATATAATATGATTACAAAATGAAATTAGAAATTAAAAACAAAGTGATATCTTTTGAAATTCTGAAATATGTGGAAATTAAGCATTGCGTTTCTATATAAACCATAGTTCCAAGAATTAAATTATAAGGGAAAATTTTTAAATAAATAAATAAAGTTTATAGTCAAGTAAATAATGGTTATTTCTCAGAATAAACTCTACCCATCTAATAACCAAGAAAGACTGACTTTAAACTTCAAAATATGTAATCTCTACTTACTTCGAAGTTGATCCTGAAAGTTGCATTCCTCTGTCTAGTAAAGAATTAGCTGTGAGCCCCTGTTTGATAACCTAAAATAATAAAATATTACTCACATTTTAGAATTTTAATGTTAATTGTTCTCTTATTTTATGCTATCAAATGGTATTTGTGAGTATCCAGATTACCTTGTTAGTATGACTTTGTATGTACAATAAAAATACTTAACAGACAGTAGGTACCTGGGTGGCTCAATTGGCTGATCACCAAACTCTTGGTCTCAGCTCAGATCATAATCTCAGGATCGTGAGATCAAGTCAGGCTCTGGACTCAGCATGGAGTCTGCTTGGGATTCTTGCTCTCCCTGTCTGCCCCTCCACCCATTCGCACTTTCTCTCTCTCTCTCTCTCAGAAATAAATCTTTAAAAAATACTTAATAGGCAAATGAGAAAATCGTATAAAATAGGCAATTTCATTTTCTGATTATCCAGACAAATGACGGGGCAGAGTGGGGAGGATTCAACAATGAAGGTAAAAGACTATTCAACTAAGGCTTAAAAATAGATGCTACAAATGTTTTTCCTCCAGAATTCCTTATCAAACTGAGCTTTTCTTAAACTAATTTTAGAATTGTCTCCTGGCACAATCCACTTTTAAATGGGAAAGAATCCCCCAGAAACATTAAGTTATAGGAAAAACTAACTTGTATATCCATAAAAGATCCATAAAATCATGTGTGTGATTATTCATACTAAATAATCCTTTTAGATGCTAGTCATTCAGACTTAATAGAGAAAAATAACTTTATTATCACCTATATTCTATTTTGAAATCATCTAAAGATAGGAATTCCTTCCTTGACTGATTTACCTCAGAAATTTGACTGACTAATCAAACTAGAAAATTTATGGAAAATACTAAAATAGTTCTAACCTCTTAGGTACAATTCTGTATTGGAAGTACTATTGAGTTTTATATGGAAAATTCATATGCCAACATATTTTCACATGGAATAGAGAACATTTTGAAATTGTATGGGCACTTTATCTTGGGCAAGAATTGGCACAACCTTAAAACCAAAACTTTGGGGGTACTGAGTGGTTCAGTCAGTTAAGTGTCTGCCTTTGGCTCAGGTCATGATCTTGGGGTCTTGGGATTGAGGCCCGTGTGGGCTACCCCCTCGGCAGGAAGTCTGCTTGTCTCTCTCTCTCTGTCCCTCCCCCTGCTCATGCTCTCTCTGCCTGCCTCTCTCAAATATATAAATAAAATCTTTAAAAAAAACCCACCAAACCAAAACTTTGTCACTAATGTTTCTTCATTCAACACACATTGCTCAGTGTGTATATATGTGTGTATATGTGTGTGAGTGTGTGTGTATATATATATATGTATATATATACACACACACATTCCAACTCCATTTATCACACTTCCAGCCCTATTATCTCTTATACAGATTGATGCAGCAGCTTTCTGAGTAATCATCCCACTTCTTCTGCTTTATAATTCAATTCTATTCAGTAGCCAAAGTACACGAGATCACATTTCCTTAAAGCTCTCTCAAGTTTCCTAATGAAATTTCAATGAAATTATAACTACTGATACCATGGTCTATAAGTCCTTAATGATCTGGTCCTTGTTTGAGTCTCTAGTCTCAAAATGAGCAGTCTCCCTGCTAACTTACCGCCTTATGTGCAGACTTCTTTCCCACTTTAGAATTTTAGCAAGGCTCATGCCTATGCCTAAGTCTTCCCATCATCAATTTCTTCTCATAATTTAAATTTCAGTTTAAATATTACCTCCTCAGATAGACCTTTCATGTCAATACAATATATATAGCTCCACCTCCCATTATTCTCTATCCCAGCATCTTTGGATTATCTTCTTAAGTAAGACTCTTCTCAACTTGTAATCATATACTTACTTGTTTATCTATTAACTGTCTGTCTCCCACATCTAAACTATAAGTCCTATGTCCATTTTACTGTATAAAAATGCCTGACACACAGTATATAATAAATATTTGAATTAAGAATGAATAAACATTTAGACATTTTAAATATGTGGGTTTATATAAATATATACCACATAAGATTCCTAAACACTGTTAATCAGTTCCATAACATTTTACCTGTTTAATTTTGTTCTTAAAATCATAAAAAAGTCTCTCATAAATGTATAATTTCTTAAAAATAGTTTTCATATTGGCTATTATCCCTCAATTTATTTTGAAGTATTTTTAGTTTTCCTTTAAGAAGCTATTTACAGGGCAGCCTGGGTAGCTCAATGGTTTAGTGCCACCTTTAGCCCAGGGCGTGATCCTGGGGGCCCGGGATCAAGTCCCATGTTGGGCTTCCTATATGGAACCTGCTTCTCCCTCTGTCTGTGTGTCTCTGCCTCTCTCTCTCTCTCTCTGTGTGTGTCTCTCATGAATAAATACATAAAATCTTTAAAAAAAAAAGAAGCTATTTACAGAATTCATTAAAAAAGGAGAAACATTATATGGTTTCACTCATACATGGAATATAAAAAATAGTGAAAGGGATTAAAGGGGAAAGGAGAGAAAATGAGTGAGAAAAATCAGAGAGGGTGACAGAACATGAGAGACTCCTAATTCTGGGAAATGAACAGGGGGTAGTGGAAGGGGAGGTGGGCGGGGGGGATGAGGTGACTGGGTGACGGGCATTGAGGAGAGCACTGAACAGGATGAGCACTGGTTGTTATACTATATGTTGGCAAATCGAACTCCAATAAAAAAATATACAAAAATAAGGATAATAATCAATTCCTGCTAAATTATAAGATCTCAAGTGTCCAGTGCATGGAATTGGATTTGCACAGCAGCAGTTACAGATTAATAGTAGAAAGAATACCAGCTATTAAAATCAGTTCCAAAATCGTTTTAAGACAAAAATTTGAATTCAGACTTGATCCTAATCTTAGCATAATGTAGACAGAGACTATATGTTAATTGATTAACATTGTGACAATCAAGTTGAGATGCTTAGACTTATAATACTCATCAATAACTCTGAGATTTATTGTCACACTTGAAGCCATGACTTCAGAAGTTCTTCTTTCAGAGAGTAGTTAAAATAACCGAAAGGATAATGTTGGAAACATCTGAAAAATTGATTTATCTAAGTAAACATATCAGCAGAAACTAAGGATTTGGCTTATACCTTAAAAGTTGGAACAGAAAGCTGTTCAAATGAGGATGAACTTTCTTCACTAGTTGGAGTATCCAGATCGAGGGGACGATGCAGTGAGGATTTAGAGGTTCTTTTGTTAGTAGGGTGCTTCACTGACCAATTAATTACCTGGAACTGAGTAAGGTAAGTCTGATAACAATTCATCACAGGTTGTTGAGAAGTAATCTGTTCACTCTCTACTGTTTTCTCAACCTCTACAACATATGGATGTTCTATAATGTCATCTTCTCCACCGAGTGCAGAAACAAATGAAGCCTGAGAAGGATGAGTTTTGAATGGCAGAGTTCGGGGATCCTGAATGCTTTCTGCATGGCCAGTAAGCGGTCCTTCCACACTGTGATATATGGAACCTCTACTGTAGTCAATCTGTTGTGTTTGCTTTTTCTTCTTTTTTCTACCTGGGTAAGTTCCAGGCCCTTCATCACTGCTAATGGGCTCAAATTCTTCAGCTGCAGAAAAGTAGGCTTCACTATCAGCCATCGACATGCTGGAATCCATTGATCGATATTGATGAAACGAATTGGAGTCTGCTGATGGTGTGTATGGAAATGAACCAAAACTCCTTCTCTGCTTTGGTGAGTCTAGTACATTTTCATCACTTCGGGAGACATCACTACTAAACTGGACTCCAACTGTAACAGGCTGTTTGTCCCCATAAAAAGCAGCAGTAAGGCTTTTAGTACTCCCAAGTCGAGTGGAACATACAGAGGCTTGTCGTTTCAAGGGAGATCTCAGAGGAGACTGACCTACTGATTTTTCCTGAGTATTAGGAGACACGGGGCTGTTTCCTGAAATTTCTGGAGGCATACTAAAATGGAAAGCAAAGCTATTACCATTTACTGTACATCATATAATTTAAGTGTAAAGACAAGTACTTATAAAATCTTTTTAGTAATTTTAATCATTTATTTTACAAATAAAGGAAAATCTAAAATTTTACAATGAGATATCCATACAAAGTAGAAAAACAGCACAATGTGTTCATATCCCATGTAGGTCCAAAAAAAAATGAAGGAAGCTTACAATTTAATAAAAACTTAATCCCAAAGTATAATCTTCTATCCATAATTCATGGACACTAATGCATTTATGACTATTTTTTATATCCTTTAAAAGTGTGTCCACCAAAATATACCAGGTCTTCAATTAAATGAGAGGGATGACGGAGACGAAGAAGTTATAGTTAACCCCACTATCACTACCTTCAGCAACTGATGCCAGTGCCATTTACTGAGGCAGAACAAGTTGAGCATGAGAGGTACAAGGTCATTTTTTATAGGCTGAGTTTGAGGTCTCCATGAAACATACAAGTAGAAATATCAAAAGGTAGCTGAGCCCACAGGCACAGAAGTTATGGCTGGGGTTTTACATTTAAAAGATGTTGGCTACAGATCATAATTAAAGGCAAACCATTATTGAGACTGTCTAAGGAAACAGTATAGAGTGAGTGGCGATAAAGGTACGGAGCAGAGTCCTTAGTATTCATAAGATTTAACAAATGGCGGGCTGTGAAAAGAAGAAAAAGAAGAAATGGAGAGAAAAATGGAAGACATGGAAATAGGAAATAAATAACAAGAAATAGGGCAGCCTGGGTGGCTCAGCGGTTTGGCGCCTGCCTTCAGCCTAGGGCCTGATCCTGGAGACCCAGAATCGACTCCCACATTGAGCTCCCTGCATGGAGCCTGCTTCTCCCTCTGCCTGTGTCTCTGCCTCTCTCTCTCTCTCTCTCTCTCTCTGTGTGTGTGTGTCTCTCGCGAATAAAATCTTTAAAAAATAAAAATAAAAAGGAAATAAGAAATAGCCAAGGAGGATGGAGGAAAATCTGAAATTTTCATATCTATGGGATGACAAGTAATATTAATTTTCACTATATTTTTCTGCATTTTCCTATTTCTGGAATGAATATATGTATTAATTTTGTAATTAGCAACACAGCAAACAGACATTTAAAAATATGTTCAGAGGAGAAAAGAATTTTCTATAGTGGTTGAGTTGGGAGGAAAAGTTTTTCTTGTAAAATTTTAAGTAATTATAATTTTATCATAATTTCTAATCTAATCTAGTTTCTAACTCTAATTGAATACCTTACTGACCTTACTTGGCCATCATCTCTTTTTGCACTATGCAAGAACTCTTTTTGAACCACATGGTCATCAGCGACAGAAGAGGGACTTTCCTTTTCTCCAGCCAATAAAGGCTGTGCAGCACTAGAACTACTATTCTCTTCTGAGGAAGAGGATGAGCTATGAGATCTTAATGGTACTTGAAGACTAAGGTGCTGAGTTTTTCTTTCTACTTCTATTCCCACTGGTTTGTTTTCCCATTCTTTCCTCTTCATGCCATTAGCATTACCTGAATAAATAAACAAAAATGCAGGTTAAATGAACATAATAATTTCAAAAGCAATTTATGAAAAATAAGAGCATTTAATCCATTTCCCTGTTTTTATAAATATAACCATTTTTTAAAAGCACAAGTGTCCAATTTCACATAGCAATATACTAAACACTACAGAAAGATATCCACATTAAGTGTGGATCCAGAGTCCATAAACAGTGAATTTTTTATTCTTTTAAACTTTATTTGAAAATTTTCAAACTTAAAGAAAACTTTAAAGAATAATACAAAATCATCAAATATCTCTTACTCAGAATTACCTATTTTAAACATTTTGCCATATTTGCTCTAATACATATAATATATACATAAAACTTTTCAAACTGAGAGTAATTTGCAGACACAGCAACCTTTTACCCTAGACAGTTTAATGTTTATTTCTGAGGAATAATACATAATCACTATATAACTACCAACTTGGTAAACGTAATATTTATACAATACTGTTATCTAATCTACCATGTGCTTCCCAATTTTCTCAATTGACCCAAGGATGTTCCTTAAAGCACCTCTGCCCCTTCCAGGGCAAGATTCAATCTAGGATCATATATTACTGCATTCAGTTGTCATGTATTCTTTAGTGTGGAGCATTTCCTCAGCCTTTTATAGGAGCCCTGTGATATGTTACATAAATTGGGGGTGGAGGGAATGAAGAGAGAGTCCTAAACTGCTTAGATCAAAACAAAAAACAAAAAACCTCCTGCCCAGTTTTCCTTCTCCAGCCATCCCTGTGTTACCCAAGAAAAAGGAACCTGCTAGTAGAAGAAAACACCTCTCCATGCAGAATACAGTTCTAGATGGAATTTAAGGTGTAAGAAGACTTAAGAACTTACAATAAGTAATATTATTCACTTCCACTACCACAAATGAAAAAATCAACAATAAATGTCTAAAGAAAAATGGATTTAATTTACTCTAAGTGGTAGGAAACTAGTGGTCACTGACCTGCCAAGGAAGTCCAAGTTCTTCCTTGTGCCCTCCTTGATTCTATCCTAACATCTATACTTGGCTCCTGGAAACCTCAACAATCAGAAATCAGATACTTACATAGGGGTTAATTCTAGAGCAAACTTATAGTGATTTGTGAATTACAGCTAACTCCTGAAAGAATCAACAGGAGATACAACCTCTATTTTACATTATAAGAGTTATAATGAGCTTTGCCTTATTCAGTTAGAGAATTTGCTTTTTTTCCCTCTTTAATACCATGTGTAAATTCCCTGTAGATTTTCTTCCTCCCCTTTGTGATGGTTAAACTTTGATCTGCAGATCGGAAAATCAAGCAGTGTTTATATTTATAATTAGTGTCAGCTATAGTATGGTAGAAAGAACACTGAAATGGCTTTGATGGCCCTGATTCCAGTTTCTGCTTAGCCATTTGATTTTGTGCAACTCCGTCTCACTGATGAGCCTCACTTTCTTCACTACAAACACAAAAAATACAGAACGCATATGGCAGCTTGAAAATTAAAGGAGGAAATGCCTGTGAAAAACTTTAAAAACAATTATTATTCAAACGTAAGAAATTAATATTGCAAGAAAAATGATCAATTTTATTTAGCATCTTTCCTATCTTTAAATTTTAAATGTCAAGAAGTTTTGATGTTTGCAGATTTTATAGGATAATCTACTCTTATTCTAGATAAAACTGCTGAAGTCAAACAACCTTAAATAAGATGTACATACTTATATATTAATATTTAGTGAAAAATCATTAAAGCAAGAATTTGGTATATGTAGTCCAGCTCTTTCTCCTAAGAGCTCCTTATCCATGGCAAATCAATGAACTTTTAAAGTTAAAACTACTACTTTCCTCCCTCTTTGTCTACTGACAAGAGACAGTGCTGTTAATGTTTTTTAATAGATCCAGGGAAAAAGGATGATATTAGTAAAATATCAAGAGTTTTCTACATTTCACTTCTTGAGAGCATGACAACTTAAGCAGTAAATACCGCACTTAACTGTAGGAACACACAACTAAAAAACCCAAAGGAAAATCCATTTCTGAGGTCTTCAGAGAAAAAACAGTAGATAAATCTAAATCTAATAAACTTAAAGCCACCATTTACTGCTCATACCACACTTATGTATTTGCAATGTTATCCTACAGGGTCTAAGGAAAGGCCACATTTCTCTTCTAGACATGTTCCATTTTAGTGAATATCTTGCAAAATAGTTGGTAATATGAGGACCAATAGTATAAACTACTACTGATAAGTTTTCCTATAAAAGAAAACTGGTGAAATAACTGCTACTTTGAAGCACAGCTATTCTTAAGTAAATCTCTAGAAGCTGAGGTCTAGGAGAAAAGGGAAATATAAAGAAATATTCGGAATAAGCTTGGCTAGGAAAATCAACAATGTCAACAATAGATCTGAAGGGTAGACCTATTTTTTGCCTTGTGGAACCATAACTCACTAGTCTTCTCTGGCTTTAGTTAAATCACCTGCAAAACAAACGGAGATTATACTGAATCCTACCTACAAGAATGCTCAAAAAATTGAGTTGAACAAAATCACACCAAACTTCTCTAAGAATGGCATAAGGATAAAGATTAAAAAGATTACCACAAGTAACAAAACAACACATTACCATCTACAATTTTGGGAATTTCTTTAGTAATAATCCATTCTCCAGGCTGTAGCAGAGACTGTCCATAATACATATCAGACTCTGCACTCGTGCTTGAAAATGCAGAACTACTGGAAGGTGTCAACTCTTCAAGTTTGAAGAAATCTAGGCCAGTTACCGTGCCACCAAAGAACCTGCAGCCACCAAGACAACCACACTTGTTCCTACACCTCTTATTCTTCAGAGTATCATCTGGCCACAAAAACCACAACCTAAATAGAACCCAAAACAAAACAACAACAAAAACTCATTAAGAAATAAACTTTTGGCAGATAATTAATGAAAAATAAGTTAACTGTTAATATTTTTAAAAGACAAGGTAAATACAAACACAGAATTTTTTTTTTTTTACTGTGGAATGTCTTTTTAAACATTTTGTCTTTCTAAAATAAATAAATAAATAAACTTTTAAAAAGGGGCACCTGGGTGACTCCATGGTTGAGCATCTGCCTTTGGTGCAAATCATGATCCCAGCATCCTGGGATCAAGTCCCTTATCAGGCTCCCTATGGGAAGTCTGCTTCTCCTTTTGCCTATGTCTCTGCCTCTCTCTGTGTGTCTCTCATGAATGAATGAATGAATGAATAAAAACTATTTTGTCTTTCTTAAAAAAAATAGTCTCACCATGATGAAAGGAAAATAAGTAGGAACAGAAAGAGAGATATACCATACATTAAAAAAAAAGGAACTAGAAGAAATATAAAGATCAGACATTTAAATCCAATTTTAAAATAGTAGTAAATATTCTCAAAAGGACTAAAAATTTTAAATATTAATGTAAAAAATGGACAAACCTATTTGATTATACTAACTAGATAATTTATAATCTTTAGCATTTCAGACCATATTTCACATGGCAAATTCACCAAAATACTATAAATGTGGGGCAAATAAGAAATTATTTCTCAATAAAACCAAAATAATGCATTCTATATTTTAGAGAGAAAGACTAATAGTTTTATAGTAAAAACTCTAACTGAAGTATTAAGACAATAGGAGAAAGTGTGTGTAAAAATTCTTTAATTTCTGTGAGTAATCCATACAAAAGCCTGTCAGTATTGTAACTCTCTTTTTTCTTAAAAAAAATAATATATAATACAAATATGGGAGATATATATTACTTCTCTTTAAATAATAAAATCACCTCATCTTAACAGTCTACTTTTCTAAGTACTTTTACATGCATTATCTCATTGGATTCTTGGGGCCCTCACAGGAAGACAGAATTGGTATTATCATTTTCATTTTATATTCACTCATTTATATTTCTTGAGCATATTTATATGTGCCTAGTATTGTGCTAGGTGAAACTGACACGGTCTTATCCAGATGAAGTACAAAGGCAAAGACAAGCCACAAACAAAATATCCAATCATAAATTATACTGAGTGCTATCCGGTAAAGAAAATAAAACAAAGAAACAAAAAACCAAGGTGTTTTGACAAGGAAAACGGAATCTTTCAAAAAAGATTTGAGATGTGAAAGATGAGAAAAAATATATCAAGATAGAAGTAGAACATCAGTCTAGAGGACAGAAGGAAAAGTATGTGAGAAAGATTTAGGATTAGCGAGAATTTGACATATTACTTCAGCTAAATGTTATCAAATTCAAATCACTTCTCTATTTTAAAGTATTACTACGATTCAGTCACTCAGCAAACTATTTTAATCACTATCAAAATAAAAGATCTTACAAATTCTACACACTTTTTTTACCTCATTTGTATAGCAAAAAGCTTAGCAAAATGCATGGGTTTGCATTCATCTAGACATGGGTTCAAATTCCAGCTGTGCCACTTAATAACAACTCTAGGATCCTGAACAAGTTAGTTAACATTTCTGAGCCTCAGTTTCCTCAACTGTAAAATTATGGTCTGACACACCTAATAAGACTATTTTAAAGACTGAATGATATAACATATGTAAAGCAACTGATATAAAATCTGGAATTGGGCAGTCCCGGTGGCACAGCGGTTTGGCGCCGCCTGCAGCCTGGGGTGTGATCCTGGAGACCCGGGATTGAGTCCCACATTGGGCTCCCTGCATGGAGCCTGCTTCCCCCTCTGCCTGTGTCTCTGCTTCTCTCTCTCTGTGTCTATGAATAAATAAATAAAATCTTTTAAAAAATAATAATAAAATAAAATCTGAAATATAGGAGTTGCATAACAAATGTAAGCTTCCCTTCCCCATCCTTATTACAATCCAATGCTCTAGTTCTAGCTTGCATTAGAATCACCTGGAAGGCTTATTGTAGTATGCAGAGCAGAGCTGCAGCTATCCCCAGAGTGTCTGACTGAGGTCTAGTAAGGCCTGGTCATGTAAATTTCTAAGAAGTTCCAAGGAGACACTTGTGGTGGTGGTTTGGGAACCATACTTTTCAAAAACACTAATCTAAAGAAACTAATGACCTGTATGTTCAGTAACTTTTCCAATTACATCAAAAAAGAATAAACATAGGCCCCAAAACTCCTGGGAATCCAACATGCACAAAGGCAACCAAAGCTGAAAGCCAATGAGTTACTATGTTGGGAGAAGCAACTCCCAATATGCCCTAAACATCTCTACCTGTTCTTGCTGGCTATGTCAAGAATGCAAAGCCCTGACCAGGCCATTGCTCAGGATTGTGCTGGCAGCAAACAACTTAAAGAGGTAGGGTACTGTCTCACCCTAGAAAAAAGTAGGTTTGCCTCCACTTACGTAGAATCCCTAAGTTCAATATTCCTCTTCTATAATGCATTCCACTATGTGTAGTCATACACCATGGGCCTTTTGTGTCACCTCCAAAGGATTCATTGATGGGATATCAGATACAGCAAATAAAAATAAATTTTACCTATGCAACATATGAGACAATATGACACACCTATACTAAAAAGTTATTTCTTGTTTATCTGAAATTCAGATTTCATTAGGCATCCTATATTTCATCTGGCAACCCTACTGGGAGGGCACAGGGAACCAATGCAAACACTCAAGACTCTGGTTAGTGCTTTGGTTGTAATAGAGTCCTTTGTGTCTGACCAGGAGTTTTGTGTTTTCTGCCAGCACCCATGAAATTGTGGCAGGCTAACTTGTTAGCTTGCAGGTAGGATAAAATCCCACTCTTCATAATTATTAACCAAGCCAATCTCAATGGTTGGATTTATTTGAACACTTAGAACTTGAAATGTGGTGCCACCTCCTTAGCTTAATCAGCACCTTGTTCTACCATCTGGCCTAATTAAACACAGGTACTTTCTTCATAGTAACTGGCTTCCTGAGCAATAACTAACAAAGAAACTAAAGTTTTAAAAGATATTATTCTCCATGCATGAGCTTCCATACTCGTATTTACAAGATGTCAGGATTTTAAAGTAACTTAAAAAATTCATGTAATCTCAATAAAAACCTCAAAAAATTTTAAAACTAGAATAATAGAATAATAGTTCTTTCGGGAAATTAATAGATTAAAATACCTAAATGGCGCAATGGAAAAATAAATGTGTATTATGTATAAATTTTTACCTCTGCATTTGAATACATATTCACAAAAAACTCTATTTACACCTTGATTGGATTAATACAAATATACCATATAAAATCCAGATAGCAGGGCACCTGGGTAGTTCAGTTGGTTAAGCATCCAACTCTTGATTTCAGCTCAGTTCTCATGAACTTAGGGGTCATGAGATTGAGCTCTACTTCAGGCTCTGTGCTGAGCCTGCTTAAGATTCTTTCTCTACTTCTGCCCCTGCACGTGTATGTATGCATGTACTCTCTCATTCTTGCTCTCTCTAAAACAAAACAAAACAACCCCCACCCCGAAACAGAGTTTATGTTAATAACAACAAAAAGGAATAGAAAAAAAAAAGAAAAAGAAATCTAGGTGCCATGTGATTACTAGCAAAAGAAATATTTTCTCAAATTAGTACAAGAAATCACAAAGGTTAAAAACTGACATATTTGGATATACAATATTAAAGTTCATATATAAGATATAAAAAATTTAAAAATGAAACAAATCGCAAAATATTAACAACAGGGACTGCTAAAAGGATGGTAATTTATGAAAGAACTCTTAAAAATTGGTAAGAAAACATCAATATGCCAATAAGTAAATATACGTAGAATAACAATATGCAGTTCACAAATGAGGAAATAAAAACAACCAGTAAGTACATGAAAAAAGTCTTAATTTCAGATATAAAGAAGTGCAAAATAAAACAGAGATACCACCTTTCAGTTATAATAAAACACAAAAAGTAGCAAAGATGCGGTGAGACAAAAAGAAAAAAAAGCCACTGGGAATATAAAGTGAAATAATCTTCCTGAGAATTTGGGAATGCCTATCAAAAGGCTCAGTTTTTAGGACAGTCACACTCCCTTCTAAGGAAACTATTTAAAGGGAATTTAAAGAACATGTGGGAAAAGATTTTATGTACAAAAAATGTTCCTCTTACTATTACTTAAAATGACAAATTTAGAAACACTAGCTATGTATTTAATATAACGAGGGCAATGGCTAAATAAAGCACAATATATCTTTTTGATGGTATATTACATCTTTTATTTGAAAGGAAATTTACAAAATTTTTTATCATATGGGGGCAGGTGCTTAGGATACACATAGTTTTTTGTTTGTTTGTTTGTTTGTTTTAGATTTTATTTATTCATGAGAGAGACAGAGAGAGAGGCAGAGACACAAGCAGAGGGAGAAGCAGGCTCCATGCAAGGAGCCCGACACAGGACTCGATCCCAGGTCTCCAGGATCACGCGCTGGGCTGAAGGCGGCACTAAACCGCTGAGCCATGTGGGCTGCCCAGGATATACGTTTAACACAAACATGCAGAATTTTAAAATATAAATACAGGATGATTTCAAATATAAGAAAGATACATTAAAAATAAGGGGAACAAATATGACAAATTCAGTGTGGTTAAGGTTATGGTAATTCTTTTCCTGTATTTTATCATTGTTTTCTCTATTTTTAAAATAAATTCATACTAATTTTATATGGGGGAGATGGAGATGGAAAAAGTTATACTGTCTTTTTAAATGGACATGATTCAGTAAGAGGCTCTGGCACTTTTTAAACCGCAGATATAATTATTTCTTAATGACCCTTTCTTAAAGACTAGATCCTAATCCCCTTAATCTCCCCTGCAGTTGTAAGAGCCCACAAAAGGAAGAGTTTTGTAGAGTGCACGGTGATAGCAATGATGTTTTCTAGGAATGATGAATTGGAAGTGCATAACTGTGGTGAGAGAGAAAGGAGGTAGTGCTCTATAAAATGTGGAGAACAAGTAATTTAAACTCATTTCCTTGCTAATACACATAGTATGGGCTTAGAAACACATTAAACAATTTCCATCAACCACACCATTACCAGAAATGAGATATACAATGTATTTACTTAAATATCAGGTTCTTATACATTCACTGAGGTGTACCCAGCACAATAATATTTGGTCTTTATGTAAAATGTTCTTATTCTATTCCTAATAGTAGAATTATAAGATAATTTTTGTCTGAACTCGGGACTATTAACTTCCTCAAATTTCACTTACCTCTTAGTTCTGGCATCATGAGTTTCTAAGAAATATCTTTGAGCCTCATGTTTAGAATGATGGTCAGCAGCTAATGCAATATCAACAGTAATGAGTCCTAAATTGGCTGACCCAGCTTCAAGCCAATAGGCCCTCCGGAGTAATGCAGGCTGAAGTCCAACTCTGGAATTATTTAATTGTTCAATGTACTGTCTCACTTGAAAATCCTGAATTGCAGCACTTATTCCTTCCCCAACGGACTGATTGTGGAGATTACAGTTTGCAACTCGAATTGCACCCATCTAAATTGAATGAAGAAAATGAAATAAAACTGTAGTTTCTGTATTCTTAAGAAACTTTGAATAAACTATAGAGTAGATATTTATCTCAAATTGCATGAAAGACAGAAGGAAAAACAGAAAAAAGGGAAATAGAAATGATAAATGCAACAGAATAAAGTGGACATTCAATTAAAAAAAAGATGATAAAAAGAAAAGAATACAAGTCTAAAGGAAAATGAGAGGAGGAGGAAGGAAACGTCAGTAGTAAGTAATAAAACCATAGACTCTTAACAAGATTTAATTTTAAGCAATAACCCATAAAGCAGAAGTGGCAAACAAATGCTTTCTAGAGCCAGGCAGGAGATAAATGTATAAAACCTAAAGGCATTCAAAATCGAATCTTTTAAAAACACTACCAATTTAATCCCTGCCATAAAAGCAATCTCCTCCAAGTTTACAACCTTTCCATAAAGCAAAGTTATAATAATTCAGTCAGAGTAAAACAGTAGCGAAAGTATTAAGAAACAGACTGAAAGAAAATATGGACGAGCCAAAAACAGAAAGCTATCCCTGGAATTCTGTAGTATTCTGCGAGATGGCAAACTATAAATGCGTGTTCTATCTCAAGAAATGGAGGTTTTGAGGTATGTGGGTGCTCAGTCAGTTAAGAGACTGACTCTTGATTTCAGCTCAGGTCATGATCTCATGGGGGTTGTGAGATAGAGCCCCCATGTCGGGCTACACACTTAGTGAGGAGTCTGCCTCTCTCTCACTGTCCCTCTGCCCAACCCCCAGTTCATGCTCTCTCTCAAATAACTAAATAAATCTTAAAAAAGAAAAAGAAATGGAAGTTTGGTTTAATAAAAGGGAAAAATAACTACACTGACCCAGAAATAGACAAAAGTGTACCTTTAGATTTGTAGCACAGCCATGCTCCACAATATAAATATCTGCTCCATCTACTGCTAAACGAGTCATAGTATATTTCAAATCATCTGAAGTTGGACAAGGTCCAGGAATACAACTCAACTAAAAAGAAAAAGAATTGAATATTTAATTCTTCACCATCACATCACCATTTTGATACTCACATCTATTCATCTATCATTCGTGTATTTTTAAAAACAAGTCAATTAAACCTCATTTTTTTGTAATGATAAACGATATCATCAGTAACTAAAGTCTTACTAATTAGAAACTAATTATAAGTAAGTCTGTACCATTTTCATTCAAAAGGGACAAGAATATAACTTGTTACTAAAACTCACAAAGAATAGTCAAAGTAAACTGATAGGTGAACAGTGTCACAGGATTGTAAGAACCATGTAGGAGTTTAAAGTTTTAAGATTTTCTTATGAATACTCTATACAAACACACACCTTTTTATAAATATATCAGTTGTAAATTTTATTATGACATCTAAGACAACCCACACAAATGTAATATTGTTTTACTCCTAAGACAGATTTGGACATGGTTAGGTTGGAAGAAAACATACACTCCACCTACTACTTTGATGAACTTCTTGGGGAAATGGTAGCCCTGAGTAAATTACTGGCTCAATAGCTTGCAATTGCTCATGAGTGTCAGAGCCAGGAGTAGAACACAGGTGTCTTGAATTATACTCAGTGTTCTATAATAATAAGGCATACTTCGGAGATATTGTGGATTCCATTCCAGACTACCACAATAAAGCAAATATCACAATAAAGCAAGTCAAATGAATTTTTTTGTAGGTAAAATAAAAAACACAAGAAACAGGAAGTGCTCGCAGGGATGTGGGGAAAAAAGAACCCTCATATGCTGTTGGTAGAAATGCAAACTGGTGTAGCCACTGTGGAAGACAGTATGGAGGTTGCTGAAAAAATTAAAGGTAGAATTTTACCCTATGATCCAGTAATTGCACTACTGGGTATTTGCCCAAAGAATAAGAAAACACTAATTCAAAAGGCTATATGTACCTGTATGTTTACTGCAGCATTACTTAAAATAACCAAATTATGAAAGCAGCCCAAGTGTCCACTGATAGATGAAAGGATAAAGATGTGGGGTGTGATATATATATATATTACTCAGCCATAAAAAAGAATGAAATCTTGTCATCTACAATAACAACATGAATGGATCCAGATGTGTAATGCTAAGCAAAATAAGTCAGTCAAAGAAAGACAAATTGCATAAGATTTCATTCATATGTGAAACTTAAGAAACAAATGAACAAAGTAAAAAAAACTCTGAAACAAATTAAAAAAATAGACCCTTAACTATAGAAAGCAAACAAATAGTTACAAGAGAGAAGTGGGCAGGGGGATGGATGAAACAGGTGAAGGGGATTAAGAGTACACTTGATAAGCACTGAGTAATATATGGAATTGTTGAATCATTACATTGTACATCTGAAATTAATATAATATCTTAACTACTGGAATTAAATAAAAATTAAAAACAAATACTGCTAAAGATGAAAAAAAAGAATTTTTTGGTTCCTCAGAATGAATAAAAATTATGTTTATATTTTATACTATCATCTAAGTGTGCAATAGCAAATGTGTAGGAAAAATATACATGCCTTTATTGCTAAAAAATCCTAACCATCATCTGAGCTTTCGGCCAGTCATAATCACTGATCATACATAGATCACTGTAACAAATATAATAATGACAAGGTTTGAAATATTGCAAGAATTACCAAAATGTGACATAAAGACAAGCAGTGAGCAAATGCTGTTGGAAAAAGGTGCTGATAGATTTGCTTGATGCAGGGTTGCCACAAACCTTCAACTTGTAAACAAAACAAAACAAACCCCATAGTATATGCAAAGCACAATAAACAAAGTATGTCTGTGTATTTCCCCCACACAAAATAAACCTAAAAAACCCTTATCTGAAACGCCAGAGGCACATCAATGGTTGCACGGAATAATGAATGGCTGACTACAAAGGGACACAAAGTAATTTCTAAAGTGATAAAAATCTTCATTGGTGGTAATGTTACACCCATATGTATAAGACATTTGTCAAAACTCCATTTGTAAATTAAAAAGGGTAAATTTACTTATGAAAATTATGCCTTGATAAAGTCAATTTTTAAAAATTTTAAAGCAACATAAAACCTTTGAACCAAAAAAAATAAAAAAGGGAAGGAGGAGAGGCCTACAAATATGTGTAAATTATCCTTAAGGAATTAATTAGTTGACATATAACTAAAGATTCCCTAAATCTTGGCAATGTATTTATAACAAGAAAAAAATAATTTTATCACCAATTATAGTGGTTTCCTACATTATTGGTAAATAAGTAGAGGTTATAGGTTTTTGGACATAAAATTAAAAGCAGGATGAATTTTTCATGCTAATGTAATAGCAAGCACAGTATGTATAACAAAAGAAAAAAGGAAAAAAAAGCACATAAAGGGAAGAAATTAGAAAAACTAAACTGTTATCAATGATTATCTTTGTGTTACAGAATTAGGGTAAAAATTTTTTTTGAAACTCCTATGCTTTCTTGGAAAATGCCAACATTACTAACCACGTTACAGAAGAACAGGTAGTTCTGGGGGATGGGGGGAAGGGCCACAAACAACATCACGTAAGGAATTTAACCTTCCTCTTGCTTCAGTTTTTAAGTCTTCTACATAAATATATAGCCATATCCGAAAGAATGCAGTAACACAAGAAAACATGAGAGTTAACAGTAAACATGTAAGATAAAATCTTTATAATATTTCCATTTGTTTGTGAATTTATGTTTTAATAATTACCTCATGTTACATATTTGTAACTAAATAACAACTGGCTAACAAATCTACAAAATAATTTTATTAATTGAGAAAACAACTATAATGCTAACTTTGTGGCTATGTGTATTTGATTTAAAGTTGGTATCTCAATCTTTCATTTTGAAAAATCCATGAATGTTTATAATACCACTAACATATTTATTAACATACCTTGGATTCACAGAACCGACGGTCAAATCCATGCTGACATATTATTACTGATTTAGGTCTTTCCAGTTCATACTCCCGACATACCACATGAAAAACAAATGTCTGTCCCCACTCCAAGAGACAAGCTAGCTATAAGCAGGGACAGGTTGACAACAGTTAGCATTTTAAACACATGTTCAGAGTTCAAAAGCTTATTAAGAATATTAATACAGTTTGAAAGAACCCAAATGTGTCTTATACCTGCTGCTACATAATCCACTTACTAGCCAGAATCATCATTTTTCTACCTTGACATCATTTATAAGCTTATGTTACTTTTCATAGACCTGCCTTACGACCCAGCAATTGCACTGCTGGGGATTTACCCCAAAGATACAGATGCAATGAAACGCCGGGACACCTGCACCCCGATGTTTATAGCAGCAATGGCCACAATAGCCACACTGTGGAAGGAGCCTCGGTGTCCATCGAAAGATGAATGGATAAAGAAGATGTGGTCTATGTATACAATGGAATATTACTCAGCCATTAGAAATGACAAAACCCATCATTTGCTTCGACGTGGATGGAACTGGAGGGTATTATGCTGAGTGAAATAAGTCAAGTGAAGAAGGACAAACATTATATGGTCTCATTCATTTGGGGAATATAAATAATAGTGAAAGGGAAAAGAAGGGAAGGGAGAAGAAATGTGTGGGAAATATCAGAAAGGGAGACAGAACATTAAGACTCCTAACTCTGGGAAACGAACTAGGGGTGGTGGAAGGGGAGGAGGGCGGGGGGTGGGGGTGAATGGGTGACGGGCACTGAGGGGGGCACTTGACGGGATGAGCACTGGGTGTTATTCTGTATGTTGGCGAATTGAACACCAATAAAAAATAAATTTATTATTAAAAAAAAGCTTATGTTACTTTTCATTTGTGAATGACAAAATGCATAACAACTGAAAAATTCAACTTCAGCAACTTATAAATAGTAAGTACTTTCCTTCAAGGTTGTATCTTCCTTCTTATATGACTAACTGGAATCCTCTGCACAGAAAAGACCTAAAATTCTCTACTTAATAATAAACAAGGCTTGGATGTGAAATTATTATCTAATTATAGTGAGCTACAACTTCAGAAAATCAGGTATTTTGAAGATTAAAACACTTCTGTTTATGTAAATAGAAATTTAAGTATACATCAATTCTTCATCAAATCTTTGGTTCAAAAGTCCTTCACTTTATAATTGACTAGAGTTGTTAGCAATAAACACACTGAAACATGGGTATACATGATATTATTCCTTTAAAAAAAGTACAAATTTAAACTGTTGGAAAACAGGAGTTTCACTTTTAAAACATACAAAGAATAGAATAAACATTAAAAGAATGTATAGATTCATGGAATACTCACTGGAAACAGTGATGCCAAGATTCTAGTGCAGAAGAAAGAAAAATGTTTCATCTTCTAATAAGGGCAACTTATATAAGATTCTAGCAGTTGTTAGATTAAAGGAATTGAGTCCAGTCTTGTACTATTGGCATGGCTTTATTATGCATTTGTTAAGGAACAACTTTTTTTTTTAATACGTTTCAGTTTTTACTTGTACATTAGAGCAAGAGATGGTGGATAATAAGGAAAGGATAGTCATCAGGCCAGTGGGCACTGAAGTTCCATCCACGTTTATACATTCTGTTACATATTTTAGCTACTTGTATATAAAATATCCCTTTTCAGTTCCATTTTCCTATTTCTTGAATCTTAATTTTTGCTGCTTTCTAAAAATTTCTGGCACATATACAAGGTACCTAGAGTACCACTTTTTGTTGCTATTCCCTACCTATAAATGTTTCATATACATTCTGTAATTTTTTATTAAAACTGAGTATGTATATTTCACACATTCAAGACCACATTCTAGTGTTCTCAAATGCCAAGATAGGTATGCATATTATCATGAATATATGAATCAACAGGTGAGATGTTAAGTAACATGACTATTTGGCTAAATTTTAGTGATCCGTTTCTAGAACTAAATAATCCTTATGACCTCTACATCTTCTAAAGATTAAGGAGGACAAGAGGAAGAAGGGGATTTTATCAAAAAGGATCACAACTAGCATTCTAGACCAGATTTACTTACTAGTAAATTTGTTTTTACTTATTCTTTAATACACATCAACAGCAGATATAAATGATCTTATTTTGCTTTGAGAAATGACAAGAATTAAGCTACCTAATCCTGAACACCATAAGCAATATTTTCAAATCCTACTTTAGAAATACACAAGAAAGCAAAATTCTTAGAACAGAAGAATTTTTCAACAGTGAAGAGACAACTAATGTAATTTTAATAATATATAAAATTTCCAGAACAGTTCTCATATTGAGTATATCCCAAAGTCTTGATATTGAAAGTGCTATGCAGAACTATGAAACATTACACTCTTCAATCTTATGTGGATCAGAAAAGTGAAACTTGTCTCTGACTCATCTATTGCTAAGAAAATTCTGAATGGCAAGAATGACTCCCATCCAAAAAGCAACGAGTTGTCTGGCCATCAGAACATCATTAGTGACAATGCAATGAACATTCAAACAGGCATACGACTTACTCTTGGTGAAGTAGGTGAGCAAAGGAAAAAGAAAATAAGTCAGAGAATCATACCTGTGGTGCTGTAACCTTAGCTGTAAGGCTTCCAGCCTGCACATCAATTAACCATGCATATTCCAAGGAATCACTTCCCAAAGGAAGACCTTCTGCTGAGAACATAGCATGTGCTCTCAGCTGGAGACCTGACAAATTGATGTGACCTTCCCTCAGTACTTCATCCACAGGGGGTCGCTGCTGAAAACAATAAGAAGACAACTGTAGGAAGTACAAGAAAATGGGCATTATAATTTCTAATTGTTTTTTTCTCCAGAGACTAATAGTAAAAAGATGCTATCTGGAAAATGAGACTTAAGGATCTATGAGATCCTAACACAACCTTGTATAGTAAAAAGTCTCAGTTAAACTTCTTTAGTGACAATATCCATGAGAGCCCAAATCCATAAGAGCAAAATAGCAGAGTCCTAAAAAGAATGAGATCTCTTTGATACAAATGAATGGCTCAATGAATAAAAAGAAATTAGTACTCTGACTGGCAAGGAATGTAAGAGACCATTCTTTGGTGGGAAGACAGGAATAATGAGATTAAAATACTAAAAAGAAAAAAAATAACAGGGAAGAACAAAGACTAGTAGGACCATAAAATGAAGAAGTAGGGAAGAAAGCCATCTTTCATATAGATTTTGAGAACTATATAAATATAAAAAGGATAGATTTATCTTACAGAAATTATATACTTACTACTAAAAAAAAGCAGCAAATATTTCAAAGAGAAAAGTTCTAGGACTTACTCGGAAAACTAAAAGGCATGTCCTAAAATAGGGTATTCCATGGAACACTCATTCCACAGGATATTATTACAATGTAGAATAAAACAGGTTTGGCAATGCCGTATCCATCAGTTACCAATTTCTGTAGAATCTACCTCCCAATCTCTCAGAAATGTACTGATTTTCTTCTATCTTCACTGCTGTCATTGTGGTTCAAATAACACGACCTCTTGCTAAGATCTTTGCAAAGCCTCCCAGCATTCACTTTTCTATCTCTGTCCTTCATACTCTACAAAACAACCACAGAGATCTAAAAGGGCAAATTTTATCGTGTTCTTGTCTCAAGATCATTATTTGCTATTTCCTCAATATTTCTCTTCTCTACCAGGTTTATTAGGGTAAAGACCATTTTTGTCTTGTTCACCTTTTATCCCACTGCACCAAACAGTTACCACAAAGGTAGATAGATACTGCTAAGTGACTACACAGATTTCTTCACAGCAAGTCTTTTCAGAGAATTCAATATATTAATCTATATTGAGACAGTTAACAGGTATTTCCCAAACCATTTTACTATAGTAGTCTTTTTAGCATGTGTATGCAGGCCATCTGCACAAGGAACAATGTTTTAGCATTCCTTGTTTCAACACATTTTAGGAAATGTATCCTCAAAAAAAAAAAAATTAAGGATATGAGCTAAATCAAATTTACAAAGAATTCTTAAAAGGAAATTTCAAATTATGACTATAATAATAGCTCTAGCAGCTCTTTTGATGCATTTTTTATTTTACTTTCATCTAAACTGTGTGACAATATATAAAATCACCAAAATTTCTTGAGGCATCAGTTCCCTTCTATTTTATCTGAGGAAGCTAGGAAGGGTGGCACTGAGATTTGATAATTCTCAGTATAAGATACTTCTGATTGATTTTTTTTTAGCTCAAAAATACATATAAATCTTGGCTTGTCCTAGAGAGAGAACCTATCTAGTATACCAAAAAAGATCATATTCTAGATTTTATTGTGAGTTACATCTTATTGTGTCCCCTAAAAAGACATTTCAAGTCCTAAGCCCAGGCACCTATAATTGTGATTTTACTGTATTTGAAAACAGGGTTTTAGCAGACGTAATCAAGTTAAAATAAGATTAAGCAAATTAGAATAGGCCTTAATCCAATGACTGGTGTCCTTATAAGAGGAAAATTGGGAGGGAGGGGCAAGATGGCGGAAGAGCAGGGTCCCCAAATCACCTGTCCCCACCAAGTTACCTAGATAACCTTCAAACAATCCTGAAAATCTACGAATTCGGCCTGAGATGTAAAGAGAGACCAGCTGGAACGCTACAGTGAGAAGAGTCCGCGCTTCTATCAAGGCAGGAAGACGGGGAAAAAGAAATAAAGGAACAAAAGGCCTCCGAGGGGGAGGGGCCCCGCGAGGAGCCGGGCTGAGGCCGGGGCGAGTGTCCCCAGGACGGGAGAGCCCCGTCCCGGAGAAGCAGGAGCTGCACCAACCTTCCCGGGCGGGCGGAAAGGGGCTCGCAGGGAGTTGGAGCAGGACCCAGGAGGGCGGGGATGCCCTCAGGCTCCCTGGGACACTAACAGACACCTGCGAGCGCAGGAGAGTGCTCCGAGCTCCCTAAGGGCTGCAGCGCGCACGGAGGGACCAACCGGAGCAGCTCGGAGGGGCTCGGGAGCGGCTCCAGGGAGGGGGCTGCGGGGCGGGAGCACGAATCCAACAGTGCAGGCCCCGGAGCACAGGGCGCCGGGACACAGCCCAGGATCCGGCCTCCCCCTGGGACAGGCAGAGGCCGGGAGGGCCCAGGACAGCAAGGACGCTCCTGCCCCGAGCTGAGCACATCAGCGGCCCCGCCCCGGAGCCTCCAGGCCCTGCGGACGGAGAGCCGAGAGAGCCCCGAGCCCCGTAGTTCCTGCGGAGGCTGACTCCAGGCTTCCAGAGTTGCCATAGCAACTGCTGCTGTTCCTCCCTGGGTCCCACGGGGTAAACAACCCCCGCTGAGCCCTGCAGCAGGCAGGGGCAGAGCAGCTCCCCCAAGTGCTGACACCTGAAAATCAGCACAGCAGGCCCCTCCCCCAGAAGACCAGCTAGAAGGACCAGTGATACTCCCCCGTGTTCCAATACAACTTGTTTTTGGCCACTCTGCACTGAGCAAAATGACTAGAAGGAAAACCTCACTTCAAAAGAAAGAATCAGAAACAGCCCTCTTTCCCACAGAGTTACAAAATCTGGATTACACTTCAATGTCAGAAAGCCAATTCAGAAGCACCATTATACAGCTACTGGTCGCTCTAGAAAAAAGCATTAAGGCCTCACGAGACTTCATGACTGCAGAATTTAGATCCAATCAGGCAGAAATTAAAAATCAATTGAATGAGATGCAATCCAAACTAGAAGTCCTAACGACGAGGGTTAACGAGGTGGAAGAACGAGTGAGTGACATAGAAGACAAGTTAATGGCAAAGAGGGAAACTGAGGAAAAAAGAGATAAACAATTAAAGAACCATGAAGACAGATTAAGGGAAATGAACGACACTCTAAGAAAAAACCTACGTTTAATTGGGGTTCCCGAGGGCGCCGAAAGGGACAGAGGGCCAGAATATGTATTTGAACAAATCCTAGCTGAAAACTTTCCCAATCTGGGAAGGGAAACAGGCATTCAGATCCAGGAAATAGAGAGATCCCCCCCTAAAATCAATAAAAACCGTTCAACACCTCGACATCTAATAGTGAAGCTTGCAAATTCCAAAGATAAAGAGAAGATCCTTAAAGCAGCAAGAGACAAGAAGTCCCTGACTTTCATGGGGAGGAATATTAGGGTAACAGCAGACCTCTCCACAGAGACCTGGCAGGCCAGAAAGGGCTGGCAGGATATATTCAGGGTCCTAAATGAGAAGAACATGCAACCAAGAATACTTTATCCAGCAAGGCTCTCATTCAAAATGGAAGGAGAGATAAAGAGCTTCCAAGACAGGCAGGAACTGAAAGAATATGTGACCTCCAAACCAGCTCTGCAAGAAATTTTAAGGGGGACTCTTAAAACTCCCCTTTAAGAAGAAGTTCAAGTAACTCTGAACGTGAATGGGCTTAATGACCCCATCAAAAGGCGCAGAGTTTCAGACTGGATAAAAAAACAGGACCCATCTATTTGCTGTCTACAAGAGACTCATTTTAGACAGAAGGACACCTACAACCTGAAAATAAAAGGTTGGAGAACCATTTACCATTCAAATGGTTCTCAAAATATACCCTAAAAACTACAGAACACTTCTGAAAGAAATTGAGGAAGACACAAAGAGATGGAAAAATATTCCATGCTCATGGATTGGCAGAATTAATATTGTGAAAATGTCAATGTTACCCAGGGCAATTTACACGTATAATGCAATCCCTATCAAAATACCATGGACTTTCTTCAGAGACTTAGAACAAATTATTTTAAGATTTGTGTGGAATCAGAAAAGACCCCAAACAGCCAGGGGAATTTTAAAAAAAGAAAACCATATCTGGGGGCATCACAATGCCAGATTTCAGGTTGTACTACAAAGCTGTGTTCATCAAGACAGTGTGGTTCTGACACAAAAACAGACATATAGATCAATGGAACAGAACAGAGAACCCAGAAGTGGACCCTGAACTTTATGCTCAACTAATATACGATAAAGGAGGAAAGACGATCCACTAGAAGAAAGACAGTCTCTTCAATAAATGGTGCTGGGAAAATTGGACATCCACATGCAGAAGAATGAAACTGGACCACTCTCATGCACCATACACAAAGATAAACTCAAAATGGATGAAAGATCTAAATGTGAGACAAGATTCCATCAAAATCCCAGAGAAGAACTCAGGCAACACCCTTTTTGAACTTGGCCACAGTAACCGGAGAAGGACAAACAGTGTATGTTCTCATTCATTTGGGGAATATGAATAATAGCGAAAGGGAATATAAGGGAAGGGAGAAGAAATGTGTGAGAAATATCAGAAAGGGAGACAGAACATAAAGACTTCTAACTCTGGGAAATGAACTAGGGGTGGTGGAGGGGGAGGAGGGTGGGGGGTGGGGGTGAATGGGTGACGGGCACTGAGGGGTACACTTGACGGGATGAGCACTGGGTGTTATTCTGTATGTTGGTAAATTGAACACCAATAAAAATTAATTCATAATAAAAAAAATAAAATAAAATAAAATAAAAAAAAAGAGGAAAATTGGGACAGAGACACATGGAGACAATGCTGTGAGAAGATAAAGGCAGATATACGCATCTTATAGATGCAATGCCAAGGACTGCCAGCAACCACCAAAAGCTTAAGATCCTCTCCTACAGCCTTGAGAGAGAGAACATTTCGCTGCCAATACCTTGACTTCAGAATTCTAGGCTCCAGAACTGTGAGAATATATTTCTCTTGTTTTAAGCCACCAGTGTGAGGTATGTTGCTATGGCAACCCTAGGAAACTAATATATATCATAAAATGCTCATAAATTAAAAGGTGATGGTTTCATATGTCAGATACAATAATCCATCCGTCACCTGAGATCCTTACCTTGAGGCCCTGCACTAAGACTAATGCATCAAGAATAAGCAGTTAAATCCTGGGTAACTCACCTGTACCATAAAAGATTTCTAAGGAATAGTCATGCCAGATATACAAAATACAAGCAAGTTAAGTAGGTAAGTAAATTCCAAGAGAATATATAGAGAGTAGTCTTGTCTTTAGAATGAATTATGAAATGCTATCTATGTAGGAAACAAAATATCACCAGTACTTCTACTACCACCTTGATATTTCCAATCCATGTACTCCTTTTCTAACCACCAAATAAATCCTATGTTATATGTACAAGTTTGCCAGTAACTCTACAATTAGTATTAATGTGAACTCCCAAAAGATCAATAAAATATTCTCTTTATATCTAATAAAGTCTTTTGAGAATACAGTGATTAAAATAAAAGTCAAAGTGTTACCAGGTACTCATAAGAAAACAGAGATACTCAGCTAAAACTCTCAGAACGTAGACATATAAAGGTTTATTTCTTTTATCTTTATTAATTTCCTCAATAGATTAAAAAAGAAGGGCTTTCTCTCCACATATTCACCTCCCAGAATAAAAAACAACCAATACTAATGACCTACTAAGTAGAGAGAGGAGGATAAAAGTAATTCTTAATGTTTCTACAGCAAATTAAAATACTAGTGTTATGCAAGTGATCTTTGTGATGATAGAATAGTTTTGTATCTCAATTTCAGTGCAGTTACATGAATCTACACGTGATAAAATGGTAAGAACTATGCACACACATTGTATCAAGTCAATTCTGGTATTGATACTGCACTTATGTAAAAGATCAACATGGGGGAAACTGGGTGAAGGGTACACTGGACCTCTCTGTACTGTCTTTGCAGCTTTTTATGAATCATAATTACAGACATATGTCAGAGAAACTGCAGGTTCAGTTCCAGGCTACCACTATAAAGCAATTATCACAATAAAGTCAGTCAAATGAAGTTTTTTGTTTCCCATGCATATATAAACTGTTATCTACTAAGGGTACAAGAGTGCTATGTCTAAAAACAAACAATGTACATATCTTAATTAAAAAATACTTTATGATGGTAATCATCATCTAAGCTTCCAGTAAGTCATAATCTTTTTGCTGGTACAGGGTCTGGCCTCCAAGCTGATGGCTGATAACTGATCAGGAGGGTGCCTGCTGATGGTTGCAGTGGCTATGGCTGTTTCTTAAAACAAGAAACAAGAAACTGACAAATCGGTTGACTCTTCCTTTCACAAATGATTTCTCTGTAGCATGCCATGCTGTTTGGCAAACAGCATGGTACCAACAATAGAACTTCTTTCAAGTTTGGGATCAATCCTCTCAAACCCGCTGCTCCTTTATCAACTCAGTTTATGTAATACTTTAAATCCTTGTTGTCATTTCAACAATCTTCACAGTATCTCCACCAGGAACAGATTCCTTCTCAAGAAACCACTTTATTTGTTCATCTCTAAGAACCGACTCATCCATTAAAGTTCTGCCATGAGATTATAGCAATTCAGTCATCTCTTCAGGCTTTACTTCCAATTCTAGTTCTCTTGCTATTTTCAACACCTTACTTCCTCCAGTGAGGTCTTAAACCCTTCAAAGTAATTCATGAGAGTTGGAAGCAACTCCTTCCAAACTCCTGTTCATGTTGATATTTCGACATCTTGCTGTGAATCATGAATATACTTAATGGTATCTAGAATGGTGAATCCTTTCCAAAAGGTTTCCAATTCACCCAGATCCACCAGAGGAATCACTATCTATGCAGCTATAGTTTTGTAACACCTTTTTCTTAAATAATAAGACATGAAAGTCAAAATGACTCTTTTATCCATCGGCTGCAAAATGGATGTTGTGAAGAGGGCATGAAAACAATATTAATTTCAGGGTACATCTCCATCACAGCTCCTGGGTGATCAGATGCACTGTCAATGTGCAGTCATATTTTGAAAGAGCTCTCTTTTTCTGAGTAGTAGGTCTCAAAAGTGAGCTTAAAATATTTAGTATATCATGTTGTAAAGAGATACACTGTCATCCAGGCTTGGTTGCTTCACTGATAGAGCACAGGCAAAGTAGATTTAGCGGCAACTCTTAAGGGCCCTAGAATTTTCAAAATGACAAATGAGCACTGGCTTCAACTCAAAGTCACCATGTCAGTCTATAAGTAGAATGTCATTCTGTCCTTTGAAGTTTTGAAACCAAGCATTGACTTCCCCTCTCAAGCTATAAAAATCCTTGATGGCATCTTCTTCCACTAGAAGGGTATTTAATATACTTCGAAAATCTGTTTTTAGTATAGCCACCTTCGTAAATTAACTTGGCTAGATCTTCTGGATGACTTGCTGTACCTTCTGTATCAGCACTTGCTTCACCTTGCACTTTTATGTTAGGGAGACGGCTTCTTTCCTTAAACCTATGAACCCACTTCTGCTAGCTTCAAATTTTTCTTCTGTAGCTTCCTCACCTCTCAGCCTTCACAGATCTGAAGAGAGTGAGAACCTTCCTCTAGATTAGGTTTTGGCTTAAGGGAATGCTATGGCTGATCTGATCTTCTATCCAGACCATTAAAACTTTCTCTGAATCAACAAAAGTCTGTTTTGCTTTCTTATAAATGGTGTGTTTATTGGAGTAGCAATTCAATTCTGATTTCCTTCAGGAACTTTTCCTTTGCATTTACAACTTGTCTGTTTGGTAGAAGAGGCCTGGCTTTCAGCTTACCTTGGGTTTTGTCATGCCTTCCTTACTAAGCTTAACGATTTCTACTTTTTGATTTAAAGTGAGAGACGTGCATTTCTTTCATTTGAACACTTACAGGGCACTGCAGGGTCATTAATTGACCTAATTTCAATACCTTTTTGTCTTAGAGAACAGGGAGGCATAAGAAGGTAAAGGGGGAGAGACAGAGAATAAACCAGTTGGTGAACAGTCAGAACACATGCAGCATTTATAGCTTAAGTTTGCCATCTTATATGGGCACAGCCTGTGGCAAAACAACTACAATAGTAACATCAAGGATCAGTGAACACAAATCACCATAACAAATATGATCATGAAAAAGTTTGAAATACTACGAGAATTACCAAAATGTGACAGGGACATGAAGTGCCCAAATGCTGCTGGAAAAACGGCATTGATCAATTGTTTGATGCAGAGTTGTCACAAACTTTCAATTTGTAAAAAAAATGCAGTATCTGCAAAGTGCAATAAAGCAATACGTGATAGAATGAGGCATGCCTACTATTTAAAAAGTCTGATAAAGAAAATACATTCTGTGGCAAAATAAGCATATATTAGGTGTCAATTTCAGCTACTAAAATAAGCATATATTAGGTGTTAAGTTTCAGCTCATAGTAGCTGAAACTTTTCATTTTTAATGAAAAAATTAAATTCTATGTAAGAAAATATGGTCAGTTATGGCAAGAGTTGAAAAAGGGATAGGTCAGTTACTACATAGAATCCAAAGTAAGTTATCATCTGTTGATGATTTGGGGGTATCAGATTCATCCTCCCCATTTATACCTTTACCTTGCCTTATATTAAAATCCATTTATTTTTCTAAAGCTCATAACTTGACTAAAAGTAGGGAAGAGACCTAAAGTAGTGTTAAATGAAAAGTGAAGCCACTGGGCATTAAAAAATAACAACAAAATGATATAACCTACCCAAGAATGTAAATTATTCCCATTTGCTGAATATCATTGGTTCTCTTCCAAAAGAGCCCCAGGAATATCTTGAAGGCATTAACAAAATATCTTATAAATCGGTTAGGTGAAAAGAATAATCCATGTGGATATGGATGTTTTAAAAATTTATAATACTGGTGAATATGAATATGGAGGTGTGATTTTCAACAGAATTCATCAAAATTTTATACATTTTTCCCTTACCTAAATACATGAAAAAGCTGTAAGGGTATTTCTATGTCTAAAAACAACAGAGAGAGAATATAATTGTATGGGTCACATAAATAGAAAACAGCAGGAAAACAAAAAAAAATGAGATTCTTGGAAAACTTACATATTTACATATATATGTGTGTGTGTGTATATATATACACACACAAGACTTCTTATTATCATTAAATTGAAAGCCTATAACTTAAAGAGCTATATATTACATGCACAGAAGCTAACACACTGTTTCGATCCCGTAAGCAATAACAATACATCTTTAAGTCTCTACTATATAACTCACTTTCATATTACCTGATAGTTATCACTAACAAACACATTCAGGGGTGACAGGACAAGTTGCAGCATGGTCTCCCGAAATCCTTTTTTCATTTCAAAACACAGTCTTTCCAAGAATGCTGTAGGGCACTCAGGACCATCAGTGGTTCCATGCTAAAGTCAAATATAATACTATATTCAAGATACAGAAAATACAAGACCAAGAAAGTACAGGAAAATAAAAATAACATTTATATAATTAAGAGATTTTGAGTCTTTAAAAGGAGAAACAGTGCTTACTAACAAAATTAACTATTCTGTACCCCAGTAAGAACATCAGGTTCACTAAGCACCAGAGGTGACTTCTCTGCTATGCAATCCTAGGAGCATGACACGGTGCCAGTAGGCAGCACAATGCTCTAGGGTCTCACTCTCCCTATCTGGCCTCAATCCAATGACTCCAGGTTCTCTGGGCAATGTAATCTCATTCCAAGTTAGTGCCAATAGTTCATGGGTCAACCTGAGACTGAAACAGGATTCTGCGCTGGATCCAAACCCTTGAAAACAATTCAACCTGAGGGTCAAGCTGAATCTTGATTTTTAGTAGGTTCCAAAATGGTCTAGAATTAGATAAAGGACAATAAAATGTAAATCTTAGAATATCTGTAAGGCTACCTATCATAAACCAAGCAACTCAACATCATGACAAAATGTTCTAAAGTTGCAAAGAACAGCAAGAAGGAACTAAAGTGATAGAAGAAAAATAGAAAATTATCAATGATCAAAGTAATCACATTATGAAGAAAATAAATTAGCTTTATAAAGGTAAAAGGATAAATTTTAAAGTTTTCAAATCTGAATTTTTTTTATTAGTGTATGCATGTATGTACACATATCTACAGTTTTCTAAGTTGGGTGAATTTCCAAATATACTCCAGACCATTTTGATACATAAATACTTACAACAGGAAGACGCCCATGAACTTTGTACAAATTAACAAGTACAGTAATATCCCAAGGACGCAAGGTAAGTGGATGAATTGACTTGGCTGAACTTTCATTTTCCTTTTTGTCATTTTCCATTCCAACAGCAGTCCACCCAGAGCTGGATGATGTTGACAGTGACAGAACAGGACTTGAAATAACCTCTTCAAAATCCATATACATGTCATCTTCCCCAAAGTAGTTTTCCTATAAATATTATGAACAAACTGCTATTAAAGAGTTATGTAACAGTAACTTTTCAATTTAGAACCTGAATTTTGAAAATCAAATATCTCACTATTTTATTCAGTTAAAAGTATATGGTCTGTTTCCTAGAAATGAAAAACAAAACAAAGATACGTATGCTTAAGACATACTCTTCCTTGGCTACTTAGCAAATAAACATTCTGTAGCAAACTAAAACAACCCTCGGCCCAAAAAAAACTAATAAAAAATCACATAAGTTTATAGTAAAGCTTCATGACAATACCACCTCCAATTATAGCAAAAACTTGCAATTTAGGTCCTAGAAGAAAATTTTGAAGATCTGTAAGGTTCAATTGTTTTCAATCTTTCTCAGAGTTCTGAGGCAATAATACGCAGAGACATCCTTAAAGGAAGAGCTGAAATTCACTGAAATTCAATTTAGCTAAATCCAATTAGCTAGCTATTCCAATTTGGCTAAATCCAATAAATATATTCGGGGTGAAATATTTATCACAAGTGCTTTTAACAACTTAAATAAATTATCAACAGTTACTAAAACTTCCTTTCATGTAATTCATTTGGTTTCTTATGCAAAGTATTTTAACTATTAATATTCTAGTTCTTTTGCATCAGAACTTAAATTTATTTTTATTATTTTCTTTTTTTAAAGTTTTTATGATAATCACAGTTAGTTATCATACCATGTAATACTAGTTAGAGGAAGATTTAGTGATTCATCACTATAAACACCCAGTGCCCATCACAAGTGCCCTCCTGATCCTCATCTCTTACTTCACCCTTTGCCCCCACTTCCTCCCCTCTGGTAACCATCAGTTTGTTCCCAATAGTTAAGAGTATATTTCTTGGCTTGCCTCTCTCTTTTTTATTCCCCTATGCTTGTTTATTTCTTAAATTCAGCAGATAAGTGAAATCATATGGTACGTGTCTTTCTCTGACTTTTTAATGAAATTTTTTCTTACCATTATTCTGAATTTAAATTTTATCTATTTGATTTGTCAGTAGTAATCAAAAGCTGTTAAAATATTGCTGTTAATGCAGTTAACTATATTTGTTCAATATTAGAAATCAAATCAGTGTTTTGATAAATTCTGCATTTTACTTATTGACACATTTATTTTCTGGTTGTAATTCTAGTCAATTAATCAAGCCAATTAAATGCCTTTTCATAGGAAAGAATGTTGAAGGATGTTCATCTGGTTAATTGGTGGTAGGGCTAATATTAAAACCCCAAATCTACAAACTCACAAAACTGATGCTTTTTCCTTTATTCCCTATTGTTTTCTGGCTCAAATAATTTAGGCCCTACTTAGAACCTGCTGGATATCCTGATAACTACCTTTATTATATAACTAAAAATGGACAAATCCAAGCACAAATTTAAACGTAAATAAACACTGGTTTTTATCCTAAATTTTAACATTAAATTTCTAAAGCTAATAATAAATTTCTAATTGATTTTGAACAACATTAAAGATCTAGAAGTATTCAAAGCAGCAGTTCTCAGATCATTTGAGAAGTCTTTTCAAAATACACATGCCATGGAAACAAGTTCTCCATGGAGACAAGGAGACAAGTTCAATAGGTTTGCGATGGGCATGGATTTCAGTGAGAGGAAAATAAAATAGTTCCTTCAGTGATTTTAAAAATCTGCAAATGGCCTCCAGTCCCAAAAACCTCTACATCACCCTTCCTCCACACAGCTGATCAATGGCATCAGTGAACAATGTTCACATTCATTAGCTTTCAACATACTAAGAATTATCAACAAATCAATAGAAATAAGTTATATTTTGATTTTAAATAATCCTACTCCACATATCTATTATTTTCAAAAGATTCCTTAAAAGTTTCTTATAGCCTCTTGCAATTTATAACCTTAAAAACAAAAGATTCATGTAGATTATTAAAATCAAAAGAAAAATATCCTCTTGGGCCTATTCTTCAATTTGCTACCAAAATAATCTCCGTTTAATTATCTGAAATAGAAATAACTCATAACAAATTCCTTAGGGAATAATGAATCTCCAATATAGTAGAGAACATTTGCCAACTTTTATTAAATGTGTCAATGACTGTTTTTAAAGAACTATAAACTCTAGGAGTCTTTTATGAGTTCTGATATTTGTACATATTGAATATTATCAACAAAAATACTTTTAAAATTATAACTCCCTTAAAACACTAGTCATATGTTAAATGTTTGATGTTGAATGTGATTTAAGTTTTGTGTTCATTTTAATTTAATTTTTTTAGTATGTGAACTCCATCCCTAAGGGTTAATTTCTTAAGGATTTACTTTTAAAAATTACCAAAAGGTTAACCAAAATATAAAGCAAAAAGCTACATATTATGGCAAACTTTTACTGTATTTTAAGATTAATAAATGTACACAAATATTTACAAATACAAATAAAAGTTCTATTTTCATGTTATGATAGTGTGCAAAATTGAATTATCTCTAAAACAAATTCCAAGCAACCCTAGAAAAAAAGCAATGATTTATATAACTGGAAAAATGTGTTCTTTTGTCAAGTTTCTGGGATGAATGAATTTAAAAATGATAAAACAAGCTAGGGACACCTGGGTGGCTCAGCGGTTGAGCATCTGCCTTTGGCCCAGAGCATGATCCCTAGATCCGGGATCAAGTCGCACATCAGGCTCCTTGCAGGGAGCCTGCTTCTCCCTCAGCCTACGTCTCTGCCTCTGTCTCTCATTATGTCTTTCATAAATAAATAAAAATCTTAAAAAAAAAGCTATATTTTCAATCTACTTAAGAGCCTTATAACATTTTATTTTCCTAGAGATATTTGGAGTGTCAAGTACTATTTCAAGTAATAGGACACTACCATTTTTTTCCCAGCCTACTTATGCAATGATACTCATTTCTCAAAAAAGGAGAATACTATAGTTTAAAAAATCTAAGAAATTCAAAGAAGTAGGGGGGAATAAAAACAACATACAGGTACTCTGTTTCCAATACTAAATTTTTTTAATGGAAACTTGATAGCCAGGTTTCTGCTCAAGACTATTAAAACTTTTTTATTTCCAGTAAGGAAAACGTATAAGCCAAATATACTCACCATTAATCCAGTTACTACTGACTACCACTGATATGCCATCACTATTTAGATTCAGATTTACCATCTTCTATTAAGAAAAAATGTAATAAGACTAAGAGAAGTCAATTCAGAAGACATGAACATTTCATAAAATATTCTCACAAATTTTAATGCAATGTTAGTATATATTTATCTCAGAGTTCTTGATAATAATAATGGTACCCCTAGTTTCTTTTGTGTATTTTGGAAATCAGTTTTTCATATAAACAGTCAAACAAATATGACTCTTTCTTTTCCCTAGTCTATCCTTCAGAATTTCTTGATGTTTAATTCTGGTAACTAAGGGGGACACCTGGGTGGCTCAGTGGTTGAACGACTGCCTTTGGCTCAGGGCATGATCCTGGGGTCCGGGGATTGAGTCCTACATCAGGCTTCCCGCAAGGAAGCCTGCTTCTCCCTCTGCCTATGTCTCTGTCCCTCTCTTTGTGTCTCTCATGAATAGATAAGTAAAATCTTGAAAAAAAAATTTCTGGTAACTAAGGAAAATATAATCTCAGTCACATGAATTCTCACATTTTCCTTGTTTTACATATACATACATACATTCTAACACTAAATAGAACATAAATTATATATTAAAACAAATGAAAAAAGGTAATTGAAAGAGAGATAATTAAGATAGGATACATCTTGGGCACCTGGGTGGCTCAGTGGCTGAATGTCTGCCTTTGGCTCAGGTCATGATCCCAGGGTCCTGGGATTGAGACCCACATTGGGCTCCCTGCATGGAGCCTGCTTCTCCCTCTGCCTATGTCTCTGCCTCTCCCTATGTGTCTCTCATGAATAAATAAATGAAATCTTTTTAAAAATGAGCAAAATTCAACTTATCTTTAAAAAAAAAAAAAAGATAGGATACATCTCCATGTCAGCATGACACTAAGCTTTCTGGTAGGCAGAAAGAAAATAAAAGGAAAAAAAAAAAGACTTAAAGAGTTACTTATATTTCTAATAAAAGGAACTAGAGTTCATTGGCCTAGAAAAATTTTTTGCTTGTCATGTTTTGGATACATATTTTTTAAAATATTTCAAAACTTTAAATTTTCAATTTGTTTTAGTAAATACTTCATACAAGTTCTAAGTTAATTTGATGAATGCAAATATTAATGCAAACTTTAGTACAATAAACCTTTGACACTACTGAACAACTGTTATAAAACCTTAATTAATAGAAGAGACTGTATGAAAACAAACTATCAGGCAGCCCCCGGGGGGCTCAGTGGTTTAGCACCTCCTTCAGCCTGGGCGTGATCCTGGAGACCCGGGATGCAGTCCTATGTCGGGCTCCGAGCATGGAGTCTGCTCCTCCCTCTGCCTGTGTCTCTGCCTCTCTCTCTCTCTCTCTCTCTCTCTTTCTCTCTCTGTCACTCATGAATAAATAAATAAATAATCTTTAAAAAAATGAAAAGAAACTATCAAGAGAGGTTATATTTATGGAGAATTTGTAAAGAAATCTTTTAAAAAAAGGTATTTACTCCTTTCTCATTCTTCTTTACAGTCCTCTTATTTTTGATGAATATGTATTATTATGGAATTTTTAAAAGTAAAAAAACTGAGGCACAGTAAACATATAGTAATGCAAAAAAGTATTTCTTAAAATTTTATTTTATTATTTTCTGAAAACAGGGTTCTCTTATACTTCTTTTGCTGTGTTATATTATAATGTGTTAAAATTTGTCCCTATACATATCTGTCCTACAATATCCTCCAGCTTATCTCCTTGAGAACAGATGCTGTATCATCTCTATCGCCAGCAACCAGCACAATTCCTAGAATATATTAAATGCTAAAAATGCAAAATAAAAACTTAACTGAGAAGTACACCATTTTTAATAAATAAGTTTGTAATTGAGTCTAGCACCA